ACAGTAGAGTTCTCCCGTCAAGTTTCTTAACAACCTCCTCCATCAAGATGCCCGCTAGAATGAAGGACAGGTGTGTAACAAGATGTACTAAGTGGCGTTGACCGTCGAATCGACAACTGGCACTTGGAAAAGTCAGAAGAGCAACTCATGAAAGTTGTAAGTCAGCAGGCAAGCTATCCGCAACCCTGGAAGAAATCGACACGCGTGGTTCGACCGTCAAAGCTACGCGCGTTTATTCACGTATACGTTCCAAGGCTCACGCGTGGTTCGAGGAAGGCACCTACCCTCTTCCACAAACTGAATTCAGGCTTGAGCGTTTTTCACCACCATCTTCTTCGACCGACTTCGTTTCGAACTCCCACTAAATCCTTCTTCCTCTCTCAATCAAGCCTACAAAGCTTTCCCAGTCAAACCTACAAGAAACGACAATCCAACTCGTTTATTCTCTCGTCAAATTTCGAACTTTCCACAACACCACAACCCTTCACTTTCCCTTGCCTTCCTTTCTCCTCCTCCTACCCGTTCTGGTTTGTGACGCCCGTGGCGCGTCGGCTACAACCATCGCGAAAACGCTCCACCCTTCTCTCCCTTCCATCGTCACTTTCGACTCTTCTTTCGCGACGTCAATCAGTCACAATCCCCAAACCATCAACAATGTCTGCCCAAAACCAAATCGGCGGGCAGCTGCCTGGTCAGCAGCTGCCAGGCCAGCAACAGGTAACCGGCAACTATTTTCCTCAGTTTGCGCGTCTCCCTGTCGAACTCCAAATCATGATCTTCCAACAAGCGCTCAGAAGACCCAGCGTCCACGTCGTGATGGTGAAACGTCACAAGAAGGAGAACGAGACGAAGTGGAGTCTCGATTTCTTTCCGATGCCCAAGAAGAACGATCCCTCAGGCTTTCGCCTGGCGCATACTCTGACCCAGGTCAATGCTGTCGCGGCAGACGCTGTGCGTCTCGCCATGGCCGCGTTTGGGTCGGCCGTTCTGCCATTCAGAAACCTTGTGGGCATTGCTGACGGTGCCGAGGACCTTCTTGTCCTTGAGTTCACTCACCACAAGTACTGCTCCTACGGCTACTTTCACCAAGCTACGCAGTTTGCCAACGCCCGTGGCCCAGGCGAATTTGACGAGACGCGTGTAGCAGCCCAAGTGAAGTACTTTCAGAAGGTCGCTATCACCTACAGCAGCCGACACGACACTGCGATGAGTCTGCGCAGTGTCTTCCGTTGCTCTCTCACCAACGACGACCGGCATGTCAATTTGCGGGCTTGCCCAGTGGAGATCTTTGGGTTGCTCAACTGCTTCCAATCGCTGAAGGAGTTCTATATTATACTGCTGCCAAATCAGGACGTTCACGGAAAGCGTCTGGTCCAGCAATACGCCCGCAACTTCTTCGCCTGTGAGTTTTCGAACCCTCCATACCGTGTTCCGAAAGCAGGCTAACACTTACGGTGAAGTGACCGCGGAGGAACGCCGCAAGCGAAATCTCGTCGTCTTTTACGACCAGGCCAGGGCTCTTATCGAGCTCACCCCGGACCTGATGTACTACCCCGCGCAAGGCGGAGTCCCCGGAGCGGCAATTTCGCACCCATACGGTCACTCCCTGTTCCACTTCGATCTCTACTACGACATTGTTCAGATATTTACTGAGCTCAAAGGGGCGTTCCTTCACACCAGGATGGGAAACCGACCCTATCCATATCGTCTTAGTGAGCAGGCGCGCAAGAACCTTGTCATGAAGGTTCTCATTCCGACCGATGGAAATGACTACTAAGTTGGCCGAGGACGGTACTAGACGGGACCTACTCAAGGAACAAGGAGTTACACCTGGGTTCTTGGGTGGTATATATAGGAATCCTGCTGTCGTTCGTGTGAAGGGACTGGAAGCACACTGGAGCGCTTGCTCAACTGGAGTTCGGGGTCGTTTTGTTCTTCCTTTTCTCCTCCATTTCTTTTTCTTTCTTTTCATTTTCTTTCCTTCCTTTTCCTTTCTTTCGTTTTACTTTCCTTCTCCTTTCGTTTTCCTTTCCTTCTCCTTTCGTTTTTGCTCTTTTCCTTTTGCATTCTCTTGTTTCCTTTCGTTTCCTTTCGTTTCCTTTCATTTTCCCTCGTTTCTTTTCTTTTCTTTTTAATGTGTCCTTGTTCAAACGTCATATACGAACCGCGGCGATTCTACTCGCGCTCACGACAGCGCAATGGTTTTCTTCATCCAACTTGGGCATGGGAATCGCGAAGATTTGGCCACGGCTGGATTACAACGATTACCATGGCGTAGGCAAGAAATTTGGCTGGAAATGGATATTGCGGCGTTCACGACGCTGGACTACTGAAAATCGAGTCGAACTCGGGATTGGAATCGGGCAGATTTGGTCACTGCCGGATTACGATATGGATGAGGCACGACGTTGGACTGGACGACACGAGTCAACCCGGGAATTGGAGTCAGGCAGATCTGGTCACTGCTGAATTACGATACCACGGAGTTGGGCGAGGAGTTCAACTGGGAATGGATCTTACGGTATTGCGACGTTCACAACGCTGGAACCGGGTGATGCAATTTGGGATTGGAATCGGGCAGATTTGGTCACTGCCGGATTACGAGACGATGAGGCACGACGTCGAACTGGCTAGCATGGGCCGACCCGGGATTGGAATCAGGCAGATTTGGTCACTGCTGGATTACGATACCACGGATTTGGGCGAGGAGTTCAACTGGGAATGAATCTTGCGGCATTGCGGCGTTCTTAAGGCTGGACTGGCTGAAGCGATTCGGGATTGGAATCGGGCAGATTTGGTCACTGTCGGATTACGTGTATTGTATGGAGTTGAGCGACCATCGATGAGGTGGTCTATACCTAGGTGGCGGTAGAGAAGTCACCTCAGATTGGGACTTACAAATGGTCAAGAGAGATCCAACGGCCCCAAGACTCAGTTTATCACACAGCCCGTAAGCAGAGGCTACTGATTCCAAGAGGCGCAACGGCGTGGCGATTTGAACTGAATAGGTAAGGTACCTTAGGCATATAAATCATTTCCTCTTTCCTACTTTCAACCCCCACAGGGTGGTATGACAGTGGTTAAGTGGTCAAGGGGTTCGGAAGTGTCATTTGAATAGGTGTCCCATTATAAGGCACTAGTTCGACTCTTTCTAGAAGCACCACCTCCCACTAGAGATTAAGGACAACGAGGACGACAACAGTGGTGATGAAAGTGGATTACAATACGGATGAGGAACTGGAGGCTCGGGCGTGCACTTGTTGGCAATAGATACTGGTAGTTTTGTCAGAGCGTCAGAGGACCTACCCCTTGAGCTTTCGCTCCAAAGGTCCTGAAATACATATATGTAAGGCTAGCGACTGGGGTTGATGCTTCAATCTCTGCAATGATCTCCCATGCTCTCTACAATGCAACTCGCAACAAACTTCCTTGTGAGTTGCAGGGCTTCTTGTTAAGCCAAGAACGGTCACCAGTTTGCCTTTGGTCACTTGGTGTTGGTGATAGGCAATCTCCGATAGCCATCAATGATGAAAAGCCTGTTAGGCACTTACACAGTAGTGTGATGTGCCTGACTTTGTCTTCGTGCTCTTGTGAGGTCACATTCACCCAGCCGAGTGTGATAATACATTCTCTAGCAAAAAACAGCAGGCGTGAGGATGTCACATCGAAACGCGTTTAGGACTCTGGGGTGGTTCTCAGCGGCCTTTATACCTATTTTACAAACAATTAGCAAACGCGCTTGCGACACGCTTACACGCGCCTTGATGGATGCAATTACCATTGAGTGAATACGGGTGTGGGGAGATTCAATAATCCGGAGTGTTGGACTCAGGAGGTCGCAGGGGGTCGCGTTGGTTGGTTCCGCTAATTGCCATATTTGGAAATCGTGTAAATAAACACCCTGCAAGGTGGGGTGGCTGATCGTGCTGTTCAGGACAGAGCTGCCTGGCGGAATCACTTGAAGTCAATTGGTTTGCCGCTTCTGCAGCCCCTTCCCACATTCCAGTTTGCAGGACGCAAGTCAGGCCGTTGCGCCCCGTCAAGATGGATGACAGCATTTCAGATGTTCCAATCGCGCTGCGACGCACTCGTCGCCAAAGACAAGCGCATGGCGGTCGCGAGACTTGCGACAACTCAGTTAACCCACCGGCCCCTGAGTCTATGGTTCCGTGCACACCAAAAAGATCCAAAGGAAAGAAGCGCGTCAGATTCTCAGATCCGGGGCCGACCCTGGCCTCAGCCGAGGAAGATGAGCTTTCAGCAACTGGTCTTACGCCCATGGTCCGGCGGACTTGTCTCACTCCATCTGGTAGATCATCGCGGCGTCACTCAACTCCCGCGCGCCTGTGCGGTGCATCAAGCGACGGCAGCATCTCTGGTCTGAATGACGCGAACTCCCCTTTCAGCGGTGAAGTCCGGTTCCTACCCCTCCGCCAGGTTTTAGATGGCCGTGTCAAGCGCCGCATCCGCCGCAACGGCTTAAGTGAGGAGATGAACACCATTTACGCCGAACGGAAACGCAAGTCCCAGGAGACCCAGGCCGAGATCCACAGGCTTAAGGCAGAGCTGGCCGAGAAAGATGACGAGATCGAAAGATTGCACAACGAGACAGTGGTCCTGGACACGGAGCGTGTATGGAATCTGGAGCGGCAAGTCGAGGCATTGAAAAGGGAACTAGCAAATCGCTCCGGTATCCAACAAGCTCCAAAAAGTCCAAGCAGTCCCCGCTATGAGTGGACAATAGCCGCCCGTGACCCATTTGCGGACGACTTCATGGAGCTAGATGCCGATAACGACACAGACGATGAAGCGTTTGGGGAATCCACGATGGCAGACCTCGTGAGCAGTACGCCCACTCGCAACATGTGCAGCTCCTTTCCAACACCCCCGGCCACAAGCCCTGCCCCGGAAGAGGCACAATATCCTCGCGCCCGGCTGGCCACACCCCCTTCACACACCGGCATCCAAGTCTGTCTGCCGGATCCCGAGAAACAGCAACTGCAAGAGGAGCTTGCGTCGCTCGAGCTCGAGGTCTGCAAGCTCACCACTACACTGGAGTCTTACGCGGCCTTGAAATCTCGAATAGCAGACAAACTTGCCCCTTTCGCGGCTGATGCCCCTTCCAACGACGAATCGGAGGCATCACAGCCAGATATTGAAGTCCATCTCACTTCGGTACTCCAAACATTGTCCGACCGCACCGCCGCTCTCGAAGACCTGAACACCTCGCTCAGCAGCCTCGGCTTCCCCGGATCGGATGCTTCTGAAATCATCAACTCTCTCCGCGCCGCCCTTCGCACCGCACGGCTCGAACTCGAATATCTCACTCCGGGGGAACTCACTCTGCCCCTCACATCCGCTGGGGCCGAGGTCCTCGACCTGCTCCTCACCCGCCTGCGCGACCTGGTCAAGAGGAACCGCGAAGCCGACGAGTGCATAGACGAATATCACGCGCTCGAGCTCTCCCTGCGGCAGCAGCTCAGCGCGCGCGTGGACGCCATGGACAGTCTGCGCACCAAGCTCGCCTCGGCCGAGACGACCGCCCGCGAAAAGGACGCGCGCATCTCCGAGCTGCAAGTCGGCCTTGACCGCCTGAAGGGCGCCGTGCGCGGCTACACGCGCGACATTTCCGAGCTCGAAGCCCTGGTCGAGCGCATGGAGTCCGAGCTGGCGGACAAGGAAACGCTCCAGACCGCGCATGATCAGACCGTCGCCGCGCTCGAGTCCAAACTCGCCTCGGCCCTCGAGCAGACCACGCAGTTACAATCTCAGCTCAGCACGCTGCAAGCCCACAAATCCGAGGAGCTCGCAGCGCTGAACAAGGCGCACGGCCGCGCCCTCGCGCTGCGCGACGCCCGCGTTGCCGAGCTGCGTGGGGAGGTAGACCGCGTCAACGCGTCGCTCCGGGCCGCGCACGACACGCTCGCGCGACTGCGAGCCGAGAATGGCCGGCTGATGAAGCTCAACGGCGAGCTGGCACACGAAAATGTTGAGATTGCCCGCGCCGTCGAGGCCGAGAAGCGCCAGGCCAGGCAGGTTGTGGATGCCATGCGCGCCGAGCTGGAGAGGGTCATTGCGAAGATGGGAGAGGGGTTCTTGTCCGCTGCTACTGCGGCTGCCTCTGATGCTGGTGCTGGTGCTGGCACTGGTGTCGTGGGTCGGAGTGGGAGTGAGACTCTGAAGATTGTTGCGCCAGGGTCGGTGCAGGAGGCTACTACGGCCAGCGCCGTGACTGGCACAACGGCAGCATCGGGAGGCGGGACTGGTGTCAAGCGCACGGCTGATGGGTTGGTGAGCGGTGCTGACGCGGGTCTAGGAGCTGTGAAGAAGAGAAGGAAGTATGACAGTGGATTGGGCTTTTTGGACGAGGAAGAGGTCGACACGGAGGGAGGAAGTACAAGTTAGGTTGTTGACCCCCATTTCTTTGCAATCATGAATCTGTTCCAGCTTGGCATGGCAGGGTTGGAGATGAGGGAGTCGCCCAGTCTTTAGTTTCTTTTGTTTGATGAGTATCCTTGTCGGATAAGTACTGGTAGGACCAACGCTCATTGTCGGTGTTTTCCTTGTATGGAACTTTTAATGCAACATATCACTTTGTGAGTAGAGAGATAAACCTGCAAATGGTATATTCCGATCTTGTGTAAAAAGCAGCTTCCCCTCGTTACCAGGCTCTCGGATCGATTGATTCAGCACTTCGAGCGTGGAACAGCTTAACCACCATGGAAAGCTTTCACCTCTCTACACTTCAGAAGAGGACAGGGGCAATCCCTTACAGTTTGCAATGAGCCTCGGTATCATTGGAATTTCAATAAGGATCTGTGAAGCCTTTTGGGAGTAGTACTATGTATAATCCCACAATGTCTGCTGATAGTCCGCAGTGCCAGTACAGTACAGGTTGGATGACCAACACAGGAGTCCAGGCTCTTTGGTTACTCACGTAGCCAAGAGCCCTTATTTTGGAATTTTCGATCTTAGTTTGGTCCTCCAGGAAACCACTCGGTACTTCCAGTAGGTAGTGATATTGCGAGACTGCACAGAGTGCAGAGTTCAGCAACTCGGCCGGCTGCTTTATGAGCGCAACATTTTCATAGGAAGCACCTTGCAACAGGACAAGCCGCTCCCCACTGATTCGTGTGACCACGCCCTACAGTGTCTGCAGCATCAGATTCGTCTGTAGCCGCGCCTCAACTCCCCCGCAGGCCAATCTGTGCGCTGTGTACGCTCTGCTGCAGGGTCGCGAGAAAATCTGCCGTCCGCTCGGTAACCATACGACTAGCTCCGCGAGTACTGTCTAGTTGATGGTAAAGGCTCTCAACGACGGCGAGATGATGTTTAAGGTCGCGCTCAGCATCCGCCATTGCTTGCTGGATGTTCTGTGGCGACTGTCGTTGATGGGTAGGGGGTGTTTGGGTTTGCATTCTGGCCATTTCCCGGCCAAGCTTGTCGATTAGGGCGTTTTGCTCTTGAAGCAGTGTTTTAACCTCCGGGTCATATCGAGGCGCAGATGAAGGCGGCGCTGGCTGTTGTGAAGCAGCAGCTTGCATCTTGAGCTGGGTGACCTCTACTTTCAACAGCTCAAGGCTATTTGTAATAGTCTGCATAGCGCCCAGAAGCGCGTGAGCCCCGTTCGCTTGATGGTCTGTTGCAAGCTTATTCTGCTGCTTTGTTAGCCCCGCAACTTCGTCGCGTAGCGAATTCAAGCTGTCGACAATGTCGTGCATTGATTCCATCATAGTTCCGATGGCGTTGGTCGCAGTATCCATCTCCTTTTTCAATTCCGTGATGTCCAGTCCGAGCTTTTCAGGAGTGGTTGCAGTTATCACGTTTTGTTTGCTCTTAGCCTCAGCTAATCTTGATTCCAATTCTGTAATCCGAGCTTTTAGCACGGAGATATCTTTGTCAGAGGTTTGATAAGCCTTGTTGGAGGCATCTTTCCTCCCCTCGTGCGCGTCAGGCTGCGACTTTACGGGTACTGGTTTGGCATTGCCCAGATGCCCGGAGCTCTCCTGCTTAGAATGGCGTGTCTGATATTGCTGTTGCTGTGAATCAGGTCCAGTCGAGACCCCGTTGGTGGGATGGTCGGAGCGCCTGGTCTTGGAACTACGCTCAGGCGGAATTGGGGATGCAGAGCGCTTGCTAGTGGGCTTAACCAGGGGATTCTTGTCGAGGTTGCTTGATGGGCTCTCACGCTTGATGGGCGTGGGCGGCAAACGTGGGGATAGATGGGCCTTGTCATCCGCAGCAGTCGGGCGGTAGGCGTCAAATTGAAGCGTGGCATGTAAGTTGATGGGCACTCTTGCAGCGTTTTCCATCTTCTTCTCTTGGCTCTTGAAGAAGGCTTCGGCTTGTTTAAAGAGTTCCGGATCAGTCAGCATGCGCGGATGGGTTCGACGGCTGTCCAGGAATTCCATCCATTCATCGACAGCGCGGGCTGCCTCGGAGGGCTCCCTGCCGGGCTTGTCGCGCTGAATCCTCCGGGCATCGGTGAGTATTTCAGCCGTGGTTCGTGCAATGGTCGGGCTCGTATTAAAGCCACGACCGATGGCTGACCATAGACCATCCTGGCCATAAAACTGCCTGAGGTGGAGGAGGACACGAAAGAGCACAGCGATGTTGTTGCCGTACCTGATCTCTCGTCTCTTGCTAGGGTCTTCGACGGCAGCTAGATAACCTTCATCGGAGTACCAGCTCGTCAGCCAAGCACATGCCCACTGCTGATTGAAGCGCTGGTCCTGTTGCCTAATGAAGCAAAAGCCATAGAGAAGAATCGGTTCAACCAATGGCGGGGGCATGATGAAGAGCCGTGGCCTGAGATAGAACGGTCTCGAATAGTCCGTAAATATCCCGGAGACCAGCTCATGGGCATGGAAAGCTTGTGGGCTGTGTTGTTTCGAAAGAGAATTGAGGTGAGAGCTGAGATTGGAATTTTAGCGCTGGACCTGGGCTCCTTCCGTCACGGTCAGTGCTGAAGTTTGTTTGGACTAACTTTAATTAGCGGGTCAGTGTAGAAGGGTGTGCTGTACTAGTCGTGTAAAGTGCAGCGGCATCGGCCAATATTCAACGATTGCCTATGAACTTGAAATCTCCGCAAAGGGACGACTTGTCAAGTCAGTGAGTGTCTTGATGAGAATTGGAATGATGCTAACGTTACTCATGAATGCTTAGGTACAGTAGGAGTGACGAGAGACACAGTATGCATTGGTCAATGAGTACCGTACGGGGTACTTCCAGCGCAACTGAAGTGAATTGGATTCACACCAAGATTGGTGTGGAACGGTGTACCAGCGCAGTCCTCATCCCGAGTTTCTAGCACATCCACACTGTGCTGGCATTCCGAGTCCGAGTCTCAAACGGACGCGAGTCCATTGTTCCCAGATTCCCGATCAAACACACATTCAAGACCCCAACCCAATCACCTTCCTTTCCACACGTCATCACTGGGCTAGGCCGCAATACTTATTCTACCCAACATACAGCATTTGAGCCTGATAAGTTTGGGTCCAAGTAATGGAACTAAGGGAATAATAGACATGAATTCTGATTACCGTACTGTACCTACCGTTCCACATTCCTCACTGCTCAGACTCAACACAAAGCACCCCCAACTAAAGTCACCAGACGCCAAGAAATCCTGCATCACTTCCACAGCAACTTCTCTGTGACCTGCCAACCAACCAGCAACTCACCCGCCCACCTAGGTCACCTCAAATAAACCAACCCGGTCCCGTCCGTCATGATAACCCACACCTGGACCAACCTAATCCTGATCCGCCTAAGCATCCTCCTCCTGCAGCACGCCCCGCTGCTCGAGGCCGCCCTCCTCCTCATCCTCCATCTAACCTCCCCAATCCCACGCCCCCTGTGGACAACCCTGACCCAACTCGGCCTTCTCACCCTGCTCACCCTCGAAGCCCTCTTCTACCTAGCCCTCTACCGCCCGCACAAGGCCCGGCTGCAGCGGACGGTGGCCGCCCACCCCAACCCGCCCGACCGCTCCACACGCGAGGCGCTGTTCGCCCGCTGCGTCGCCCATGTGCCCGACTGGGAGCGCTACCTGCGGGGGTGGTTCCAGGGGGCGGACGCGGGCGAGATCAGGCGGGAGAATGTCCGGGAGTTTGTGGGCTGGGCGTTTTTCGGGAGGGATGTCACGGGTACGGGTACGGGCACGGGCGGTGCAGGAGGCGACGGGTTGGAGGAGGAAGAGGAAAGGGAAATGCAGGGGTATCTGGCGCAGATTGAAGCGCTGCTGGGCCGCCCGCTGCCGCCGGGCAGGGGAAGCGCGACGGCGCTGCGGTTGACGCTGGACCCGGTCGAGGTGCGGTACCGGAGCGTGGTGTGGTACGGGCTTGTTGCGGCGGTGGATTTGGTGACGCATTTGTTCCTTTGCTGGCAGCACGGGTTTGTCCACTACGCGCCGCACCCGCGGGCGGGGTCGTTCCCGCCGAGGATTGTGCTGCCGCCGCGGGGAGGGCTGGTGCGCCGGTCGTCGGCGTCGGAAACGTTGGGCTACTACTTCCGCGAACACCGCTCGAGCAGACACCTGCCGGTGGTGTTTATCCATGGGATTGGGATCGGGCTGTGGCCGTACAGGGAGTTTCTGGGGGAGTTGTATCATGATCCTGAAGCTCGCGGGGATGAGCAGGTCGGTGTTCTCGCGCTTGAGATGCTGTCCCTCTCTGCGCGCTTAACGTCGCCGCCGCTGTCGCCGCAGGCCTTTCTCGAGCATGTAAATGCTATACTAGCTCAGCACGGACGACAGTGGGATCGCTTTGTGCTGGTCACGCACAGCTACGGCTCGGTGGTGGCGACGCACATGCTGCGGTCCCCAGTTCTGGGTCGCCGCGTGTGCGGGCTGGTGCTGGTCGATCCCGTAAGCATACTCCTGCACCTGCCAGATGTGGCTTACAATTTCACCAGGCGAGTGCCGAGGACAGCAAACGAGTGGCAGTTGTGGTATTTTGCCAGTGTGGAGATGGGCGTGGCCGAGGGGCTTGGGCGGCATTTCTTCTGGAGTGAAAATATCATTTGGCGCGAGGAGCTGCTGCTGGTGGGCAGCGACATTGAAGTAGGCGAAGACAGAGATAGGCAAGACAAGGGCAAGGGCGGGACTGGGCGAACAAGAAGAGTGGCAGTGTGCCTCTCTGGGAAAGACCTCATCGTGGACACACATACAGTCGCACGGTACTTGGCGTCTGACGGGAACAGAGTCTGGTGTGATCTTGAAGAAGCATTCAAGAATGGGCCTGGTGCCCTTACAAACCACTTGGCGCCGTCTGGACTTGAGGTACTGTGGTTTCCTCACTTGGACCATGCGCAGGTGTTTGAGCATCGGAATTATCGAAAGCGCGTTGTAGAGGTTATCTCGAGGTTCTGCCGGGTCCAAGTATGACATATAAATGTACCTTATATACCATAGAGTGTACATGTATATTTCCTGTACAGAAACGTAGAGAGCTTCTGAGAGGAATGCACGGAGAGTAACAAATGACATTCCGTTATTTGCTTTCCGTCGCTGAGGATGATGTTCCCCTTAGTGTCTGCAACTGTTGGGAGGAGGTCTAAACACGACCTCTTAAGTGCCCCAACAAGGCTAGTAGGTCTTTTCATTAAATCACGGCACACATGGCATCACATTTCGCTCAACCTGTCCGTGACCCGGTTTGACGCTGTTGTATACCACTTCCGTGAAGCTGTCCTGTCGAGCCTCCGGGTCATTCGGACCTGTAAGTGAGGACGCAGGAAAACCAGCCACAGTAACGCTTCCCTTGCTCTCTCAGTCTAGTCCGGAACTAGGAACTGGTCGATGTCCACGCGTTGGTAAAAACTGACACGCTCCAAATCGATCCAATGCTGAGCCAGTCGATCGTGTGAGATCAAGAATAGATGTGAGTCGATATACGAGTCTGCCCTTTGGTTAAGACAATTCACAAACAAGCGGAAATTTTGAGTGGAAACTCACCGTTCAGAAACCCCGTGTTGGCGACATGCCCTTGACTCTTCACAACCCTCACCCCTTCAAACGGGGGCTCCTTCTCCACCCTCACAAGCCCTCCGTCCCCCAGATCTTCTACGACCCAACTGAATTCCCCCCTAGGAACGTTTGCGTCCCCGGTCAACTTGACAGCCAGCAGCCGTCGTCGAGGAATTGCGGGCTCATAGCCAAGCACTGGTAAACGGCCGTCGTCGTGGTGGATCCAGAGAAACTCACACCCGTGTCCGCTATAATCGCCTACCCAGATGCCTTGATACGGGTTCCCGGGGGTAGGCGTGTAGAGCTCTGGGTCGAGGGTTGCATAGGTGGAGATGTCATCTCCGCCATGGATGCCATGCGAAAGGAACGGGATATCCGGTATGAGGTGGTGGTCTGTCTCTGCATGTGGAAATACAGCCTCTCCCTCTGCGAACCCTCCTGTGAGGATTAAGGGATCTGGCCGCAAAGCTAAGCCATGGGAATGGAACAACCGGAGTTCAATCCATTTGCGGATGCGAAATGCTCGGTCGCAAAGCTCCCGACGGTTGTTGGGGCGACTCTCGGGCCCTAGTGGCCTTAGATAGGAACGACCCAGGCCGTCGGCGACCACACGATGAGGAGCCGGGATGGTAGGCGGAGGCCAGATGTGGCCGTACGGGAATGCCGATGAGATTAGCGTTTGTACATCCTCAGGGTCAAGGATCTTGGCGTATACAAAGTTGCTACGCATGTTGTCTATGGAGTTGAGCTGCATAGGAATCTCGGCCTGGTAACGGGACACACTTCGGCTGCTCGAATCGGCGGGATCTGCGCTGTCTCGACGCAGCCTGATCGTTCTGATATTGCCAACATATTGAGATCCACACGCTTGGATTGGGGGATTAGCTGGCAACTTGAGCACAGGATTGTCGATGTGCAGCTTGACCACAGGGTCGAACGAGTGTACCATGACAGGGGGCTCCGTATCCCATACATGGAAGCTCCGACTCTTTTTGTTGGCCAGGAGCTGGTAGCCCTCAATGCAGCCACGGCGTTGGTCATAGCGGACGAGGATGAGCCGGCCCGGGAGATCGAGATCTGAAAACCAGATTTTGTACTTTGGAAGGAACCAGCGGGGGTAGTGGGCCCGAAACAGGTCGTAGAAGGTACGGCATGGATATGGCGAGGTGACGCGCACTCCAGGCACGTTGTCTTGTATTAGGGCTTGCCAAAGATGATCGGCCATCGCGTGGCTGTACATGTCCCTGGAAGTTTTGGCAAATCCGATGAGATCTTCGGCAGTGAGATATGAAAGAATGTCGCTAATAAGCTCGGCAGGGAGGGATGCAAGATGACAAACTCCAGCCGGCGCGGTGATCTCGCCATCTGCGAGAGCGAAGTGAGCCACTGGCTGTCATGTACGGTATCAGCCTCGATCCAGGACTGACCTCTCGACTTTCCTTTCCCCTTGACGTTATCGGGCCGGGGATAGGGATCCTCGTCATCCGACGGAGGATCTAGGAGCATCGTCACATCGGTGGACGCATCGCCTTGCGTGGCCTGGTCAGCGGTCGAGTGGCCGGGGTGGAGGCTACTTGTTCCATGACCGGTGATGGGGTCAACAGATTCTGCAAAGATCCGGCCTGGGTCGCTTGCCATTTTAATCGTGGTGGACCGCCTTCGATGGGGTTAGGAAAGCTCAAGAAATCTGGCTGAAGGGCCAAGCTTCCGATGGAGGCAAGAAGCCGAAAGCTCATGAACGAGGTACAGTACAGTCCCCCTTCAGGAAATCTGCTTAAAAAAGTTTGCGGGGCCGCAATGTTAGACTGATGGAAGTCTGCTATCCCTGCCCGTGCATGACGACGGCGCGAGGTCCGGGTGCGGGGCAAGATGATCGCATCGGCTGAATGTGCCGGAGAACGGTGGGGTTTGTTCTCAGTTGGAGACGCAGCAAAGCTTAAGCTCACCTCACCCTTGTAGCGGGGTAACACTGCGGGGAAGGAGGTATCTCGAATTTGTACCAGTATTCTTCTCTTTTTTCGTTTTTTCGTAGCAGTACCTCTTCCACCGGTCTACAGACAATGCGAACAGGTAGAGACACCGAGAACTATTCCTCCTGTTATTTAGGTCAACAACCACCTGGAGGATTCCAACGTTGACCGGGTCTCAAGGAGTTCTTTCCTTCAAGCATCGTATCGTTCAGACATCTCTCGCTTTACCTACCTATAGCAATCCCAATTGCTATCGCCCATCTCGGCTCTCACTCAACCAAGCAAGCCCTCAGCCTAACCTCAGGGGCAATTGGGCCGTCGCCCAACTCATTGATTACTTGCTGGCCCTAGTTGATTCGGGCCACGATTATTGACATTGGCCATGCGCATTATTTATTATTAAGGCAACCGAGGGTGTCTTGTTCCGGATGCAAACGCGGTCTTTCAGAGAACACACAGTTTCTCACTGCTTGGAAGCTTGTGGTATCTACCCGGCAAAGTGATACTTTCTGGTATCAAGACTCAAGCCTGTCCATTACTCCCCCAGCCGCCTCTTTAAGATCTGAATGCATCTTGGCGGTATTCGACGATACATAACCAGAATGGCGTCCCTGCTACCCTTGATCCAGGACATTCTGCCCATGATAATACCAGCATCCATCACAGTAACTAAGGCCGCCGACATACTACCTCCTGTGACCGAAGCCAACGGAGATGGGCAAGAGAGATCTAAGGTGCAGGTCATCAGCCGGAACGCGGTTGTCGACAAGACGGATAAGATGTGCGCATCCGGTGAGAAATGTTACCTCTCAACCCCAAGCCACGGACAGACTAGTTAAACCGGCATCACCAGTCCTCATTGTAAAGCCAAAGGCATCTTCCTCGGTGCGCCATTATGGCGAGCAAGGTACGCTGTTTGTCCAGTCGCTACCCCTTTTCCCCACAACAACACATATCGGTCGGGTTGGAATTCCGCCAAGTTTTGAACCACAAGCTTAAGTGACGCTTCAGAAGCCATAATATACGCAGTCTTGGGCAAGGGCGCAATACTCTCACCGCCAAAGGATGAGGGGGAGGAGCCTGGGCGGCACGAGCTAGAGCAAGGCGATTTTGCATTCATCCCTGCGTGGACCGAACACCAAGCCGTGAATGAGTGCGAAGAAGGCGACTTCCACTTGATCGTCATCCGCAGCGGCGGACATCCTGTCGAGGTCAACTTGACAGACTGGGGCGGCGCGGAGGTCAAAGTCAACAATAAGCAGAGCCAGTAGTGGAAGGGCGGAGCATCACGGCGTTTCAATAGAAGACACTGGCAGCCTTGTGTTCACCGACGCACCCGAGAATACTCAAATGCCCAAGCGAGATCTTGCATCACCTATGCCGCCAAAGCCGCAAGTCAGGAAAACCGCAATCACTCCGTTGAGACCAATGGCCAACCTTGAGCCTTACTTGAGCTTTTTAAGGGACAACACCCGCAGCACCTTATGAGCTGAGTCGTGGCAAAATGCACCGCAGTGGGGATAGTATACATGCTACTCATCGACACCTCGGAGGAGAATAAGCATCTAAGGGGCCAGCCATCAAGGGGCCAGTCATTTCACACACGCTTGGGATTAGGATACCTATAGCACATCTGGCGACGGAAGGGGCAAGAGCCTTGCAGTAACCCTGTCTGTCTATGCTAAAACCCACGATTGGAAAAAAATAAAAGATACAATTGGGCGATGCGGTGGCTGCATCCTCCAGCAACGGCCCAACAGCTCATCCCATACGCCTGGAGAGAAAAGGTAATGCACAAGTGTGAATTAAACAACGGCCAATCGCTGGGCACGCCTTCTAAATCTTACCCTCAAAAGACGCCCAGCTGAGATACGCCCTCAACTCCCGGATTAGTACATATGATCCTCCAACAGCTCGCCGACCAGGAGCATCACTTCCCAGCCGCCGCAGGGCCAGCACCCTGCCTGAGCATCGCGTCCCTCACCTCCTTTGCCTCCTTCTTAAACCCGCATCCGTAGGTCTCCCCGGTGGACCAGACCACGCCCTTCCCATCTCCATTATCCGTGCACTTAGGACAGATCTTGACCCGGTGCCAAGCCGTCGCGAGGTTGCCTCGGACGTTATATATCCCCCTGTGGCTTTCGGGCTGGGTGTTGTACGCGTCGTCGGTCGCCTTGACGATGAGGGTGGTGCAGTGTTTCTTTGACTGAGAGCTTCTCCGTCCTTCCTCGTCGTCGCAGTCACTTCCACCGCTGTGTGCCAAGGGAGTTTGACCGGAAGGCAAAGGAGACAGGACGGGGAGGTGGCCAGTATATCGCCAGCGCTTCCACGCCCAGGATTTGTTGCCGAAGCAGCCAGCCTGTCCCTCTGCCGGGGTGCAATCGTCGACCAGCTCGGCTTGGTCCCATGTCCTGCCGCCATCGAGGGACACGTCTACGCGGGCGATGGCACGGCCGCCGCCCGAGTACGCGTATCCTTGCAGTGCGATGGGTTCGGCGGGGGTTTTTTCAGAGCAGTGTGATTGCTGCTGCTGCTGCTGCTGCTGCTGCGCGGGTTCTGGGGAGGTGTTGGCGGATGATTTCGGGGTGAAGCCGACCTTTTTCTCGACTGCGGCCATATCTACGATCCTGCTGGGGCTTGGCGCTTGGGCATTGTCTTCGTCAATACCTTTCACTGCCATCCAGGGGACGCGGCCCTTGCGCACGCAGTCTCCTACCCAAACACCTGTGATGGCGCTGGTAACAGGCATTTCCTGGATCGAGCGAGCGCGGTCCCAGTCCGGGTTGGCACCCTCATTAGGACCGAAAGCTTTATAGTCGCGTCGTTGCCATTGGCTAGTGCTTTCTTCGTCCGAAATGACAATTTTGCTCAGCCACTTGACGGAGCGGGCAGCAACATGCCCAGGGACGACTGCCCTCAGAGGAAATCCGTGGTCTTTCGGCAGCGGCTTGCCATTCATGCCGAATGCGAGCAGGACGTCGCCGCGTGGATCGAGAGCCTTAACGAGAGGAATGGAAGCACCGTAGGCTTCGAGGCCGGTGAACTGAACGTGTAGGGCATTGGCGTCGGCCTTGTTATTGCTGGGTGGGGCGGAAAGGGCCTTCTGTGTCGGTGCTGTAGCGTCGGCCACCTGGAGTCCGGCGTCGGCAAGAACGTCGGAAAGTCGCACCCCCTCCCACTCGGCATTGCTGATCGCGCCTACACCCCATTGCAGACCGTTGGTCTTACCAGCATGTCGTGTCATGTCGTTCCGTCTGTTTCCGCTACACTGTAGCACGGCGGTGACCTTGTGAGTCGGGAACCGCGTCTTCAACTCCTCCAGGGTATACCGCCTCGTCTCACCATCCGGCAACTCGACGGTCAGCGCGTGCTCGTTGGCCTTGGCCTCGTCCACCGCAGGCACCCACATATGATGTCGAATGTAGAACAATTCATTGGGCGTGAGGAAGGTGCGGTCGAGCTCCTCATTTGGAGGCTCGGCGTTACGCGGTTTGGCCGTGTGCGTGATGAGGCGCGAGTCCCGATCAGGGTCGTTTACAAAGGGATCCTCCACAGCCTCGGCGGGTGGACGTCCGTCTGCGTCCAGGTCGGCTTGGTCGATGTAACCGATCAGATACTGTTCCAATATTTCGCGTACGTGTGGCGCCTTGTGGATGGTAAAGATGTCCCAATACGGCTCGATGCCTGCGCCGGCAGCACGGAGGATCACATCCCCTCCCGGGTGTGCGGCAACCCAATCCGTAATGTTATAGACTTTGTCCTCGAATGTAACCCACGGCTCAGACGAGGAGGCATCGTGCTTTCGAATGTCGGCGAGGCGATATCGGGGGAGGGATGGATCTCGGCTGTCGGTGGAAGGGGTTGGAAGTGTGTTGTTGAGGTCCGGGTTGTCCGGAGGTCTATACTGTGAAAGAGCAACGATCGAGGCGAGAAGGCTGCCGCCAATGAGAAAGCTCACTGGGACTGCTCGGGCATTGCGAATCTGCCGGCTGCGTGTCGTTGATGGCTTGGGGACCGTCGAGCGCGCCGTCGCGTCGGCCGGAGCACGACGCTGCGCGCTCGTGTGCAAGTGTCGAGGCCGCAGTCCACAGGCTCGGTGAACCGTCGGTTCGGCCGTGTTGCATTGTGTGATCCGGCGAAGTATGTTGGCGGCTAGACGGCCAAGCGATCGTGTTACCATGGCTAGTGTTCTTTGCAGACCTGTGAACGAGACGCCGAGGCGACCGAACGACGATGATGATCAAGGCAACCAGCCTACCGTGATGACTACCGGTGCCTATGCTTCATCATATATTATATGGTACCGCCGGGGTGGAAGTCTGGCTTGTCCTTCGGAATTCCTTCAGGACCCGTGGCAACAATCAGGACGCCCTCGGATGACTGGAGTCACACGGTTCGTTGGAGTTGCCGGATTGCGGCGAGATACGCAGAGAGCGGTCAACGAGGGTTTGAGTTCTGGATCTTTTTCACCTCTCAGGTTTCCCAATTCCGGGCAACCCTCACCGCCCAACAGAAGAAGCAACTGAGAACAGGGAGTCATAGCTTCAGTGAGCAAGAGCCAGGGGGTGAGTAAGGAGGACCGCGTGCAGCTTTTGCATGGGTCTCTCTTTCTGTTGGTGAGTTTGACGCTCCGATGCTGGCCGCTCGCAGTAAAATTTACTGAACAGGCCCGTTACGTCAGGGACCTGCAGGGGCGCATGTCGGCAGCAGTCCCCGTTGGCTGGGTTCAGTGGATCACCGTTCCATTGGGTCAGCTGACGGGTGGTCCGTAAGTGTAGTGTAAATTGCCCTGTGACCGTTTTCACTTACGGTACGAAATATGGTAATTTACGGTACGATACGTAATTGATAGCGGTGGGGTTCAACCGTCTGTGCGAACACGCACCTCACGGTTGCAAGCTGCAACTTCACCTCACATCAAATGATCAAACCACCTTCGACGACAAGGCGTATTGTCTATCTACCCTTACCTATTTACCGGCATGATTCCTGCTACCAAAACATACAGAATCCTACTAACACTTGAACAACAATCTGAAATAATAAACCTCAGGGATCACCACGAAAATGGGAAAATGGGGATCACTCATCAAAAACCAACAACCGAAGTGTAATAAAAGTGCTCAACGGCAAGCCCGAGCGATGACTCAGCCCCCCTCAACCGCCGAAACGGGCACCCTTCTTGAACGCTGACACCAACCTCCCAACCTTCTTGGGCGGTGACGACCCGCGAACAAGCGGCTCAGCGTACTTGACCTGCTTCACGACCCGCGCCGCTTTGGCTGTGTGCACCACTTCATCATAATCATCATCACTGTCATCAGGGACAGCAAAACGCTTGCCTGACGATGTTTGTACCGGTACCAATTCCGGCACGGGAGATTCCGATCCGGATGCGGCGCCGGTTGTACGGGAGTCCCTTCGACGAGCCCAGTTCGGGGTGCTTGGCGTGATTGCTAGGGCGGACAGCGGCGCGGAGTGCGGCGAGAAGAGCGGCGGCGACACTGAGACCGTTATGCTTGGGGGCCGTGCCCGTTTGCGAATACGCTCGCTGCGGCGGGTCGGGAGCTCAGCCGGAGGTTTGTATGACGGGTCTTTAGAGGCTACGGATTTTTTCCTGGATGTGGCGGCCTTCTTGGGGGCTCTGCGGCTACAAGGTTAGTTTAGAACCAAGGAAAGGGGAGCACATGGCGGGATATTGACTTCTTTGTAGCGGCTGCTTTGGCCGTTGTTGGAAGGGGCTTTGGCCGTGAAACCGATTTGGGCTTTCCGAACCCCCATCGCGTCTTTTTGGGCCGTTCTGTCTCCGCCGCCGACTCCCCACTGATGGCTGACCGGAAGTAAGATTTGGACCTGGTGTCAATGGGACCCTCGGCCTCGTCATTCGGCTTCTGGATACAGTTCTCGACGTGGTCCATCCGCAGATCGAGCCGACGGTCGAGTTCGACACCGCACCATGGGCAATACTTGGCGTCGTCACGGCCGTGGTCTCTGCAAAAAATAGCATGCCTCTCCTGGTACGCCTCAGAGAACTGCCCAAGCGGAAGCGAGCACTTCTCACAGAACGGTGCGTCTGAAGGAATGTCGCCGCATACATGATTCTTGTGGCCGTTGAGCCCTAGGGCACTAGAGATGTGTTCTCCGCAAATCTCGCACGCCGACCAGTCGTCCTCGCGGTCCTGCACGCCGGGATAGCAGACGCTGTCATGGTGTGTCCGGTCTGCCTGCACATTGAGAGTTGCGTGGTCGCGCCCACAACGCGCGCAAAACTTCCAGCGACCTTCGCGATTGTAATCGACACGCGTCTCACTCAAGCTCTGAACTTGCCTGTCCTCTGGCTGCGTTCCTAACAGCTTTAGAATGTCAGCGTGTTCTTTGACAAAGTGTTGGTAGCGCTGCTGGGGGGGCCAGTGTTGGAACAGCGTTTCATCGCACAAGTTGCAATTCTCCACGATATGGCTTGCCCGGAGATGTTGTTGCATCATCCATTTCTGATCAGCTGGATATACGGCATGGCAGCCCTCGTACGGACATCGCTCTATGCGTGACAAGAGCAAATCGCGCATGTTGCGATAGTCTCTTTGCATTCGCCGGACTTCTGTGGGCGTCAGGACGGATAGTGAAACGATCGGCAGGCTCTCATATCCCAGGTTGAGCAGCATGTCGACGGGCGGTGCGCGGGCAGGGATGCTCCTGACTATCTGATAATCTGGCTGGACATAGCTCTGCGTTCGTAGACGCTGCTCGCGCTCTACGTTCGTCACTAAGGAAGTATGGTGGTCGGGCCTTCCTGGCGACAGGCGACCAGCGCTAGCCCGGTTAAGCCCCCCAGCATCCCTCTTTGTCCGAACATACGGAAAACCTCTGGTATTCAAGGATACGCCTGGCGGTTGGAGGGGATAGTCGGCGGACTCAAAAGACTCTGACAGAGGCCGCGGCTGTTTATCCCCCGGCTGGATCGTCTTCAGTTTCGAGCACACATCCTCTGCCCACAGCTGATAGTCGTAGTAACGTGTCATTGCGGGGATTTCCTCCTGTTCTAGTGCCCGGTACAGCGAGGAGCTTGGGGTTTTGTAGATCTCGCGGTATCCGAATGGCTGCTGTGTGTCCAGATCCCCAAATCCTAAGCGCACGTTAGCGGACACGAAACCTTATGGATAGTTTACCTCCTCATACTGGGGAGATTCTGTTCATCCACCGTCCAGATGAACACTTCGGGCTCGACGACCATCCTGCATAGCAAACGCCACTCATCCTCTTCCATATCAGGACCGATCAAGAGCTTCGGTTTATTCTCTTCGGGATGGGTCACATGCGCCGGCTTGCCAGCACCCTTCCTAGGGCGGCTCTGGGTGATTGCAATCCATGATCTCTCCGTGTACGGCGTTTTCCAGATCCCTCTTGGCCATATCTCCGCCACCAATCGACGGAACTCTGTTATGCTCGTGGATGCCGGGTCCCAGATTACCGCTTTGGCCCCTGTATCAGACCCGCGGATGGTATAGTCTTTGAAGACAGGGCGAATGGTGATGAATTGTGGGAACATACTGAGTCCGTCAGCGGCAGGTCGCACCCCAAGTTTGGTTTTCAGCCAAGACTCCCACTGTGCAAGGCGGTTCGCCACTGGCGAGAATTGCGCCGCGAGGTCTTTGGCTGTCATTTTAACGACCAGGGGCTCATCAAAATCATCCGAGCGGAAAAACAGACTTCCTGGCATATACACCTCGAGTGACTTCAGCTTGGAAAAGGTCTCCTGGGACATGGACTCCTTTATCAGGCTCATGATGGCATCTCCCACATATTGAACGTTGTCCACTTCTTGGTGCAGGATATATTGTTTCTCATATGGCCGGGCCAGGCCCGGGAGAAACAGGTGCCAACGATCGCTGATGCGGATGCCGGAGGCCCCCGTCCCGAATTCGGGAGCCGTCGTGGCGCTCAACTGAAGGTGCTGGGACCTGCCCTTCTCCCACTTGTCCAGAATCAGCTCCCAAAGCTGAGGAAGGAAACACAAGCCGCCGTATGTGCTGATATTCTTGGCTGCTTGGCCTCCTAGTGACTCTCGAATGCTGAACCAGGCGTCCGGGATAGCCAGGTACCCGGGACGGCCTGGAATCTTGCCAGGGACGAGGACACGGCATATGTGCCGCATCCAGTCCCCATATTGGTTGGTGTAAGCGACATCTCTGGGGTTCTCGGGCATCCGAAGATAGGCAACATCCGGCCGTTGCAGCTTCGGCCCGCCGACCAAGTCCAGCACCACTTTCATGACCCGATGGCGGTCATCAGGCTCCCAAACCCAGGGGATTGGGTCATCCGGTCCAGCCACAAAGAGTACCTTTTCGTATGCAACCGCTTCGTCTTCGTTCGCAGCTAATGGGTTCAGTTTTCCAACGATCCACATCCATACCAAGTAGTCATGGCTATAGTCGCCGACGCCGGCGCACCACATGGTGAGGCCGTTATTTTCTCTGTCTTGCAGAAATCGATCTCGCTCAGCTTGGCTCGCATAGTCCGTTCGCTTGTCGAGGAGGTAGACCGAATATGTTACCCCAGCACGGTTGTCGAGACAAAGCAAGCGGTCGACTGCGTCGACGAAGGTGTAGAAGTTGTCGAGCCGAAACCAGACAATTCCCTGGTACCCATACAGTGGGAGCCATCGCTTCTCTATCGCGGTAGGGATTGTCGCGCTCAGACGAGTCTCAAGCAGCAGTAAAAGCTGGGGCGAGGACGACCACCGACCCGGAAGCCGGGGGTCAGGGGAATAAGTGTTGTGTAGCTCCTCAAAGACCTTGCACGGAAACATAACCCTGTTATTCCGGCCCCATATAGGGCGTACGTCAGGCGCTTCCTCGGGCGAGATATCCTCGCCAACCGCACCACCCCTCAGCGCCAGCGAGGCTTCCGCCCTCTCCGTCCGAGGGTGCGCTCCTGTCTGATACGGCCAGAGCTTCGGGCTCGACACTGTATCGCAGTCAGCACTTGCTCTACCTCAACACCCCTCTTATTTTCCCATTCATCACGCATCAAATCCCCCACTATCTCTTCGTGCAAGTAAACGTACCCCTGACAAGCTCACTCTCATGCGTCCCCCCCTTCTTGTACGCGTCCAGCCATCTCAACCTTCCTTTCTCCCCATCTTCCCCCAAGCCACCTGCCTCTTCCTCACCGCTCCCCTCCCCTTCCTCCAAATAATCCACTTCAAACCCGGCTAAATCCTCAACCCCTCCAGCAGCCCCCTCCCCGAACCGCAGCGGAGGAACCGACAAGCCAATCCACGCCAGGGCCAGCCGGAACGCCACATCCTCCTTATCCTCCTCGCTGAAGGCCGCGGCGAACCGTTCCTTGCGGAAAAACTCTGCGTAGAACCGCGTGATATCCCTCTGCATGCTCGCCAGCCACGGGTTCTGCTTTGCGCGCCGGCCGGTGCAGGGGGTCAGGAGGTCGCGCTCGTGCGGGGTGAAGTGTTCCTCGAGGATGGAGGCCAGTTTGTCAGCGGGGGGTCTGGCGGCCTGATCGGCGCTGTCGCTGTCATTGAGCAGGCCGCGGAAGGTGGCTAGGACGGTGCGGAATCCGGGGCAGTTTGCCGGGTTCGGACTGGTGAGGGAGGATATCAACAAAGAATAATCGTCCCGGTTTGGCAGTGCAAAAGAGGGTTTGGGGACAGAGGTGGTGGTGGTGGTGCTGAGCGAGCTGTCTTGGGCTGCATCAGGGACCACGAACCGCGGGGGTTCTTGGGATGGGCTCCCGATGCGCCGGCGTTTGGAAGCCTGGAGTGGTGTGCCTGACCCGGTGCCCCTGCTGGTGCTGCTGTTGACGCGCTTCTCGCTGCGGTTTCCCGTCGCGGTTGCGGCTTCTGGGGATAACGGGGAGGTGCCGACGTCATCAGGGGCTTTTTGCGCGCTGGGCTTTAGGCGGCGCAAGAAGAACATTGTGGAATACAGATGTTGTTGACGTTAGCACGTATGGTGATTTGGATTGCGGCGGTTGGTTTCGCTCCCTTGCCCCTCTTTAGATTACGTCTGGAGGTATGTTAGGGAAAGCAGGAAGTGTTGAGGGAACCCAACGAAAGATGTAGGCTCGGGAGACTGACCTTGGTGTTGGCCGGGAACATATCTGGTCAGGGAACAAAGGGGCTGGACAAGTTGGGGTGGTCGATGGACCATGGTGTTTGCACTCTTCTTGGCTTGCTTCTCTCAATGCAGCAGCAATACCTGGCCATGCTCTTTGTTGAATTTCGAAGCCAGCTGGTACCCTGGCTCCATTACAAGCACAAGAACAAAGGCGCACCGCTGCTTGCGAACAAGCAACAAGGTTGGTAGGTTAGCTATCATCCGGAATAGGCAGTTCAGCATCTAGGTTGGGCTTCTTAATTTTGTTGATATCGACAATGGAGGGATCCTTAACTCGATGGATCAGCTCCAAACCCGAAATCCGCGATGGAGTCAAGCTCTCTTTGCCGTGCGATATACACACTGCCACTGATAGCGGGTACCCCGACTCTCTTGTCACCCCAAGTGCTCTGGAGGATGGTTTCAGACCCTGGAAAAAGTCGAGGTCAATCCGGTTCATCGGATAAGTGTTCAAAGATCTCTTCATAGTCAATATTTCCATATGCAAAACATAACCCAATAAGTCTGTATGCACCAAGAAGATCAAGTGTATGGCTCCTTGTTCAAACACTTTCGGTGTGGTCGCCAACCTTGGACTTCTCAGAATCCCCGCCGGGTGTCACATATTCTCCGCGCAAGAGTTGCGTAAGACCGATCTCGGCATTAATCTCCTCCATACGCTCAAAGTCGCTCTGCGCGGTGCCTTCCGAACCAAAGATGACGTCCTATTCAAGGCTCAGGTTAGTTTATTCTAGGAACTGTCAACCACGCTCTGGGAGTGACCTTACCATCTCTTCCAAAGTCAAGCGCTTTGTCTCGGGTACGAAGAACCAGATGAAGGCAGCGCCCATATATGTCAACAAGCCAAAGACAATATAAGTCCCATAGGGAATGCTTTCCAGCATATCAGGCGTCACCTGGCCGACGATAAAGTTGTTCATCCAGTTGCTCGAAGCACCCAGGGCGACACCATACGGCCGAGTGCTCAGCGGCCAAATTTCAGCGACAATGATCCATGCACAGGGTCCCCATGAGTACCCAAAGTGTATGACGAACAACCACACCATGCATACGGCAGCCCAGCCTGCAGCGGGATGCTCATGCCACTGGCCGATGTTCTTGGCCACAATGACGGCGATGATGATGTGGCAAGTGGCCATTCCGATGGCGCCAACCGTGAGCACCGGCTTGCGGCCGACCCGGTCAATCCAGAGGACGGAGGGAATGGTGGCAAGAAGCATGACGATGCCAACGACACCGGTTGCCAAGAGCGATGTGGTAGTGTTGCTGAGGCCCAGATCCTGGAAGATGAAGGGAGCGTAGTACAGAACGGCGTTGATACCAGTCCACTGTTCTTCATCAGCATCAATGTCAGCTTTCACTTCTAGACAATTGGGTCTCACCTGCTGAAAGAACATGGTTACGGTGGCTACGATGACGCGTTTGAACATGGCTCTTGTCTGGAACAACTTCTTGATGGCGACAAACTGCAGTTTGAAGATGTTCCATGCTGTTGGCTCGCGCAACTCGGGAAAGAGTTCGGCAACGGTACGCTTTTCAAACAATGACTGTGCCTTGATCTCAAGAAACTCGAGTTCAACGAGCTCGTGGTTAGGCGACAGCCCACGGAGATCGGAAAGCACCTTGCGCGCTTCCTCCTCCCGCCCGTGGTGCATCAGCCAGCGCGGTGAGAAAGGCATGAAGATCATGCCAACGAATAGCAACAGGGCAGGAGCAAGTTGCAAGCAAACAGGAGTCAGCCAGGCGGCGTCACTCTGCGTCTCGAGCTCGGTGCCGCCAATGTAGTTGGTCCCGCTGTGCCCTGTTAGATAAGACCTTCGGGGAAGGGAGTCCAGGACCTACTAGTCGATCCAGAAACTGATAAAGATACCGAAGCAGATAGCCAACTGCTGCGTTGCCACCAGAGCCCCACGAACCTCTGGAGGTGCTACTTCGGAGTTGTAGATAGGGATGATCATAGCGAGGCTACCGACACCCATACCACTAACACCAAGTCAGTCTCATACCAGGTTGCATCGCCAGAGGGGGAACGTACGTTACGAATCGCCCAGCCAAGATAGCATTATGCCCAACTGACATCGCCGTTGCCTGCACAATGACGCCGATCATGAACACTGCACACGCGACCAGCACCCCGTACTTTCTTGAGAGCACCTCGGCAAGGAAGCCAGAGAGAAGAGTGCCGATCCAGGCACCAAGCTCCAAGATAGCGGTGAGCCATCCCTTCTTCGACGGGTCCGTTGTGTACTCGCCCATGTCTGAAGCCAGTCAGCAGATTCTCGGGAGGAATACATGACATGAGTCCGCAACACGTACGCTTCCCGAAAGAAGGCATGGCCAGTACACCTGAGAACATGCCCTGGTTGTATCCATACAGCACGCCGCCAATGCAGGCAAATGCAGCGACCCGAAAAACGCGAAAGTTCTTGATCAATGCCGATGGGCCGCTCTTGCCCATCATGGCCTGGCGCTTTTGAAGGGCCGCATCGTAAAAGCCGCCGGCGCCGGCATCGCCTCCGCCACCCATTCTCGCGATCTCTTTCGGTTTGAAGCCCGTGTATGTCAAGATGGAGGGGACTCAAAGGAGAAGAGAATCAAAATGCTGGGAGGAAGCTGAGGGAGAAACCCAACGAAGAGGGAGAAGAAATCGTTGAGGGAAGGCGCTCAGGACGCGAGTGGGGGACCTTGCTGCCCTTTTTACATTCAACCTCCGAACCCCAGACACCTGGATGAACGGAAGCTACGACCTTAGCTACGAAGCTACCCCCCAACATCCATGTAGGTCATGATCCAATCCCACCCAATAGCCCCGGGCTGCATCGGGGCATCTGCTACGTTCTTCATCCAATAGCCCGGAACCAGGCAAAATAGCGTGTTCTTCGTAGAACTCGCCGCCGAGAACCTCGGATGACATATTGCCCCCTGCGTCGACGGATAGTCAGGGACCAAGCAGACGGGCACCCGACATATCCCAGAAACAATCAGGCGAGAGAATGATCCCCAATCGTCGTGAAAATTGTGTATTACATGCATGGCTCCCCGCGTCCCTTACCGGTCAGCCTAGGGAGATGAGGTCAGGCCGTAGTAAGCATCTCCATCGAGCTCCCCAAGCCATCATCCAAGTTTCCCCATCTAATGCATGGGGGAGCAAGAGAGTGGCCCATAACCCCGGATCCAGCAAACATTATGGGTCCTGGAGAAGTTCCCACGTTGCCCCTCGTACTCCGGATGAATGTCCATACCCACTATTGGCCGGTTCGGTCCCTTTCCTAAACTTCAGTCAGACTGCGGATCCTGTCGAAAGCCAGGAATCGCCTCATCGCCTCTCTGGACGCCGTTTCGCCGCCTCGTTTCCTCTCGCTCCGGACATCCTTCGTAGCTGACGCAGTACGCTAAGGAAAACCGCAGTCTTCTTCTGCACATTTGTTCACATAATCTTTCCTTTCGCCGGACGGCGCGGGATAACGTGCTCTAGCTGGGGGACTCCAAGGAGGGAAAAGGGTGGTTACCTCGCTGCCAAGGCATCAAAAAGCTTACAGCATGTCTTTGCAGATCGTTACTGTAACCCCAGCTCCCGGTTCATGTAATGTACATTGCCGGCCGTGGTCCCGCAAGTTGATTAATCCACAAGAGGCAAAGTGGTGACAGGTGCTCCCCGCTTCCCGGGGGACTATCATTTAGGCTAAATGAAGCTGGGCTCCATCCGCAAGTCGGCCCATTGAGGAACATTTTACCCAGTTCATTGGAAACCGTTCGTTTGCTCTAGGGGAGAAATCATCGGGCCTTTTTTCTGTCGGCAATCCTGAAAGGGAGAGGGAATGTGGGGTTGCGGTTAGCTTCTCTGCAGCGGCGTCTTTGCTTCGCTTGGCCGGCTGGCGAGCTCCAGGTAAGCTTTTCAGTGCCGCAATGGGAAGCGCTTGTGGCGTTTCTAGTGGCTTGGGTGGCTGCAGCTTAGCGCAAGCTTAGTTCATGTCGGGTTTGAGCTCGGAGTCCGTCATGGGTTGGTTACTCGGCGCGAATTTTGCCGACCGGACTCGCCGACCCGGGCGGGACCGGAAGTAGGCACGATTCGGACTCGGCCCGGACTCTACCATTTGCTTAGTTCGACTTGAGACACTAATCCGGTCTTTCTCCCATACTTGAATGTCAGGGCACCTCTACTCTCGCAGATTGGCTTAGCCTATCCGACAGCAATTCACGACCTTCAACCGTAAGCTCCATATTACCTATCCGCGTGTTACAACTTGAACACGAACTGAGTGGCTCAAGTGCGTGGCCCATGTGCCCGCTATAAAAAATCGAAACATCTCCCTTCCAAGTTTCTTTGGCCATCGACTCTTTAAAAGTATCAGTGTCTCTAGTGTCAAGGTCTCTACGAACGACCCGTCTCAGGTGTCTCGTCTTGCATCTTGCCCTATTGCCTGCAGATCGAAAGTCGCAGCAAGACAGCTGGCCAGAGTGCCCAGTTGGCTCCGAACTTCTGTGTTCCTTCTGTGCCGAAAATACTTTTATGTTAAGGTTCCTTTGGATTATCCCCATCCTTAGCTGCTCACACTTGCGGCCCCCGGATACGGTTGGTTGTCGTGACCTTTCCTCTGAACTCTGAAGGCGGCGGGTTGCATCATCAGCCCCACTGCCACATGGATGGATGACATAATCATCGATGCGTTACATACGAATTTCCATCCACAAAACGGCAAATCGCTACAAAACCCCTACTATAATAAGAGACAAAAGAAACGCCGGCCTGCGGTGGTATTTGTTGTTAGTTTATGCCAGGTAAGGCGATTTATCTCTGACTCTGTAACCTGTATATCGATTCTAGCATGCAGGGTTTACAGTGTTCCAGTCAGCCGGAGCCGATCTGCAATGGAAGATCTCTTATGCATGACCTGCGGGCCACTGGCCGGGACCTTGTGCTGCTTTATTTGAGGTTGGCCAAATCTCGAGGCCAAGAGCCTCGTGGTGCGCCTAGGCAGAGACATACTGTGTCGGAATGCCGCCTAACCAGGCCTAGACATATTTCCGGAACGGTGAGCATTTTGTAGAGTAGGCATCGGGAAAACCATGGAGAAACAGGTATTCCACTTCATAATGTAGTGGTAAACAGCACTGCGAGAACCACTGCACCCGAAGGTGACCACCTCGAGCTATGTAAGCCGGCTCCGGTCTCGGGGATGTTGGGCCGATTCCATTGTCGGCCGGAAGCGGGAACCCGGCAGCATCATACCTTGGGAGCACACGTTTTTTTACCAAATACGGATTGTTCGTACGCTATAAGCCACGAGCCCGATCTTGCTTTGTTTTGATCTAAATAAAGCGAAGATATCTGACTTTACAAGTGCGCTGTTCTAGATCTGACAGGATGGAGCCTGAAGCAAGCTCAAACCAACAGCGCCTTAATAAGCAGGATCGCCATGATTGACTTCAACATGATATTGATAAGATTCGGCATGATCCAGGCCCGGGGCAGTGGATGCCCTACCGAGACTGTGGATTTCCAGGCAACGATGAAACCGGCCAGACCCGAACTATAAACGAAAACAAGCTGATTTAAACTGTGAAAGAATCATGGGCCCCGGCCCGCTGTCGAGTGTTGACGGGCCACGGCCTCGGCAGACCAGCCGATGGATCGCTCCCTAAAAAAGAATGCAAAAGAAAAATTGCCGGAGTTGCGACCGAGAATGCCGGCCGGAGCTGCTACGGAGTACCCCGGTCACCTTGGTCAATGCCAAGGTCTGGAGGAAATGTTTCGAAACAAAAACACACTTGGCTTTGGCCCCCAACGGCCCAGGTAGCCGTCAACACAAAAGAGCCTTTGGCCTGCCATTCGATGCCTAACGAACATTCGGCTCCTGCAGCTGTGAGCTTGTGGAACAATGAGGCGTAGGACTGTTCAGTATACGGGGTAGTCCTGGTCCAGTGTAGAAAGTCTAGACTCTAGAATCTCGTCTCTATGTCGAAAGCCAGCAGAGGGAATACGTCCTTGAGGCTAAAGGCGCGCCTCATACTGGCAGCCGCTGTGCCACCCAGGAGGCTCATATAGAATTTCCCCAAAGACAACATCAAGCTTCCAGAAGGAAGCGCACTTGGGCCCTGGGAGATAGTTCCTATGAAGCTCGAAGATGAGAAGGGGGCGGCTGTGTCGGCGACGGTGGACATAGCTAAACTCAGTAGCTTGCATTTGAGGGCAGGCAGGAACGAACATGTAGTGTTGGTGGTGGTATCTTGAATACCTAGTTACCACAGTAGGCGGTTATTGGAAAATATGTTAGTGTACGGAGGTACTGTGCCGTCATTCTTGCCAGGGCAGGCATGGTGCGAGATGTGGCCAAGATCTGTCAACTGAAGTCATCTCAAATTTTCCGGACTGAGGTGGGAGCTTGGACCGCCCCGGGTAACACGAAAACGGCGTTGTGTAGGGGCACTATACGTTCCTGAGAGCACATCACTTACTGCTGCAATTCCCGATCTCAAGAAGCGCGAATAGTCGCGGGCTGTCTGCTCTATAGTGTACTGCACGCGTCTGCGCAGTATCTACCGGCGGCAGAAAAGCAGATGGCAGGTGCGTTGGAAATCGCGATCACCAACGGCTGCGGAGACGGACCAATAGCAACAAGCATGGCAAAGTGTAGCACGTGCATTTGTCCAATTTTAGGCGGTTAACGTTCCCTACCCCAGAAGGTATGATCGCGCCCCACAATACGGACCCCACGCATTAGATCTTGACCTGATCGGTGAAATTGACGCGCGCCTGTGCTCCTATCCGATTGCAACGCGGAGAGGGAAAAAACAACGCGACATGGCTCTTGCCATCCAATCTGCATCGACAGGCCAAGCTCACCTCACTCATTGGCAGCCGGCACCGGACTGTAAGCTGTCTGGACAACTGGCAGACAGAGCTGAAATGACGGGCTGAAGGTCTGAACTGTCATAGCGCAATGCGCATTGCACGCCCTCAACAACGATGGACCACCCGATCGCTGGCGGGCCGAAGCTCTCTTTCCCTCCCTCCAGCGGCCCGTTCGTTGCAAGGTTGCAATGCTGTTGTGTATTCAGCAATCATGCAGTCCTTGCTAATCTCTTGCCGCCAACGCTCGGGCTAACGGTACTCCTTGTTACTTACTGTACCAATGCCCGCCGTTGTCGCGCGCTAGAGCATTGTACAGCGTCTGCGTCGCAAAACGCGTCTGTTGGCGATGATAGTTGCACGATGAGAGGCTTCCGTTCTGTCGGGTCCCCAGGGGTTCCCAAGCAGTACCTTGGAGCTACAAGGTGGCCTCTTGGCGAGACTCGAGTCCCAGAATTGGGCCCGCTAGCAGCCGGCTGGTCCGCTTTGTTGGCTCAGTTGTTTATTTCCTCGTGATTCAACCGGCTCGGCCAGTGTTTACGGGCAGCGTCACATTTGAGGTTTTCTCGTTGTTTCCGACGATCCTCAAAATCAGGCCCAGCACTCATCAACATTGGGATTGCAATTTGCGGGTACTAAGCTACAGTCCTTAGGAGCATTCCTAATGGAGGTTGCGGCGGGACGAGGCTTGGATTTTGGCACAAGGCTGGCGGCTAACTCCTTCGAGCCGCTTTCTTGGCAGCCGTGCTATTTTTTGACACGCAGCGTATGCCCCCGGTCCCTGTTTCTTGTTCTCCACATGATACGCTTCCTCATTCGGCAGGCACCTGCTCTCACTTCCAAGATGCAACACCTGTTGAGCGCCCGGCACTGTACCTGCGTTGGTGCGTGCAACATGGAGATCTGGCAAGGTCACGGCACAGTACCGCACCATTCCCTAAGCGAGAGGACCAAGAGATCCAGATGGGAATTCACAGATGCTGCTACCTGCTGGTTCTACGCTACTGTTGTTGTCTCTTTCCCATTTTCTGTTCTCGCTTAACAGCACTGCCATTACCGCCAAAGCTGTCGTCGACAATGCCGGCTACTCGAGCTACCCCTGCTCTGTTAGCACACACTGCTACCTACACTAGTGTAGTGCACTACCCTTCCTCCCCCCCCCTTGTCCGGGGCCCTGGAGTAACTAGTGTAGGCGCCACCTTTGACAGCAAGGCCTGTTGTAGCCGCCCGCCTCTCAAACAGACGCCATCCCGAAACCCTGCCAGCCATTAGCAGTGGCCGCTGGCCGCTCTATGAGGTCATTCGGATACACATGCAAGCTCTGAAGCAGTTCTCTCTCTATTCTGCCATTGTTTCAGATCTCTGCACCCCGGTCTTGCGTACCTTAGCTTAGGTTATCTCTTGGACCCACCACGGCGGCCACTGGGCTCGCAGTCGTTCCTTCAACCTGGATATAGTATAAGTCGACCGCCTTCTCCTCGTCTCTCAGGCCGGCCATCAAGCCAGTCTTTCAGTCCTCGAGCCTCCAGACCTGCGACCCGATCGCCTTTGTTTACTCTTTCCTTGAGTTTTCCTTTTCCTATCATCTCCTCATCTCTTTACTTTGCATTGCTGGTTGCTGGCCAGCCATTTCGTTTGACACGAACCCTTGCATTTCCACGCCTGCCCAGAACTTCAAGCGAGGCCATATCCGAAGGCAAGCGAGATATCCGCCGACGACCTGCTAGAAGCCACTCGCTTTGAAGATCCATACATCAGTATAACATTTTTTTCCCGCCATGTCTTACTACCAAACTTCCCGGCAGTTGTCCGGGTTCTACGGCGACCTTGCCTCGACCGGCGCCGGCCAAATACCAATGCCGTCATACGACCCATACGCCGTGAGCGCAGTACCTCCTCTTCAGATTCCGACAACCGGCACCGCGATGGGTGGTCCTGTGGGCGGGCCCATGCCGACACAACACCGGGCATCATCGGGCGCGTGGAACCAGGAGGATGACAGGACGCTGTTGGCGCTGCGGGCAATGGGCAAGAACTGGAACCAGATCCAAAGGGAGGCTTTTCCGGGCAAGACGGGCAACGCCTGCCGGAAGCGTCACGAGCGGCTGATGGAGCGCCGCGGCCAAAACGACTTTGACAATCGCAAACTTGAGCGGCTATGCAAGGAGTACATGAGCATGCGCAAGGAGATCTGGCAGCCGCTCGCCTCCCGGTGCGGCGAAAAGTGGAACGTTGTCGAGATGCAGGTGTGTTTTAGCACCCACCCCACCCCGCTTCCCCCAAAGTCATCAACCCCACTAACCCGGCTTTGCCAACTCCAGTGCATGTCCAACGGCCTGAAGAACATCCAATCCCACGCCAGGGCGTACGCGAGGCGTGAGCGGCTCGAATCCGGGCAGCCCCTGACGGGTTACGACGACGACAGCGGGCTGGGGGGGCTGACGCCCATTGACGACGTGGATGTGGACGTGGCGGACCAGAGCTACAGCAGTCCGGAGACGGGCGGGCCGCAATCGACGCCCGGGGCCAGCTCCGGGTCTGGGTCCGGGTCCGGGTCGGCTTACCTGTCCCAGCACCACCACCATCAGCAACACCAGCACCACCACGGCCACCAGGCTGTCTATGCGGCGGCAGCGGCCTACGGCGGTTATGCCCCGCACCATCATCAACAGCACCACCACCACCATGGTCATGGCTATAGCAACAGCGTCTCGAGCACGGGAACGGCGCCCGGCGCGGGCTACGGCCAGGGTGCCGGCGGTTCGTCTAGCGCCAGCACCAGCCCGTACCTTGGGCACGGGAATCGCCTGCCTAGCGTGGGCGATATGGGCATCGACGGGCTGCTGAACCGGGGGCCGGGCGGGGCGGGCAGCGGGCAATTATAGATTCAGTGATTTCCCTCTGTTTAATTACCCTCCTTTGGATATTTCCTTTGTTTATCTTTTCTTTTGTCTCTTTTTCTTCTCTTCTATCTATCTTGGTTGGGGTTGGTGGGGTCCAGTTCTATGGCAGTTCAGCATTACTAGGCCGGGAGGCATGGGAGGCTATGTCTGTGAGCACTGGGTAAGGGGCAGCAAGAAACGGCGTTGGGGAGCGTGGTGCTTGGGGTGCACCACATTATTTCTTTCTATCTACTATTGGCATCATTAATTTTTCGTGTTACCACATTACGGCGTTGATGGGAAGACGGCGGCGTTTGGTCTTGCTTTCTTGGGTTTAGGGTTCTTCGTGGTCTTTTATTTGGGTGTTGCCGGGTCAAACGGGACCGGCTTCCTCCTGAATCTCAAGACACATTATTCCATTGCTTCTTATCATCTCTCTCTGTGTCTTCTCTATGTTTCCAGTGGTTTACGGCTTTACGAGTCTCAATTTTCTCGATTGTCCTAATACCCCTATAGACATGGGCGGAGCTTTGGTGTTAAGTTCATTGAAGATAACTAACGGAGCAGGATTTAGATTGCAATTGCTACGTGTACTTGGGGCTGAGGTTTGAAGATTCTGCGAGGCCGAGGAAAGGCACATGGTCGTTGGTAAGAGGTTAGGCGGGTTGTCAGCTTCTTGCGTTGTGCCGCGGCGGCACAGAAGCAAGAGAGTGCGCGCTTGGGTTTATGTTCCGCATTGAACGGCGGCCGCTCTGCTTAGAGGTTATCACCTTGGGTAGGATTCATTAATAGTAATTGGTTTGACCAGAAGCTGCTTCCCTTGCTGTTCCACCTCTTCATGTCGAGCTTGGGTAGTTAACGAAGGCGTTGTCAAGGGCGTAGAAACAGTCGTTTCCTGATCGGACCAACAGTTTAAGATGCGACTAGATCGAGTCCCGGTGATCCGGACCCTAAATTGAGCCGCGGGGAAGCTGAGCCCAAGAGAATCCTTGGTGTGGAAGGCGATCGACAGGGGGTATGTCTAAGGTACACTACGTGTAGTACCGAGGTGTTACACAGAGACTCTACTCACAGCACTGATGGAGAGTGTGGACCGATCATTTGAAATAGCATTTGGGTGGCTCCTAAACTCCAAAGGATGCACTTATGTTCGTATGCATGGTTTCAAAGTACTTGTGTACAAAACATCTCTCGAACCAACACCGGGAACAACTGCCGCCACCGGCCAAATCGGAGAATAAGATAGAGTTCTTACATAACGCAGGGCTGTGGACGGCGCGATCTGACTGTGTTTCCACGGAACAAGCTAGGACATAACGGATCGTGTAATAAAATACCAATGTACATGTATAATGAAACATCCAACTGCAGGGAGTACACAATACTACACATTTGCTTTTTACATAAGGTAGTCAAAGGCTTCTTTCCCCAGCATCACCGGCCTCGCCGTTATTGGGCTCGCACGGGCCCCACATCCGGTGCGGAGACGGCCCCGGCTCCGGGTTCCGGCTCCCATTCAACATCATCCTCCTCGTCAGACTCGTCCTCAAGGGGCTCGCCCGCAATGCTCCTCCACACTCTTGCCCACATGCCCTTCTTCTGCGCCAGCGCCAGCACCATGATGACGGGCAAGTGCCAGACACTGGCCCAAAACAAACTCCTGGCACTGCCCTTGTGACCCTCGTATCTCCAGAACTTGACCGCCTCCCGGATCAACCACAGATTGACGGGCAAGCTCGTGACGGCAAAACTCCACTCGGTCACGCCGGCGGCGCAGAGGCCCAGGCACAGCGGCACGAAGACGATGCTGTACCGCAGGGCGACCCGGGCGTTCCGGGCCGGGTTGACCCAGCAGAGCATGCGCAGGCCGGCCGCCTTGTACTCGTCGCGGATGCCCCACGAGAGGGGCATGAAGTGGGGGAACTGCCAGGCGAAGAGCAGGCCCGCAAAAAGCCAGCCGCCGAGGCTGGAGCCGTCGGCGGCGAAAAGCAGCTCGCGCCAGGTGCCGTCGCCGACGGCGCTCTCGCCCGCGGCCGCCGCCCAGCCCATGAGCGGGGGGATCCCCCCGACCACGGCGCCGACCCACGTGTTGACCGCCGAGATGCGCTTCAGCGGGGTGTAGGCGCCCGCGTACAGCGCGATGTTGGCTAGCCCCAGGAATGCCACCGTCGGGTTGACGCCCACGTACAGCGCCGCGGTGCCCGCCATGCCGCAGCCGATGGCGAAGGCTAGCGCGGCGCGCGTGCTGAGCAGGCCCCGCACCAGGGGGCGCGTGCGCGTGCGCGACATCTTGGCGTCCGTGTCCGGCTCGTAGAGCATGTTGAGCGCGTTGGCCCCCGCCGAGCAAAGCGTTGTTCCCGTCGTCAGGAAGAGCAGCGTCAGCGGGGATAGCGACGGTGCTGTGGCGGCTAGCGCGTCCGAGCTGAGGAAGGCCGGGACCGGGTAGAGCGCGTAGGGCACCATGGCGGAGAGCACGACAAGCACGGTGAGGCGCGGCTTGGAGAGGGAGAGGAAGGCTGAGAGGTTCCGGCGGAGAGAGTTGCTGGGGTGGGAGGCGGCATCGGCGGCGAGGAGGGAAGAAGCGTCGGGCGGGAGAGAAGCTGCCATAGAATTTGTAGACCGTGCAGCCGTTGTTGGCGATGATGACGTTGATTGTTGGGCTTCCGCATTGGCGGTGGCATTTCGCCGTGCGGCTTGTCGTCGGCGGTGGGGCAGAAGGGTGTTGTCGGCAGCCGTTTCAACCTGAGCCGGAGCGTCGCCCGCGGCAGGAGGGGCTACGGATGTGCCATTGGATCGGACGAGAAGACTGTTTGATAGGAAGTAGCCAGCCTTAAACCGGTGTCGGGGTAAGGCGGCGGGGCCAGCGGTTGATAGATTGGGCCGCGCCGTTGACTCGGAAAAGAGTCTCGGGAATTTTGGCGACCGCTCGATCCGTCGCAGAGCCCGTCGCGTGCATTGCCAGCACACATTCTCGAATACACCCGGCCGCAGTGGGAATTTTCGTAATGGCGGCCGCATCGTCGAATTTCGTTTAGGTGACGGCCCGCATGGCCATCGTCGCCCGTCAATTGGCTTTGGCTTTGGGGTCGTCGTCGGCCTCTGGAGCTTGAAGCTGAAGCCCGCTCTACATTTTTCTGGGTTAGCGGGATTGTCTGTTTGCACGGGCTGTCTGTGGCTTGAGCTTGGCCTCGGCGTGGCTGATTTTGAACGCCACTGCGCATTCAGTGGTGGGCTGTGGGGCTTAAGCTAGGGGTCCACTGACTCCACTTTCTCCAGTTGATGGAGCTTCCTCTGGAGCTCAGCAAACATGAAATCAGATGACCTCGGAGCTCCCGTCTCTGGGTGACACACGGGAGAAACAACATCCGCAAAAGGCGCGCGCATCACAAGCGCCGACAATGTTCCAGCGCCAGCGGCTGCAGTTTGATTCCTTACCCTCCCCTGCGCAGCGTCTACGCTGCCAATAGCATCAAGACTTCTTGGCAATGCCAACATCTTTCCGACAGCTGAACTTTTGGGGGTTCAACAGATGTTGCACACATCGTCTGACCTCTGCGCGCCGTCTCCCAATTTAAGGGGCGAAAGAATCAAGAAACACTGACCAATCTCAGCCTGGTTGATCAGCATCACGGTCGAGCTTAGGCACACACCACGGTCTCGGTCGAAGGCTAGACCCCGATCGGGACCTGGGCGGCTCGGGCGGATGCAGGTCGATGGCGGCGCCCGCAGAAGTGCAGTCCGCAGAGATCTGTGTAACGTGACCTGCTTTGGTCTCGAGGTGGGGCCGGCATCGAGGTCGCGGGCTTGGACCCGGAGTGACCGCAGGTGTTGCGATCACGATGCCGACTCTCATTTTGATATGGCGTCGGTTTACTGCAGGAAAACTCACAACTGAGTGTTCACAGTTGACTTTAGTTGCTACTGGCTACTTTGTCTCGTTGCTAGGAAGCCGCGAACTTCATAGACTGCTTCCTCCATACCGGAAGCAGGAGGACCGCTTGCGACTGCTTCGCTCCAACTTGAACTTGGCAGGCAGCTGCTCTCACCAAGAGCCACGATTTTCAAGCCATTGGCCGTTCCCAACCGCTTACGTGAAGAGAGCTGTCGTGAGACTGAGGATAGGCGCTTTGTCAACCGCAAACTTTCGGGTTGTTGCCTAGTTAAAAATGGGGTTCTGCCGACGAGGAGTCCAAATCACCTCAGCACTTGCGCGAGTAATGTTCCCATCAAAACAAAGGTGTAACTGTTGGATTGAAGCATTCGTTAGGTGTCCTCTCAGACCTGATTCCGATGCCTACTGCCATCGGCGCAGCGTCCAGCAGAGAACAAATGTCATGCTTTCTTCATGCGTCGTCGTCACCGCCTGTGCCCATGTCCATCCATTCATCCATTCGGCGACATATGATCTGCCGAAACACGACGGCCGAGATACAAACGAGCGTCATGATGCTGAACACCACATAGGCCGTCGAAATCCAGTAGCTGTTGGCATTCGCAACCGCCTCGGCCGTCTTGCTGTTCAGCTCGATCAGCGTATCGTCATTCCACGTCAAACGATCGCACCAACAATTGCGAAACACGCCCACCAAGTGGAAGACAGTCCCAAGCACCATGACCAAGGAGTTGGCAACGACCAGAGACCAATAAACCCATCGAACCACCACGCGGATCGTAAGTGTTGGAACCAGACCACACAGGATTGGTCGTTCCCCAATCTCCCGCTGGAATCTGCCCCTGACAGTCAGCCACGAATACACTATGTGCAGAAACCCATTACCAAGCGCCATGAGGCCGTACAGTATAAAATTGAAACTCCGACATCCCAAACCAACCGTAGGGGTCATCCATGCAATAGCCGCCGCCGCGCCGCAAGCAATAGCAATACAACACCATCCCATCAGTTTCCACCCACAGAACCTAGCCCAGAACCACACATCAGCCCCCAGCTGCTCGGCGAACTCGACGAAGTCCTTGCCATCCCCTTCCTGCTGTTGCACCCAGTTCGCCCAGAACTGGTTATTAACGTGCCGGTCCCGCAACGCAACAGCCACCCTCTGCCCCTTTCCAAAGTCCATCACCTTGCCGAATGCTCGCCGGGCGACGTCAGGCGACAACACGGTGGCGAAGCAATTCCCCGCCACGGCTGGCACGAGAATCCAGCTGTACCAGACGCAGTAGGCGAGGGCCAGACTGGTGTCCTTGTCGCCCTTCTTGGCGTACGCGTCGTAAAAGGCCGCGGCGTTGAGGGCGAGCGTGAGCACCACTGGGATGAAGATTGCTGAGGCGAAGGAGGTGCGGGCAGCCATGCAGAAGATGATTGCCCGGGTGGTCTCCTCGGCGTCTGGAGGGGAGGGGGTCGTTGTGGCCTTTTGTCCTGTACTGACACTTTTCGTAGGTTTGGATCCTTCAACGACGCCCCGACGCCAGCCGGTCTCGGAAGAGAACTTTAACGACCCCGCGAGGGCGGCAACCCATATGGCTCTTTGTCTATCTGCCGGCAGAGAGGTGATGCTGTACAATGCAACCGTGTCGGCGTACACCTCCGAAGCCGCGCCAAAGACTGCACTAGCTGGATCTCCGAGGATGCTGATATACTCCTTCAATGCAGTTCTCAGTGCAAGGAAAATCTCACCTAGCGCGTTCCCCTGGACGGACTCATGCGGGTCTTCCTCGCCAACCGGGCAGAGCAGCAAGAGACCTATATAAGGCGAGATGTATGTTGCTAGCGGCTGAAGCCATTGACGCGTGTTGCTGTACTGCGTACCGCGACAGTATTGCTTCACCCAAGACATGGTTCTCATAACCGAGGGAAAAGTGTTATCGGCGGCGTAGTCGATCTCTTTATTCAGATTGCACACGTCCCACGGGAGCAAACCGTCAGATTCTATGTACTTCTTATATTCGCCCGTCCGGACAGCCAGAGTGCAGCAGCGGGCTATGGAGAAGGTGGCCGAAGCAAATGGGAGGGAAGTGATGAGGCCGAGGTAAGCGGCCAGCTTGGCAAAGGGAGTCATGGTTTGGATATTTGAACGGGGCATGACTTTTGCTGTCTTCTCGGTTGAATCTGAAGTTGGGTCAGAACTGGGTTATTTACAACAGGAATGAGGCTCACTTACTGTCCAGGACCTTGGAGCTGCGCATCCGCGTAGCTTCTCCGTCCAGGTGCTCCATGGCATCTGAGCTATCTGTGGCTGAGATTCCACCGCAGTTTGCATCAAGACTTACGGTGATGCTTAGCTTCACGGAGTTCATGATGCACGGGGCCTTGGAGTTATTGCACGGGCCGTGCCGGAGGTCATGGTTTCGAAATACCAGACGCATTCCCAGTTTACTGCAGCTCTGCTGCAAGGCGCCTTCCTACTGTTGCCAGAACCAGCACTATTGGCGCGACGTCTCCGATACAGCACGTTGTGTCACCCGGCGTATCTTATCGGGGCCCTCTGCGAGCTGTCGGAGCAGAATATTGATGCGGTATTCCAGATACGTAGAGGACCTTGATCGGCGACCGGCATGTGTCCCGCCTTTCTGCAACCTGTCGGACTAGTGATAGCGATGCATGATTCCCAATAGGGCGGGTTGACTGCATACCAGGGTGTCTTCTCCAGCCCTTCTGCAGCTACCGGACGAAACGGAGCCGCCCTGCTGGCGTGGCGTCTCCAAAAAGCTTGTTGCTATACCTCCTAGGTGGCTGGCTCTGGGCAATACCACGCTCCGCAAAGGCTCGGGTGCGTATGCTGAGAGCAGCGGATAACATAAATCAGTTCAATGGAAATATGGTTGACAGACTGCCTTCGAAGGTCGTGCTGATTTGGCCATATACCATAGTCACAGAGAACCTGCCTCGTCTACACCATAAAACACAACAACAGAGTTCATTCGCCATGCCCGCCCTTCTTCACCTCATTCTTCCGTCTCTTATCACCTACGGAGCGGCGGCGCTCAACGCTCCCGCCATTTTACAGCGTCAACAGTCCCCGCCCGCCGACGACGACCTTATCGACCCAGTGCTGCAACCCTACTGCGATTTCTCCTTCTGTTGGCACTGGGGGAGACCACCCCCAGAGCTCTGCCCGCTGGTTCAAAGCTCCTGCGCCAACGACAGCTTCGCCTCGGACAATATGGCGGTTCAAGACGGTTTGAACGGCAAGAGACCAAAATGCGGCATCATGCAATACCAGCGTGACTGCTACTGCAGCCTCAAGACGAGCCTCTCGTGCGCGTGGAATTGCACGTGGGAAATATGGTACATGCTTTTTACTGCAATCTTACCTGGAGTCCTGGAGTCCTGGATGCATATTTGGCTACGATGAAACCAGCCCAAAGCAAGACTGACGCGGCAAGACAGGTTTGAGACGGAGGACTGGTTCGCTTCGGTCTGCCCGGACGCCCCGGCGGCAAAGCCGATCGATTTCTCCGGGCTTCCGGCGTGCGCGAGAGACTGCCTTGACGACGCCGTCTTCCAGTCCGGATGCCTGACGCAGACGAGTAATTGTTTCTGCTCATACGGCGATCTGTTTGGCTGTCATGAGAAGTGCGAGGAGGAAGGGGACCGGCGGCGCATCGCCGAATGGCTACGGGCCGTGTGCGACATCACGCAAGCCAAGGCGGCCGAGGCGCTGGCCACGGGTAAGTTCTCGCCGGGGCAGCCCTTCTTGAAACAAGGCGTCGACGGGGGCAAGGTGAGTCCGCTGCAGCCGGCGAAGAAGCAGCTCAGGTGGGATGAGGTATTTGTGGTGACTGCCGTGAGTTTGGCTGCGCTGATTGGCGTGGTTACTTGGCTTTACAACTGGTGCGCGGTGAGACCCAGGCGGAAGATTCGCAAGTCATAGCCGACGACAGGGTGTGTGAAGTCACGGTTGATTGTACGGATACTGTAGCTAGGTTTTGAGCAGACGGTTGTCATGTCACTTGTCTAGGTAGGTAAGAACGGCTTAAACAGTGCATACTGCGTAGTACGTAGCTACGTCAAGTATTAAGGTATGGACGGACGCCGTGTTGGTCAAACGAGCATCGAGAAGTCAACAGCAGGTATCGTGATGCCTGGATTTGGCGAGATGAAGGAGATCATGAGATGTGGCACGGGAGCACTGCCTTCCTTAGCATGATACTTCACGTGCAGGGAAATTGATACCATGTTTTTGGAAGATCGACTGGACGAAATCGACACGAGGAACAATTCAATAGGTAACCCCTCTCTTGAGCAGCACGGGGGAGGCGCATCACGATCCATCCTCGCCCATTCGCAGGATCGCCCAAGAAACAAAGATAATGAGCGGTGCCACCAGGGAGCAGCTGTCAAGACAGATTCTCGGCCCTGCCGGCCCCCGACTTCCAAGACTCCCGCTGGGTCCACGTCGTCCGGCAAAACATCGGTTGAGCGTTGGGTCTGCTGAGCCAGCAACCTCATGGCAATTGGTATGTACCTCCGTACCTACTGACATTGTCACGGTCAATGCTCACGAACTGGTTGGTCGCGGCATAATGGTTGCAGGGCCGGCGTTCCCTCGGAGTAATCGGCTGACAGTTGGGAATTTCGCAGTGCGCAAACGGTTGCATGCAGTGGTTGCATCAGGACGCTTTTGGGGAGGACAGCAATATCAAGCGCTGCGGTTGGCCTCTGTACTGTACGTTAATTCCCTGACCCAACGACGTCAGCCTCGTCGTCGTCCCTTGCTCAGCAAGAAGCCTGTCCCTTTTTTCCAACAGCATGGCTCCTCCGATTCGTCAACAGCGGAAAATCTTGATGTTACTCTATTGCGGCGAAACGAGCTGTTCGTTCATAGGTTGGTTCGGTCTAGCAACACCAGGAATAAATACGAGGTCGCGGATCATGCCGTCACTCTCAGGTTGTGCAAAAAGTGCAGAGGCAGCCATAAGAGAAGGAACAAGTGCCCTCGGTCATGAAGCAGCTTTCACCTCGAATCTGCAGAGCTCTTCAGTAAGCACAAAGTCGCCATGACGAAACCCACACTTCTTTTGCTCCCGGCACTTGCCATCGCCAAGCCCCTCGTCCTCGAGCAACGACAGGAGTTCGCACGTCTCATCTCAGTTGAAGCCCTAGGCGACGGCTGTCCGGCGGGCAGTTTCGACATGGTCTTCAATGAAGCCGGAAAGAGCGCCAAAGCATCCTTCAACAACTTCGCCATTAGGGCAGGCCAGGGCGTCAGTTTGGACAACAAGAGCGTCGGATGCGACATGACCATCGCCATGTCGTTCCCGGGTCCCTGCAAGCAGGCTGTGATGAGGACGCGGACTGACGGCTCCGTCCTCGTCGCCAAGGGCGCCGGTGCGACGGCTGCGGTAGCGACTCGGTTCCGCGTCAGCAGCGGCGGGATGGGCGACGAGGCACCTCCGGCCCTCATCTTCTCGAGCATCGAGGACAGGGACATCCAGGAGGACATTGGTCGCGACCACGACGTCAACATCACAGTCATCGGAGAGACGGCCAAGTTTACCGCATATATGGAGATTCTCCTCAATGCGCCTGATGGCAGGGTATTTTCGGAGACGGCCTTGGATGGATTGGAGCTGTCAATCTCGCAAGACGGCTTGTGCTGAGGGGACCGGGAGTGTTGGAGAACGAAGTATAGGAGGCTGCCACTTCACCGATTAGAAAAGAAAAAAAAAAGCCATGGGAAACGGAGAATTATCGTGAGTCTCAAGTTTGACCATGAAACTTTGCTGTGTTTAGTTTAGATCCATAAAGAGGAATTCAGGACGGCAATGACTGCCATCAAAATAAAGATCACAGATCACAACTACCGGCATTTTTAGCGGGCGTTATAGTGGAGCGCTCTAGTGCTTCCAGGCGTTCTGCCCCACACTGTTTCAGGAACATGACCCCACTATTCGGTCGCTGGGGAAACGAGGAAACGCGGAACGACCAAAACAGTCAATGCGCCAATCCCAGATGAGAAATTGCACCTCAAACCCCATCCAAAGCAAGCAACGTCATTTTCTCCCATTCTCGAACGACGGAAAGCGGGTTGCTGATTATTTTCGATTCTCAAACCACATTGTCTCGATATTCAGCAATCGACTGATACCAACCTATGATCCCGTTTCCTGTTGTATCCCAAGTGTTGACCGGCACGGCGGATCGGTACTTGCTTTGTTGACTTGCTCTTTTTCCCCGTTTTGACCGATCGGTGGCCCAAACCTAGAGGTCGACTGCCACCCGAGTCGCCAAAATGGACCCAAATGCATCCTCCATCACCGTCGCCGGTATGTCAAGACGGTTATACAAAACAAAAACAAGATCGCTGCTGACTGGTCACTTGTCCGACAGTGCGAGTGCGACCGTTTACCATTCGAGAGGCTGCCCAGCTGTGAGCGCCGCTCCTGTTACAAATTCCAAACAACAGATCACGCGCTGACACGGTATTTAGAGTCAAAAATGACGACGGCACAGTCTTTCTCGGAGACGGATCGCTTGCGGCAGCGCCGACCCCCAAGCTACACCAGCGAGGAATCCGATCGGTCATCAAGGTGGTTGACGACAGATGCCTGTAGGTATTATTACCAAGCAAGAGACGATACAAGACTCACACGAGGGATGCAGCGTATTCGACCCTCCCGAGGACAACCCCGTCCAGAAATTCTCCCGATCAGTGGTGCCTTCGGCCGGCAAAAAGGTGAAGGACCAAGTCTTCGCTTTCGACCGCATCTTTGACGACAATGCATCGCAAATCGACGTCTATGAGGGCACCACCAAGGGCCTCTTGGATAGTGTTCTCGATGGTTACAATGCTACAGTCTTCGCCTACGGGGCCACGGGATGCGGCAAGACGCACACAATTACAGGCACTGCGCAGCAGCCGGGCATCATCTTTCTGACAATGCAGGAGCTGTTCGAGAAGATTCAAGAGCGCAGCAACGAGAAGACAACAGAGGTCACGCTGTCCTATCTTGAAATCTACAACGAGACGATCCGCGATCTTCTTGTCCCGGGCGGCAGCAAACAAGGCCTCATGCTGCGCGAGGACTCGAACCAGGCCGTCACCGTGGCCGGCCTCACCAGCCACCGCCCAAAGGATGTACAGGAGGTCATGGACATGATAGTGCAGGGAAACGAGTACCGAACCGTGTCGCCAACGGCTGCAAATGCCGTCTCGTCGCGTTCTCACGCGGTTCTGCAGATCAACGTTGCGCAGAAAGATCGAAACGCCGACATCAACGAGCCGCATACCATGGCAACTCTGAGTATCATCGACTTGGCGGGCAGCGAGCGCGCGAGCGCTACCAAAAATCGGGGCGAGCGATTGCTCGAAGGTGCCAACATCAACAAGTCCCTGCTCGCGCTGGGGAGCTGCATCAACGCGCTGTGCGACCCACGGAAGAAGAACCACGTACCGTACCGCAACAGCAAGCTTACCCGCCTGCTCAAGTTTTCTCTGGGCGGAAACTGCAAGACGGTCATGATTGTATGTGTGAGCCCGTCGAGCGAGCACTATGACGAGACGCAGAACACGCTCCGCTACGCCAATCGAGCCAAGAACATTCAGACCAAGGTTACGCGCAACGTCTTTAACGTCAATAGACACGTCAAGGACTTTTTGGTCAAAATCGATGAACAAATGGCGCTTATCAACGAGCTCAAGGCGCAACAGAGGGATGCCGAGAAGATCTTTTTTGCCAAGTTCAGAAAGCAGACGGAAAAGAAGGACGGCGTGGTGCGCGAGGGCATTATGCGGTTGCGCGCTGCTTACGAGAATGCTGCCTCGGACCGACAGGAGAAGCTCAACCTCATGAAGAAGCTGAAGGCGATCGAGCGGCGAATCAGTCTGCTCTCTGCCTGGATTGCCGCCTTTGACACGGTTTGCGATTCCCGAGGTGACGACGAGACTATGCCCTCGAACCTGTCAGCCATGCGCAAGACAGCACATGGTATTCTGATCGAGCTGGAGAGCAGCAGGCACCACATTCACCAGAGGCTAGAGCGAACAAACTGGGAGCGCGCATTGGACTCGGCGCTTAACCATAGCATTGCGCAGCTGCCAACCGGGGAGGGCGCCCTCGATGGCTCCGAACGGGACACGCTAGCCCGAGAAGCCGAGATGCTAAAAACCAGCTTCATGCGAGACGCGTACAGGGAAGTGTTGGAGCAGGACAAGGCCGGTGATGCGGCCATGTTACAAGTGCTCCTGACAGCGCAGTTCGACATCCTATCCTCTCTGTCCGAGACCCTGAACATGAGCGAAGAGGAGGCTGTTGCGCACGCCAAGACCATCATAAACCGTCTTCTAGAGACTGGCTACTCGGCAGCATCGCACGTTGTCAAACCCGACGGCTCCATGATGCCGGTTGAGCTGTTCCCGCCGACCAAACGTGGGACTCCAAAGCGAAAGAAGTCGCTTAACATACACTCCAAGCCAATACCGGCGCCTGGCCTAGCAGCCCTTTCGGCAGCCCAGCAGGTACTCGCCTCTCCAATAAAAGTGTCACCAAGGCGTCGCAAGCTGGGCACTACCCGCAAGGGCGTTTCATTCACCCCGGTGAAGAAGAAGCACTCTGTGCGATGGCGCGATGACGAAACTGAGGAAGGGACTCTAGCCGACTTTGCTAGGACTCCACAAAAGTTCTCGTCGCCCGCGAAGGCTTCCCCCGAGGAACCTCTTCCGTCGCGTCCTCCAGTGCCGTCGTACCTTAACCACATGAATTCGCCCCGGGACTCTAGCCCAACTATTACCGCACCTGACGTATCAATGCTGCCAGTCAGCAAACCGAACCGGTTTCAAGCCGGCTTCCTTTCCAAGACTGCACGGGGCCCACAGCAGAGCATCGGGAACGGCTCGCCGGTCCCACCAACCTTGTCGATAAACCTGGCCAACTCCGGATCCTCAGATACCGAAGAACCCCGTCCATCCCCCCTGCGCAGCCTTCCCGTCAGCCGCGCAGCCAACACGCTCTCTCCACCCAATGCGCGAGCCAGGAGTATCAGCCCCAAGCCCAACGGCCTGTCGCCCAACCTAGATGAAAACGAGCCCCCTGAGGCCCCTCGACGGACCTCCCCTTCCTCGCGCCTCCCCCGTCTATCATATGGCTCTGCGTCCGAGTCCGAGTCCCCCAAAGCCACCCACAATAACAGCACAATCACAGTCAGCAAGAACAGCAACAACGATGCGACAATCGACCCCCTCAAGATCCGCTCCGCCCTCCAACTGGCCAAACGCCGCGAGAGGCTGTCTCTGATGTCGGGCACGGCCTCATCCAATGCGAAACGCATCTCGTCAGTCGGCTCCCACCATCGCGTCTCTGCAAGCTATTCGGGCGCCAGCAGCGCTTCCACAAACGGCATCTCCAGACAGAGACGGAGCAGCGGCGGCAGCGCCACGTCGGAGAGACGCCGCTCCCCGCCCATCAGCTGCAGTCCCCCAACATCGATGCGCTCCATCGGCGGCCAGCTGCATTCTTGGGAGGGGAAAAGCTTGACCCCCGGCCAGGCGAGGCGCATGAACTTGGGGGGCAGCTTGCGTGAGCACAGACTGGAGAGGGAGAGGGAGAGGGAGCGGGAAGGTAGTCCGTCTGCTGCTGCTGCTGCTGCTGCTACTGCTGGTGGTGGTCTGGGGGGCATTAAGGGGTTGGGATTCAGTGGCGCGGCTAGGAGGATCACCATTGGCGCTCCGGCTCCGGGCCCGGTTTGAGCCTTGGGTCTGCTGCTGCGCTAAATACACGGCCGAGCATGGTTTGGAGGTCATGATAGGTTGGGTGTAGCTTGGCTGGTAGATTGGGGAGTTTGTTTTGTTTGCTGCGGCTGCTTCCTTTGCATACCGCGTCGTCTGTTGCTCACGCCAGGCTGCTGCGGTTGGTGTCTCGGTTTTTTCTCCCTCACTTTACTCATTCCATCATCAAATGGGTTCATGGGACTTTGCCGGGATGGGGGTTGCGCTGTACGGGTAGAGTGCAGCGGGTGGTGTTTGGGATTAGGATTGCTTTGGTTCATGTTTGTTTATTGCATGTTAATGTATCCCTCAACTGTGTACTCTTCTGAGACTGGTTTAACTAAGGTACTTTTCGTGTTGTAGTTTATAAGGTACCTAGGGAACTTGATTGCGGCGGGATATCCCTATCCCTTGTTTGTTCATGGTTTCTGAGACGTTGTGTTCATATCATGTCTCGCTCACGGTGATTCTTGATGGATGCTAAACTACCATGTGATGACTCGGATTCTCTGTCTCTATAAGTGAGGGACTTTGTCTTACGAAGATGTTCTTGTTGACGCCATCCGTCCTCGCTGTGTGCTGAGAGTGCCATATACAGATGCAAATGATGTCTCAATTCCCTTTGCCGAAGTCCCCGGCGACCTGTTGTCTCTGCTCCGCTAGCATGATGACCCTGAAAGTACGATTCACGGCCATGGAGCAACCGCATAAACCATACCTCATGATTGTCACATAATGGGTGCTTGTCGATGGGTGAACAGAACTGATCAGAAGTTTAGCAGCCCCTTCAACAGCCCCCTGTCCCCATTGTGGTGGAATCGGTCATTGATTCTGAAGAAGTTAAAAATACGGATATTCCTGTATAGTACCAATAGGAGTGCGCAAGCAGAGGAAGCTCTGGATGAGAACTAAGTCTTAAGTTAATTGCTTCGCTTGCATTTAGCTACCGGACATCAACAAGATTCACAGCTCTTACAGTTATTCTAATGTGGAGATTGCTCTCCATTTGATATTCGAGGAGCCTTGTCTGATGGAAGTTTCATATTTTTTGAGCGGTGCCCTTAGGAGCTGAAGATAGGTATCTTGACTCATCTACATGTAGCACATGGCTTTGTCGTATATTGCTTGATAGTAAAAGAGGCACACTTACAACCTGCTTCAGTGTTAAGGGACTATAACCCCGGCCGGTTCTCAAGAACCTCTAACTGCTCATCCCACACGCGAATATTTCCCAACATGCTAAAACAAGTAACTCAGAGTCCCTAAGAAGTATAGTAATGGTCTATTTCCAGATTAAGGGCCCTAAGCTGCCCAAGGCAAGGGCCGCTGCTGCCGTCAGACTGGACGCTGACTGCTCCTGCCTCTGTAGTCTGTACATACCACCACCCTACCGTCTAAGGAAAGAGCAGGTCAACGAAACAAGCAGTTCACCGCCAGTAAGCCATAGCAATCAGCTCAAACTTTACAATGTGTGCGCGGTTATGTCCCAGCTCCTGAACACCGGGTATGCTCCGCTACCTCAGAGGATGCTTACAGTCTTACTAAGAACGCTGCTCTCGTCCCAGAAGCCCAGGCTTACGCTTTCTTCCTTGTGCAGGCAGCGAGGCAACTGAGCTCTCCGCCAAGTCGCCGACTTGTAGTGTCTCGTCGGGCAGTACGGTGTGCCTCTTCAGGACGCCGGGAAGACGTGTCAGCGAAGGACGCGCCGGGCGTGCACCCCAAATCCACTGCGCATGCTACAAGTCCTGAGTTCGTGGAAGTGGAGGGATACAAAGTCCAGCAAAGGCGGCACGTCGTCGCGTGCATTTAACGGCACCTGCAGTCGTTACACTGCACCAAAGACCAAACATTGCGGCTCTAAGGATTCAGCCGTCCCTCCAAGTCATCCCGCTACTTTTATCGTAACGACTTCGTTGTCTTGGTTCGCATGACGGGTTCCCCGGAATGGGGACGTGTCCGACTCTCCGCTGCGCCTCCTTAACGACTCCAAACGGCGCCGGCGACGGAGGCGGGAACTTCAAGGCGTCGCCTATTCTACTTCGTTCACACCAGACCCATCGAGTCCTCTATACTAGGACGTGTTCCGCGCATTCCGCATGGTAATTCATTCGACGCCAGGACCCCGTCCCCTGTCCGGGATGCGAACCCTGGAACTACGTCCAACCGTCAGGGTCTGTCAGGCTGAGGTCAGCGTTCAGGATCGATTAGAAGTCTAGATCGAGGCCAACTCATCGGCTGCGTCTGTATGCTTTCCGGGCGGGACCTTTCCGCGCTGGCACCGGACGTCGGTTTTAGTTACTTGTTGCTGGGATCCATCCCCTTGCATGATGATTTCTCATGTAAGCCCTCCCAAAGTTCGCTTACAACAAGCAGCGTCGCAAAGTCCGACATGGAGCCGGTCAGACCGGCCATCCAGCCCCATCCAGCCAAAAATGGGGGCCACATTGCGTCAACCGCATGCTATGTACTTGTACCTTATCGTGATGGATGCCTAGATGCGGTACCCAAAATCCTAGGCTCGGGAGGATTGTGAAATCCCGAACCTTAGAAGGAAAGTTCTACTGCCAAGTAGAAGCACGTTGTGCAGATATGGTGAACGATAGGGTGGCAGTGTACAGATGCGCCGCTGCATTGCAGGCACATAGCTGTCCAAGGGTAGACCTCCAGAGTAGGTGGAATACCTTACGATAAGGGGTCTCGGCATAGGTCATCAAAGGTGGCACATGGAGACTGGAGTTGCTAGCTGTGGGTTCAAATAGACACTGGAGCTAGTGACATGTATCCGTCACCCGGTGTGGATATCGGTCTCTCTTGCTAGCAGTCTCCAAGTTGCTGATCTACTACCTAGTCTCAAGATGCTCCAATTCATCCAGCGAGTCCAGACTAATACCTGGCGGGACCTGTCCAAGCTGACCAAGACGACACAAATCACCACGATCGAGGTGACTGAAAAGAAAACAACAGAGAATGGTCTTTTTGAGGCACCTCAGGCCAAACCTAGATCAACAGCGAGGCTGGAGAACCCGTTGCGTGATGATGTGGCTTTCGCAAGAATCCTCGACGCATATCTGCCGCCCCAGATCAAGGAACGGGCCGAGGGCGAACTAGCCGCCTTGTGCGAAGCCGCCGTTTCTGAACAGGTCATGGACTGGATTGCCGAAGCTGAACGCTGCCCGGCCCAGATCCAGCACTGGGATGCCTGGGGAGTGAAGAAGGACGAGCTGGTTACGAGCCAAGGGTGGAAGTATCTCTGGCAATATGGGATATCAGAACGGTAAGTCGCCGACAATGTTTCTGAGAATGGCATTCAAGGAAGCTAATCCGTGGAGCAAAGTCTGGCTGCCTTGCCATCACTCGACCAGGAGTATGAAGGTTATGGCAGAATCATCCAACTTCTGAAGGGCCACATCTATGGCCCGTCCTCGGCGACATCAGGATTTCACCTGATCTTAGCAGACGGCGTTGCTGCTCTTCTACTCTCACACTTGCGTGAATCCAAGATCGACAAATCAACACGAGCGCTGTTTCAGTATGCATACGACCGGCTCACGTCCCCTGACCCGCAGAAGGGCTGGGCCTCTGGGCTGTGGATGACTGAGAGGGGCGGCGGCAGCGACCTGACGCCGACCGAGACCACGGCCACCTACTCGCCCCTGAGCCCGGACGACGACTCCAAGGATGCCGACGGCTTCCCTCTGGGGCCGTGGGTGCTCAACGGCCTCAAGTGGTTCTCCACGGGTACCGAGGCGAACATGGCCATCGCGGTCGCGCGGACGGAGAAAGGCCTGAGCGCCTTCTACGTGCCAATGCGTCGCGCCGTGACCGTGGACGGGGCCCCCACGACGGAGCTCAACGGCGTGCGCATCCGGCGCCTCAAGAAGAAGCTGGGCACCAAGCCACTGCCCACTTCGGAGCTTGAGCTCAACGGCATGCGCGGGTGGCTGGTCGGCAAGGAGGGCAAGGGTATCAACGAAATTGGCATCGTGCTCAACGTTACGCGCGTCCACCTCGCCGTCGGCGTTGTGGGTTACGCAGGCCGCGCCCTCGCAGCCGCTCGTGCTTTTGCAAAAGTGCGTAAGGTCGCTCGTGGCACCCCGCTCAGTCGCGTGCCGCTTCACATGCGGTCGCTCGCCAGAGCCCACGTCGCCTACCGCGCGCACATGATGCTGGGCTTCTTTGTTACGGCGCTGCTGGCCAAGTCGGAGCAGCAGAAGCAGCCCAGCACGCCGGCGGTGCTGGAGCTGGTTCCCAAAAGCAGCCAGGACGCATCCTGCTTGCTGCGGCTGCTGGGCTCTGTCTCCAAGGCGTCGGCGGCCATGGATGCCTGCAGCATGACTCAATGTGCGGTTGAGTCTCTGGGCGGTGTGGGCTACCTTGAGAACGAGGAGATGGCCTTCAATGTTTCCCGCCTGTGGCGAGACGCGGTTGCGACGCTGATTGGCGAGGGCACGGTTGATGTGCTTGCTACAGATGTCGTGAAAGTTATGAAGGGCAAGATTGGCTCCTACGTCATGGCTGCTTTCGGCCGCTGGGTCAAGGCGACGCTGCCCAGCAAGGAGTCGTTGGCCCCTGAGGCGGCCATCATGACTCAGCAGTGGGCAGAACTGCAGACGGCCATATCTAAGAACTCGATGGAGTATCTCACCATGAATGGGCGCGAGATCATGGACCGGGTTTGCAAGCTGAGCACTGGCATCCTGCTTCTTGCAGATGCTGCGCGCGACGACAACCCTGTGGCCATCGAGGTAGCTCGCCGTTGGATACGCCCTACGACATTGTTGAGCGGATCCAGTGTCGAACAAGAACTCATGTTTGACCAGCAAATTGTATTCGGGAACCAGCCAACGTGGCTTGGTGAACCATGAGGGGGGCTGATATGAGGATGCTCACGACGACACGATCTCATAATTCTCATTGGGGGAATTCCAGGTTACTTGGTTTGGTCTTGGCAGATTGATTATATTTACAAATAACATGAGGGACAGATTAGGTAGAATGCGACTTTATTACCTATAGAATACCTACACATGTGCATCTATGGAACTCTGGGCAGATCAGGGGCACCGATCCTCCACTGCTACCAGTACCACTGCTACATTCTAGATCTGAAGAATCCTTCGCACTCGACAAGGGGTAGAGAAGACTACAAGCAATCAAGGACAAACTGATGAACGCGTAAGCCTTAGTGTTCTACACGTGTATTCCAGTCTGCAACCTTGAACCGGATTATCGACCCTGCAGGTGCTCTTCGATGCTCCCGGCAACCATATGCTGCATGCGATCTTAATCCTCCGTTGTTACCTACCTTATGTGGCCGACAGACGCTGAGATTATCCATGAGTTGTGAACAACCGCCTAGCCTCACTACGTTGCCCGTTCATTTTCAGGGGGTGGTGTCAACAGTCTGACTGCATACACATCCGCACATCACAACAAACTTCTCACCGCCTGGGAATGAGAGGATGGTACTTGCATGATCCATCTCGGCCTTGGCTCTCTTGATTTGGAAAGAGGGAGGCCTGGATATGTACAGCATCGATGGCGTTGCAAAGGATGGCTCTATGACAAGGGGTCCGTCCAAGTTGATACAATGCTTGGCATGTATGTATGTTTCTAGTCCGCCGAGCAAAGGGCCGATACCTATGAGTTGAGAAGGATTTGTAAGTGAACGACGGGACGCACGGAGTGAAGCTATTGCCATCTCTGAGGCAGATTCCCACAGCCTACAGGCTACAGGAGACCCCGGACGAGTCCTGGACCGCCATGCACATACCGTGACGGATACCATGTATCCGCTAGTTCCGGTAGAAAGGCTGAGTGGCGTCAACTTACGACGATCGTTCTACTCGTTTGTAAGACGTGCCAAGGGATGACTGTATTCATATAATCCAGTTGTTGTGCTATGTCCATGTCATTGTCCAATCGCTTGCTAGATGATTACTTGACCGGTTTCAAGTGAGATCTTTGTCAGCGGTCGAATGTATGGAGCACCCCTGAGGTGCTTGCATTTGTAACTATATACAATACATACTTAACCTTATCCTTGGAGAGTGGTTCGCATGTGATAACGTTGCGCGGATCTACGGCCTGTCCCCTCTGGAAACCATCATGGATGCGCCCCCCACGATCAGGCCGTTCCCCCAACTCGGACCATATCCCCTCACCTCGGACTAAATCCCGCCACTAGGTATACAGAGATAAGGTTGTTCGGGAGCTTCCGCCGATGCATCGCTCCGGCCAAGGAGATGTTGTAAGACGCCACGTACCTGTGCAGGGAACTTTGATTGGACGTAGTGCCTTCACAGAGCAGCTTACGGAGGAGTATGTACAGTACAACATAAGCCGCCTGTCGTTTGTGAGGATCGGAATCCCTGACCTGCGGAAAAAGCCTACAGTTTTCTCTAATGCATACACGGGCGTAGATATAGCAAACCATAGCTAGGGTGGTAGGTTTGAAGTTCTGCAAACGGAGACTATGGGCCGGCTGGTACAAGTCCTACGACGTTATGTACAGTATTGTACTCAGCCACAATGTCGGGTATGTCCTCTAGACAATGGACAAGCTGCATGAACCTTCACTTGTTATGGATGAGTAGGTGCTCTTCGCATACTTTAGATGTGTGCGGAACTTGCAGTTATACCGTAGCTCCGTCGACCGTTTGATGCGATTTGGGACCGAGTGCCGATTAGATCAGAACAACTTTTCTGCTCAACGGGCCCGCGAGTGCTGCCTGTGCGTGTGTGCCTCGGCAGTCTGTAATGGCTCATCGATTACGGTTGAACGTGGCAGGAGCGGCCCGAGCAAGCTCACCAGGGCGGGCTCCCCCTTCCGTATATTATGGTCCAGACCTACAAGATACAGGGTCACTTTAGTGACATTGCTGCAGTCTTATTGAACACTTCCCAACCAGCTTAGCCGTTCTGTAGCGCTGGAAATAGTTTTGGAATCAACATGCCGTCCATTGCATTCTATCTGTTGGGGGAAAAACCTTCGACTGCTCGTGTCATTGATATTCCCGAGGGCGTCGACGAGGAGAGCCTGCAGCACATAATTGCCTCTCATTTTGCAATTGTCCAGCCTCAAGGTGGGTAATTCATGCAAGCTGTAGTGTGCACTGCCTTGGAATTTTACTAATTGTTCCAGGGATTGGCTTCAACTCTCGAGAATCGGTTCTCGCGTCCGTCGCAGATGTTTTGTCCTACGGGCAGCAAGATGCTGTTGCAATCACCATCGACGGCAAAGCTGTGCGGCCTGTTCCCGGCCCGCCGGGACTCCCATTTATTGGCAACTACCTCGAGATATATCCCGACCACGTCGGAAACCACCAGCGGCTGCATGATAAATATGGACCCCTAATCAAGGAGACCAACATGGGCAGCGTGATATATCATACCAACGACCCGACCCTCGGCACAATCGTGTTCAACGAAAGCGATTTCTTCACCAAGAACATCATCCCAGGCCACCCTCTACGCCCAATCAAGAACGAACATGCCGGCATATTCGTGTCTGATACCGACACTGAAGAGTGGCGGATAAATCACAAGTTCTTGTCGCCTGCGCTTGGTCCCAAGGCAGTGCGGCACTACCAACCCATGATGCAAAAGGCCGTTGAGGACACTTTCCAGGTATTCGACGAGTTTGACAGGCGCGATGAGGCCTGGAACGTCTGGCCATATATGCTGAAGCTATCGTCGACAATCATAGGCAAGCTGGTGCTGGGCTTTGATTTCGACCATTTCTCGTCTCCTGATGCACCAATGCATGACGTGATCCAACTCATCGTCAAGTCACTTGAGCTTAACAAGAGGATATCATCCGTGGGCCAGTGGTACGGAAAGATGCCGTTTGGTAGCCCACTGATGCTCATGCATTGCCGCTGGCGCATCTTCCAGATTGTGAATCAGGCCATCGAGGAGGCCTCGATCGGCATCGAGGATCTCGAGCTTCAAGATGCTGCTCTCAAGGCAAAGCATCTAATCGGTACGTCAACAGTCTCGGTCCTTTGGTTTAGGCAAGATTGTAGCCCCCCTTGCTAACTGGAATGCCCTTGGCAATGCAGATTATTGCCTACGTGCCACGGATAACAAGGGCAAGAAGATGCGCCGGGATCGCCTCATAGAGCCTTTAGTAGTCACCATTGCTGCTGGATTCACCACAACGAGCTCACTGCTGGCCTGGCTCCTATATGCGATAGTTACATACCCCGGCGTGCAGGATCGCCTGCTACAAGAGCTGATTGACAATGGATTCCAAGAGGACACAATAGTCACGGTGGATCTGATCAACAAGCTCCATTTCCTTGACAATCTCGTCAAGGAAACACTCCGGCGGCATAGTCCATCGTTCCAAGCGGCAAGGACGTCCAGGGTGGACATGATCTTGCCAGGTGGATACAAGCTACCCAAGGACTCCATCGTGATTCCCGGTGTCTTCCACATCCACAACAACCCGGAAATCTGGGACAACCCGCGCCGCTTTGACCCGGACCGCTGGGATTCCGAGGAGGTCAAGACGCGGCCTCCAGGATCCTACATACCCTTCGCGTCGGGCCAGCGCATGTGCATCGGTAACAGCTTCGTTTTGCAGGCGGTCAAGGTCTTTATCCCCAAGCTCGTCTATCGGTACGAGTTCAGCAAGGCAAAGGAAGAGGCCGTCGCGTACGAGCCCTTCTTCCAGCTTATCCGGCCGACAAACTTGTACGTCCGCGCTGAGCGGAGAGTCAAGTGGCCTCCAAAGACAGAATTGTAGATAGGGTGTCATGACTGGGCGGATCTGGGAGAAGAAGACCGTGCCCTCTGTGAGTTATGACTACCTTAGCATTACGCTATCGCAAGGTGATTTCTGTAGATATACCAGATAGTTACATGAAGCGATTTCCTAGCTAGACAAATTGTTATGAATCTGCCAATCTCTACTCTCTAGAGATCACCAAGTCGTGACCTGCTGCCGAGACAACTTCAGGTTACCTTCCAATACACCACCATGCTTCCTTGCTGTAGCTATAGATTCACATCTCCAAAGTCATAAGTGTGTCAAATAGCGAGTTACGGTTTTCTGCTTGGTCTTTGTGTCCCTGCATGTTCCATGACATGCACGAGCCTGGATCGTAAAGTCCGAGTCGTAAAATCACCATGGAGATAGCTGTGACTGGGCAGCGTTTGACCCTCCGGGGCCAAGTCCGAGCTCGTTCCTGGTGCCAATCGGCAGTGCAGCATAGAATCCTGCAATCAGCAGGTTCCGGACTTCCCGCTGCGTGCAGGCGGCCATCTGCTTCGTATACCTAGGTTCAGATCGATTGAGTACGTACTGCTCAAGCAAGAGCGCGGCGTAGCTCTGCTCTTCTCAGACTCTTCCGCTGCTTCTTCTTGCCTCTTGGTGTACATGCACGCGCGTCACCCTTTTACATGCAGGCGGATATTGTCTCAATCACATGCCTGACGAGCGCCTGCCATGCTTGCTGCCATACTGCCGAGGTCTTGGGCGTTTATCATGATGTTCGATTAGGTACGAGACGGAGCGTAGTCACTCATCGAGGTGGAAGATTCCGGCCACATTCGATGCATCGTATGCCATGATTGCAATATTCTCATCATCTTCTGTGCTGAACCAATGCTTTGGAACGCTCGTAATAAGAACGACTGATGCAGTATTGCCTCTTTATTACTGGTATATACATGATCATGGTACGATAACTCGATAGCCAAGTGACAATAGAGCTAGTGTCACCGTCACAGTTTTGACGTCTAGAAGGAAACCTGAAGCCTTTCAGTAGATGATTTCAAGCAGTTTGTTGGCCGTCTTCAACCGTGGCCTTCTTCTTTGCCGTCTTCTTGAAGTCAAGAGCCTCCCATTTCATGACAAAGGCAGAGACGACCATCAAGGCTCCCGCTACCGTGCTTAGGTAAAACAGCCTGATGATTGCCGAGGTTACAGCTGCGATGGCAGCTCTTAGGTCCGCACCGTTGGACGCGGCCCATATCGGAGACTCGACGCCGGCAAGCGCTTCGTGGATCTCGGCCGCTGAGAAGCCCGACCCGCTTAGAGCCTCGGAAAGAAATTGGAAGCCAATATTTTGGAAAATGCAGCCCGCAATGGCGAGGGCGACTGTGGTTCCAGTGTACAGGGCCAGACTCATGGCGATGGAGCTGTCCATGCGGATGTTGTCCGGAAGCGCCAGGGCCATGATACTTGCGCCCAGTTGCATGGTCAAGCCGACGCCGAATCCGATAATGGCACCAATACCCATGGTCTGGCTGAGAGACGTGTCTTGGTTGACCGACATCATGGCTCCAGAACCGGCCGCTATCAGCACTCCACCGACCACATACAGTGCCGCATACCGGCGCACCATGGGCAGGAAGACGCCCGAGCCGATGACTGCTGCGATGTACACGCAGATGTAGGGCAGCATATGGACGGCTGTCTGGATCGCATCGTCGCCTCGTGTGAAGGCGTAAAACAGCGGCAGGTAGTACAATGCAATACCGTATCCGCAAGCGGCGAAGACAGTGCATAGCATGACCAGAAGGCCGGTTCGATGTGTCATGACGCCAATAGGGAGAATGCGCCTGGTGGGGACCGTGAACAGGCTCAGCGACTGCTGAACAGTGTACAGGCTGAGGAAGACACCAAAGAGCACCCATATGGCAATGACGCCCGAGTTCCATGGCAAGGTCGATCCCGAAAAGATGCAGGCTGCGTCGAAGAGCACCAGCGTGGCTATGTGCAAGCCTGCACCGACCCAGTCGATCTGGCCCAGTCCCTTGAGGACGCTTTGTTGAGGGCGCAAGCGTACGTTGGGACACGCGAGCAGTGTCAAAAGTATGAGAATCGCTAGCCATGGAAGGCAGATGTAGAATGCCTGGCATCATGGGTCAGTTACTAGTAATTCGCTGGGGATCGGCCTGCTAGGAACACACATACCCATCTCCAAGTAGCATGCTCGTTCTCTGCGAAAGCTCCTCCGATAATTGGGCCAATGATTATGCCGACGGCGAAGCCCATGCCTATCAACCCGTTAACCCTCGCATGCTCAGCGGGCTTCGCCAGGATCGTATTGTAGGTTAACAATCTGGTGAGAGGTGAGGTTAGCTCCTTTTCCCCTCACAGCCAGCGAGCAGATGGTATATATTCCCCCACATACGCTATGTAACCAGCTCCTCCAGCGATACCAAGAAGGGTGCGGCCGACGATGACGCCTTCAATAGTCGGGGAAGCACCAGTGACAGCAGTGCCAACCACGAAGAGCATCCATGAACCGAGCGTAAACCACTTCAAGTCTACAAGCTTCATTATCTGGTCAAAGATGGGATTTGTTGCCGCATTCCCCAAGGAGAAGGCTGTGACAACCCAAGGGAGGAGATCGATGTGTCCATATGCGCGGTATATGGATACCTGAATGGTCGCGACATTGCTAACATCGTAACCTACAGTTTAGCGCAGTCTGTCAGCACACAAATCTATCGATGTTGGAGTTGAGGGGATCGCTTTTTTTGCAGAGACAAGCGGTTAAGCTAGTGCTAGTATGTAAGGTAGGTAGCTAACAAGATCACGAGGAACACCAAGATGGCACCTGATGAGAATTGTAAGGGTGCTACCTACCCGAAAGCATTGCTCCGAAGAAAATTAGTACGTGAAAGAGACCCCACTGCCAGCCTGCGAGGCCGTCTCGCACTTTCGCGAATCGCATCCTTTCGTGATTCATGGCATCTTGTTCTTCAGATGGGCCAAGATCAGCTGCCGACTTGTTCTCGGTGAAGTGAAGTTCTTCTGAAACTTCGGCCGGCACCGGCGCCGGCGCCGAGTCGCTGTCGTTCAACTTCTTCTCCATTGAGGACGAGTCTTGATGGGTATCTGGAGGCGTCGGAGACATTTCGGCGGCGTATCGTGCATAAGGTAGGCACTATTCAAGTCTGCTCAATAGCACTTTGTCCAAAGCAGTACGGTTTGGACCAAGAGGTGGACGTCGCTATCATCGACAATGAGCGATTAGACCTCGGAAAGAACGAATCACTCGACTGGAGGTTGCGAGCTTGAATTCCAGGCAGGAAAATGGAAATCGAAAACGAAACAAGCAGACGATGCACCACCCTCAAGCTCCATTTGGCAAATGGATTCGCCAAGGGAAGCTTCTCACATAAGCTCTCTGTGTTATTCCAACTATTACGCGTTCGGTACCAATCTGCGAGGGAGTGGAGCCTGGGTGAACCGTGGACCTGCCGCCGAGTCACCCGGAGGACGGACCAACAACGCTGGGCCGGGCCGATGCCCCCCGTAAGTGGTAGTTGTATGCCAGAACCTATAGCCCGTTTTATTTTGCACACGTGTGTTAAACGAGCGCCCAGCCGGTGGTTTGTTGTTGATCAAGCATCGTTGAGATTAGGTGCGTCTGCAGCGCAGTGATAGGCCCGCTAATCTGATGGAACCGAACCCTGTACACTATGCAATGCCGCAAACTACTACCACAGTACCGATACCCTCTTGCGATTACATGTACTGTACCTGTTCCTTCTAGGTCAGGGCCACAGATCCTGTGGAAAATACCGTACAAGGCCACATACCTCGGCTGTTTTGTTCTGATTTCTAAGCAAGCTGTCTGCTGTGTGGTGTTACAACTTACGTGAGATAGATCGTAGACGCATTACTGGCTGGAATCTACCATCCATAGCGCTTCGATCGATGAAGATGTTTCAATTCGATGCATGGGACCAGAATTCCGTGCCTTGGCGAGCTTGGCTGCCGAGGCTCCATACGCATCAGGTACCCGTGCCACGCCCCACTTCTCTTGGCGCTTCGGAAGTCAGCCCAACTTTTGCTTGGGGGTCGGATCTGACCCGATCAGCAAGATTGTACGTACAGTAAGTGGGGCCGTGGGGGTACGTGGCGTCTCCGTTAGGGCAAGGTTGGGGGGTGTGTCAAGAAAACGGTCTGGCCCTTGACGCAAGCAACAGGTCACACCCTTGCCTTGCCCAAAAGAGGTTCTTCTGACTACATCGCATCGCAACCAACTCTCATGGTAAAAGTTCTGACTGCATAGTCCATAAGCATCAGACTGCACATGCTAAGACGCTAGACGCCAAGGTGCTGGCCATAGGATGACAGCCCTTGTCCGAGGAATCGCAAGGCATGGCGAATTGGCGAATTGGCGATCATGTATTACCAGCGCAGCGAAACCAGTTGTCCGGACTCCCAGCAGAGTGCGAACGACGGCACCACTTTGCAACTGAGGCTACTACACTCGATGTCGTAGTGCGTACAGTGGGCTCCGTGTGTCTGTTTGCATACTCAATCAACCTCGAGCCCTCTAACAGGCAAGCAGATCAAGGTCCTCCTCCATTATGGGCGCGACAAAATCTGAAGTCCGTGAGTACACGGCTGGGGAAGTCGCTGCCCACAACAATGCATCCAACTTATGGGTCATAATCCATGGCGAAGGTAAGAATCATGCCCGTCCTTGAGAGCAAACGGTTGCAGTGTCGCTCACAAGTTGTCTTCCAGTATTTGACGTCACAAGCTATTTGAATGACCATCCGGGAGGAGCAGATCTCTTGCTCGAGGTTGCCGGAGGTGACGGCAGCGAGCCCTTCGATAGCGCAGCGCACTCGGAGGATGCATTCGACATCATGCAAGGGTTCCGCGTCGGACGCCTCAAGGATGAAGGTCTAAAGCGCAAGCCCAAGACGGTGCGTCTGGTCGCTCCAGATCCAGCTACACCCTCTCTTCGCGGCAAGGAGCAGCGTCGCGGGTTTTCGACGGCCATGATCGCACTGTCGCTTGGTCTTGGATCTTCTCTTGCTTGCCTTGGCATCTGGTGGAATGCTGCGCGATTCAACATTGCTGTCGTGCCTAATCCAGCGAGCTTCAGCTTCCTACCAGAATGGGTCTGGGAAGCTGGCTTGGTCAGGCGCAACAAGGGGCTCGGCTTCACCGAGGGTGTGCTTTTTACATCTGCTGCTGTGGCGCTCACAATGGGCATCGCTCTCCAACGCTTCATGACAATCTTGAAGTTTGGAAGCGGTGCGCGGATCCCGGCACATCTGAAACTACCCCGAGTCGCGCAGCCGGATCTGCTCAATCGACGAGGATGGCTGGATCCTACAGGCTTTCAGAAGCTCCCTCTAGCCAAGAAGGAGCTCCTGGCACCCAACACGTACCGATTTGTCTTCACCCTCCCCGACCCCAATGCCATCATCGGCCTGCCAATCGGCCAGCACGTCTCTATTCGGGGCGCCGTCGACGGCAAGCTCATCAGTCGCTCTTACACGCCCGTCTCCAACAACGCCGACCGCGGGATTCTCGAGCTGGTCATCCGGTGCTATCCTGACGGACTCTTCACCAACGGCTACCTGAAAAACCTCGAGGTAGGCGACGAGGTCGAATTCCGCGGGCCAAAGGGCGGCATACGCTACCAAGCGGGCATGTGTGACAAGATCAACATGGTCGCGGGGGGCACCGGCATCACGCCCATGTACCAGCTGATCCGCGCCATCTGTGAAAACCCTCGCGACACGAGCGAGGTCAGCCTGATCTACGCGAACCGGACCGAGCAGGACATTCTGCTGCGCAGAGAGTTGGACAGCTTCGCTCGCAGATACCCCCGCAACTTCAAGGTCTTTTATGTGCTCGACCACGCCCCAGCGGAGTGGAAGGGGGGTCGTGGGTTTGTGACCAAGGAGATGATGGAGGAGCACCTTGCACCGCCTTCGCCGGGAACAAAGGTCTTTCTATGCGGGCCACCACCCATGGTGGACAGCGTCAAGAAGTCTCTGGGCTCCCTGGGCTACAAGCAGCCGGGGGCCATAACGAAGCCGGGCGATGATATTCTTTGCTTCTAGCGAGCGAGGAACAACAGGCAGAGACAGGAACCCGTTTCTTGTGACATGGAATAGCTTGAGATCGTTACATGTATGCACAGTATCAGGCGCAGAAGATAATTGAATGCTACAAAGCAGGTATCTACATCACGAGAACCATCAATGTCTCAGTACGGTGTGCTGCGACAAGCGATTAAGACGTGCGAGAGTGATATTGTCCCAACTATGCTCATCTTGTAGACGCTCTTGCAATGCCACTTCTTCATACTACAATCCATTGTGTGTTTGAACAGAGACAGGTGTTATTCTCTATAATTTCGACCTTCCAACCCATGTTTTCTCAATCGTCTCGCGATACCTCGCTGGGTTGTGCTTGAAGTGCCCAACATGTGTACTGCCCTGGAACTTGACCAGTTCCACCGCCCAGCCTTTCTGCTCGGCTTCCCTGGCATGATCCTCGACGTCCTGCCATCCGATAATGTCATCTTGCTCAGAGTATATGTAACATCTCCTAACCCCCTTCACGATCCCTGCAGGATCATTCATCCTCGACCTGATTACTTCCAGCAGGTCAGGCCAGGGCAGGACGTATTTTCCAACATGCATTATGCACAGGAAAACGCCAAAGACAAAACCCAGTGTCATTCTCGGCAGAAAGGCGCGGGGCAAGCTTCGTGACAGAGTCGCAAACGTCTGCTTGAAGCGGGAGCGTCCGGGGGCGCTGTCCAAGATGGTGACGGCGTTGGACAGGGTGCGTCCAGTGGCTTCCGAATACAACTTGTTGATTTCGCACCACTGCTTGGATCCGCCGTTGGACATGATGTGTACGAGAAGAGAGTCCTCGCCCGACTCACGCAGCATCTTGACCACGGGCTCCAGGAGTCTGCGCAGAGTCTGCTGCGTGCGGTAGAAGAAATCTGCCATGCCGCTCTTGACTATGATGATGGTGGCCGCCGGATAGAGCTCAGTGTACAAATTGATGTACTTCTCAACGTGGCGCAAGTTCGCATCCCCCCAGGAGAGGAACAAGATTGTCTGTGGCGCTCCGCGGGCCAGGGCATCGCTGGACCGCGAGGGCTGCGATGCTGCAGCCGAAGATGGAGGCCCATCGGTGGTAGTAGGGGAGTGGACCAAGACAATATCGTTTACACGGGAAAAAGAAGGCAATGCCGCCATGGTGAAAGTGCCGCCACGAAGGGCTGAGGTTGTGTTCCACGGAGCAGATTGGTCTTCTTGCTTCAAAATCCCCGACTGGCGATGGCTGTGGGCAGGAGTTGGCAAGTTGCTAGCCTAGGACTTGGGCCTCATGCTCGTCTATGACATTGTGCCAGTGATAAACGGTCGAACTGCTCTGGCTGACTGGCTCGGTGCAGGTGGAATATTGCCAAGGGGGAAGCAGCCGACCACCACCGAAGGGCAGCAAGTGCCAAAAGGCCTGCCAGTGTATCTGTATAAGGTAGGTCTAGCTGCCAAGACCAGGCATGCGCTCCTTCCCGTCTTTATCAGTGCTTTGGTCGCTTACTGTACGCCCTGCAGGCACCTCACAGAGTCACAGCAGCCGCATGTCCAATCATAGCGGTCCCCTCTGGTGCGTGACATTAGGCACAACGTCTTTGGCTACTCCATGTACTGTACATACCTGATGACCTTTGCCGAGGTTGCTGAACGGCGGCAAGCCCGATGCACCAGCGGTAAATCTCGAAGGAATACACCCCCGGGCCGTTGGCTGATCCTTCCGTTCCTTCGTCTCAGTACTGTGTACTTGATAGTGGCCCCTGATTCGTGAAGAACCAGCCAACGGATTATTCCGCGGCCATGTGTGGTGTGGCGGAATATTAGCCGCCCGGAGCAGCCTAGCAGGGCAACCGGCAACATATCCGTGGGGGTGTGAACCCGGAACCGTGGGGGTATATCTCCGACCAGCCCGGCCGCCCCTATCTATAAGCCGACTGTATGGTCAATGAAAGGGGAAGTAGCTCCGGCTACAACAGGACTACAATACACCGCTGCTATAGGATGCAGCACGCAACAGTTGTCCTGCATGAAATCCGAGACGTATGCAACATCTAAACTCTGTCCTTGTTCTCTATCCGTCCTGTCTAATGCAACGGCCTGCTTCCGACAGCAGCATCATGATTTCTACCTCGGCCCTAGAGACTTACCTACCGTACCCTGTCTACGATAGCCCCCTCCGATCGGATACTGAGTCGGTCCGACCGGTATACACTATGTGATAACCAGCCGCACTGGTATCTACATGATACATCTTGTCACCTATGGAGCCTGAGCCTGCTCTGTAGAGTACACGCAACCACCCCTTGATCCATGGTTGGTACAAGTACCCCTCAGCACGGTTTAGAATAGGGTGTTTATAGTACCTATACAGTACTAATATCCGGCCGAAACTTTCGAATTCAGCAAAGAAAAATGTGAAATCCCTTACCTAGGGAGTAGGACCATATGTACAAGGTACCTCTCGCGGGCAGTTTGCATGGGTACTACCTGTGCTTCATGGTCAAGGTCATGATCGGCATGCTACTCTGATCTCTGGCTTCATGCTGTCATACAACCAAGTCCGAGCAGAAAGTGCGACTCAACTCTGCGACTCGGAGTATAGCCCACTGTTTGAATTTCTCCCTTGCATAACAAGTTCTTTGTGGTGGCTTCAACACATGCAACGCTACCTAGGTAGGTAACCTGTCAATGTTCATCTGCGGGATATATCTCGTGTTGCGTGCGTGGCTCTCGCCAAGTCATGATATATCGCCAATGACCCTATCCGTATTGTGCTTGTTAAAGTCCACCGTGGGTAGACAGGTAGGTAATGTGACTAAAATCCGCAAATGATGTCTTTCACAAGCATAATCCACGGTCCAGGACCGCTTGAAGTTTTGGCGCTCCTTGCCGCGGGAGGTCTGGTCGCCTTCAGCTTCCTCGTAACCTACCGCCTAACGCTTCATCCGCTCGCACCAGTCCCCGGACCTCTGCTTGCCGCCGCTACGGGGTGGTATGAGCGCTATTTCGCTCTGGTGAAAGATGGCGGAGGTCGGTACTGGGCCGAAGTGGAACGGCTGCACAAGATATACGGTGCGTGTATACCAGACGCCGTCAACATCAATGTCCATGTCTCGATGGCAAACACTGAACATGAATTGAATACGCTAATCAACACGGCAGGCCCAATTGTGCGCATCAGTCCATGGGAGGTTCACATCAAGGACCCCGACTGGGATGACATTTACAAGCTCTCATCAAAGGCGTCCAAGCCCCGGTGGTATTATCAGAGCTTCGGCACCACTCTGAGCACAAACACCACCGAGGCCCATCAGCTCCACCGCGCTCGTCGCCAGGCACTGGTGTCTTGGTTCTCGTCGCAAAACATTGCCCGCAATACACCTACAGTCCAGGCTACGATTGACCGGCTTCATGACCGGCTTCTGGCTTCCTCGGGCAGGGTCATCAACATGGGCGATGTTTTTCGGTCCCTCGCCATCGACGTGGCGTCAGGCTTCGCTTTTCAGAGAGCATTCAACAACTTGGACGACGCAGAGTTCGGCAGGGATTTTAACCATGCTGTAAGGGACTATGGCAAAACCGGAATCGTGAACAGACACTTTTTCGGACTCCCGTTCCTGCTTATGCGGTTATTGCCAGTACACATATTCAACCTGATCAGTCCTAAGGCTGGCAACGACTTTATGGCGGTAAGTCAAGTTCTTCCAGGGGATGTGATGTCTATTTTTGTTGGTAGTCTCTAACTCTTCCCCCTGCAAGATTGTCAACCGTTGTGCCAAGGAGGCCATGAACAAACCCATTCGGTCACACGAGGAGGCCGAGGACGTGGTGCAGAGCATTCTCACCGCCGATCTCCCGCCAGAGCAGAAGACGTTCGATCGTATCTTTGCCGAGGTCCGGAGCATCATCCTGGGTGGAACAGAGACCACTGCAACTGTGTTGACTTCCATCACATACCACGCCCTCTCCAAGCCAGAAATCGCCACTCGGCTTCGAAACGAACTTGCTGAGGCCGAGAAGGACAAGGGAGCCAAGCTGGAGTACCAGGATATCAGAAGACTGCCCTATCTTACAGCTGTTATCCACGAAGCATTACGCACGTGCAACGCCGTGATAGGGAGACTGACTCGCTCCTCCGAGGTTGCGGATCTCCAATACCAGCAGTACTCTCTGCCACGCGGGGTGAGTATGCCAGCTTATCAGCAGACAAATCGTCAAGACATGCAAAACATGGCTAACACAACACCTAGACTAATATCTCCATCAACCTGCACGACACGCACATGAATCCCACCATCTTCCCCGAGCCCGAGAAATTCCTCCCCGATCGCTGGCTCAACGAGTCGGACTACAAGAGGATGTCAAAGTACCTGCAACCCTGGGGCCGAGGATCACGGCTCTGCCTGGGCATGGAACTGGCATACACCGACCTGTACCTGGCCGTGGCGCGCCTGTTCGGTCCCGATTGCGCCTTCACCATGAGACTCTATGACACCCAACTGGAGGACTGGGATGCTTACGCTGACTACTTCGCACCCTTGCCTGTCCCAGGGGGCAAAGGACTCCGCGTGGTTGTTGAGCCCAAGGAAAAGGCAGGAAAGGTGTAGGATCGATGGCAACATCTCAGCTGGCTGATGAATATGGTATACTTATTCAAGGAGATGATGAACTAGAGATCTAGATAGAGACCAAAGAAGTCAATATTACGAAGCTTTCGTGTCGTTATCGTGTGCACCGGACAGGAAGAACCTGATGCGATGTCAAACGATGGTATTCCTGCATCACCACCGACCACTGTAATCTTGGAGGAGCGTATCAACGCTTTTCTGGTCCACCTTGGGGAAGTGTAACTATTGTTGTACCGTTATGGTGAGCCAAGGAGTATGTTAAGAGAAGGAAGAATGACGAGAAAGCAGAGAAAAAGGGGAACCTGGGATTTGGTTGGAGGGAGGGCAGGAGTGAGGCCACGACCGCATGAGCAAGCCAGCCTAGCACCGAGCCTCGAGGGTCGGATGTAGTTGGTTCGCATCCTCGGCCACAGCCCCGCGAATAGGGGATGGGATCATCCTGGCGCTGAAAGTGCATCTCCATCGCGGATGCGCGGAACGTGTTCTAGAGAACTCGATGGATATGAACGAAGTAGAATGGGCGACGCCTTCCGGCCTCCGTCGCCGGCGCCGGTTGGGGTCGTTACGGAGGCGGCCCCGGTCCGGGAACATGAAGGCGAACGGGATCTCGTCCGGCAAACCATCGGGCAACCGTTGGGCCGGGGTAGCTAAGTCAGCAACCGCAGTCGTGCAACGCGAGGGATTTTGCTTTGATAACATGCAGTTGCCGCAATTAGTATTGAAGGGCCATACTTCAATTGTTGCTGTCAGTACAGTGGTCGGTGGTGATGGACAGTAGCATAGAGGAGGAGGGTAATGAGCAGCCCTTTCAGTTGTTACTCCAGGCACACAACATAGTGCCAGGAACCGACATTCCCGACGACGGAGCTGACAGGTCGAAAATTAGACCCGGCTTCGACGTGAAGCGCGGTCTCACTGCCCGGCGACTGTCGTAATATGTGTCCTGCTGCCGAGGGGGGAGTGTCTGATGGCTGAAGGGGCTCCCGTCCGTTCAACAGCGCAACTTACCGCTGCACAGGCTCAACACGCACCTTTGCATGAGAACACAAGCGGAACTCATTAAGTTCCTACAATCACCTACCTGTCGCCGGCGTCACCACACTCACACCCATCCGAGACCGGTACAAGTACGACGGCCAATCGCGACTGCCTCCCGGTCCGGCACCCTGCTGCCGAGCAATCACAGCTGATACCCGGCCGTGAGCAGCAGCCGCCAGCACGTACAGCGTCTGTCAGGACATCAGATACCTGCCCCAATCCATACCTGCCTCACCTTAGTCACCCGTCCTGTTATTCGGCTCCCCCATCCTCGGCAATAACGGCATCAAAGGCGACGATTGCGCCGGTCCGACACGCCCACACAAGCGGCGTCGTGCCCTCCTCCTCCAGCTCCTCCTCTTCCGCCGTCGGTGTCGTCGCTTTAGCAAGCAGCAGCCGCTGCATCCGAACCCCCCACGCGCCAGACACGGTCTCGGCGGTGACAGCCAAGCTGCGGATTGCCTTCGACGGTGTGTACAGCGGCGCGCCGCGCGCAACGAGCTCCCGAATCAGCGGGACGGCGGACGCCCATTTGGAACCATCATCATCCTGCCCGCCGGCGGCGGGATCCCAGTTAAAGTTACCCCGCGGGCGATGCGATGCCAGCGCATGCAGTGCCGTCCAGCCCTCGTCTGTCACTACATCGGCCCTGGCGCCTCGCTGCAGCAGGAGGCTGGCCAGGCTGCACGCTTCGGCAAGGGCCTTTGGTGGGGTGGGCATCAGCGCGCAGAGCAGGGGCGTCCAGCCGTTGGTGTTGGCCGCGTCGACGGGAACGCCGCGGTCGAGCAGGAACTCGGCAATGTCCTGCTTCCCGCCGTCTGCGGCGTAGTGCAGGAGCGATTCGCGGTGGTGTGTCTGTAGGCGGAGGGCGGCGTCGGCATCCGCGCAGCGGGCGAGGCACAGCTGGAGCTTCTCGAGGGAGCTGCTGTCGTAGGCGGCGGCATGGAGCGGCGTCGCCCCGTCCTGGTCTGGGATCTCGGGAGAGGCGCCGTGGTCCAGGAGGAGCCGGAGGGCTTCTATAGAAGATGAGAAGCCGAACGTTGCTTGAAGTGGCGTGAGGCCTTTTGCATTCTGGATGTTGGGATTCGCTCCCTTCTCAAGCAGCGCCTTGAGGGCGCTAATCCGATCCGCCAACGAGGCTGCGATGCAGAGTAGCGGCCGTTCCAGGTAGGTTGCGTCTGGATTCCCGCCGGCATCGACAAGTCGACACACGAGGTGGTGCGCTCGGGCGTTGTATGACTGGGGTGTGTCGTCCTCATCCGTTCCAGGTGGTATATAATGGGTAGACCCTGGGCCGGAGTAGACGCACCGGCCCAATGCCTTCTGGATGTCGTCCACCTCGTAACCGACCTTGGCGAGTAAAACTGTGACGACGTTGTCGTTCCATTCCGCCGCGGCATCAAGGAGCGCCCGCCGCTTCTCGTCCACTAACCAGCCATCCCACATGTCGAGAAAGTCGGCCACCAGGTCTGCCTGACCATATTGTGCAGCCACGATGAGGCACGTGAGCTCGCTTCTCCTGCGCAGCGAGGGGAGGAAGCGGCCGTCAGGCCCGACGAGTCGCCAAAACAGACGAGCCATCTCGCGCCGACCGTACTGCGAAGCCGCCAAGATGGGAGTGTGATACGGTTCGTGTCCGTTCACCACCGTAGGGGGCACCCCGGGATCCAGCATCATGCGGACAGCGGTCTCGTCTCCCATGTAGATGGCGTGGTGCAATGCAAGGCCGATCGAGCCATGGTCCTCGTCAATGGTGGGACTCCAGAGTGGCAGGAGCCCCGCCAGATATTCTCTGTTGCCGTGCTTGAGGTACGTGTGTACCAAATCGTTGAAGTTGGGTCCCATGGTTTCATGTCGATGCAGAGGTGCGTCTCGCCCGGCGAGCGTGTACACAGTACATAGTACGTGGAACCCTGCCTTCACCTCGACAGCATTGTCGTCTTGGGATAGAGCTGACACTGGTAACTGGCAGTGGATACCGGAAAGGTATCGCAGGTGTTGGAAGTGCAACGTTATGCCGCTGAGCTAAAATCTTGGGTGCCCACGAATTCTTAGGTAGTGGACTGGTTGCACTTCAGAAGTTCAGCTCCCGGTACCTACCATTATGCGTAGGGTTATGAACCAGCGTCAGTAATGAACCAGCCCCACAGGCAATTGCAGACAGACCAATAGAGGCCGTCGCCAAGGCTTGGCTGCCGGCTGTCTGTGGCTATCCTGTGGCGCTGGTTCATTACTGACGCTGGCTCATAACCCTACGCATAATGGTATTTCTACCGGTAACCGCAGGTCACAAGCCGCATGTAGATAAGATAAGCTAAGGTCCTGTAGCCCGCAAGTGCCCCACCATGGTCACACGAATTTCCAAACCAGGCCAGGGCACCCCACTCTCAATTCCTCAACACCACATTTCACATCTACACTTCTCTCTCTATTAATTCTTCAGCCTCATCACTGGTTTTTCTGTCAAATGGTAGCTGCCACTCGTTGTTTCACCAGAGCAGTGTGTGGCCGGCGAGCAAGGTATCTTCCCTCTTAGTATGATATCGCCGATATCTCATCAGTGTCGGCGATGGTCCCGGGTCCAGCCCGCCTGCTTTCACCCTCTTTTTATATCTTCGGCCTCGGAAGGTGGAAATTAGTGCAATACCGTACAGCCTCTCCTATCGCTTTAAGTGAACCTTGCGGATGCATTCCTCGGAAGCATACGGCGCCAAGTTCAAGTTGTATTCAGCCGCTGAGGGGACGGCATTTGCCTCGGCCATCTTAGATGCCATTTCCCCGCAGAGCAGTGCCTGCCAGATCCTAGCGCACACCGGAATTCGATCACGGCAACATGATCGACAAGGGATGTGGAGCAAATGTTGGCTGATCATCAGCATTTTCGTTTAAGGTATGTACATACATCTGCGCCCTGTCAAGAGGTATTTAAGTCGGGCTTCAGACCAGCGTAGGTGCTCTGAGACCTTTCAATGGTCTCTTCAATCTGGCCACAACCTGTTTCCCTTCGAGTTCGTATCATTTGCTCTTTCGAATTCTCACTCAACAAGTATAACCCTGTCCGAGTCGTCGAGATGTCCTCCCTCTACAACTTCTGCATGACACTGCTATGTCTCTCGGCCTGTGCCACATCGGTCCTCGCATCGCCCCAGATCCCTGCAGCTCCGGGCTTGACATACCTCTACTCGCTCAACTGCACGTTAGGCCCGTCCATCCAGGTCGGCGGCGGTCCGCATGGCACTCGTGTCGTGATTCCCATCATTGGCGGAACTTTTTCAGGGCCGCAACTGTCCGGTACTAATTACGGCCTCCCTACCTTGTTCCGCTAGCTCACAGAGAATACCATGCTAAGACGCCCCTTAACTTACAGGCAAGGTGCTCAACCTCGGGGCTGACTGGGGTCTGGTCGACAAGAACGGAACTTTTTCGGCCGACACTCGGTACCAGCTGCAGACCGACGACGGAGCGCACATCTTCATCCGCACGTCTGGGCCGGCGCAGCCAGACGGGCACTTGCACTTGCGCATGGTTTTCGAGACGGGCAGCGCCAAGTACTACTGGCTCAACAACATTGTCGCTGTTGGTGTCCTGACGTCGAGAAACGGCTATGTCTTGATCGACGGCTGGCAGCTGGAAAGTCCAAAGAAGTAAAAGTAAGGGCAAGTCGTCAAGTCAAGTCAAATAAGTATCCGTCGGTGCCAGAGAGCCCAGTGTCAGAGCGACATTCTACATGTAATTGCTAGAAGAGCCGTCATTCTTAAAGCTGTCATGATACAAATGATCACAACGGGCAGACCACATCGAAGTCGAGTTCACTACAGGCCTGGGGGTCGGTAGTAATGGCCCGTGAGGAATACGAAGACCCAGCCAACGGGTACCGCACATATATTATTGACGGACTCTCACCAGTCACACTTACTGACATTAACACAACGCTGCCGACAATCATCACCTCTCTTCATTACAACTAAGTAAGGTATACCTCGTATACTACATCACATTACTGGGGGTTATACCATTGCCACCCTCTTCTTACACCTCCCATTCCCCACGCCGCCAACCGCGTCAGGCTCGTTCAAAAAGCTCGTCCCGTTCCTGGCGCCCAGGGTATCCCGCCCGACGAGGAAGCTCTCGGGTGGGCCAAGATAGCTGGCCCTGACGCCACCCAGGTCGAGCAAAATCTTCTGCACCACCACACCCGGCATGAGGGCCCAGACCCGCAGCGTGTAGGCACCCTCGCGCGGCACGGCGAAGCTCGTCGTCGTGTAGCCGCCGCGGAGGCCCCAGACGTTGTCGGCCACGGCGGTGCCCCAGCCCGCTGGCATGTTGGAGCCGACGGTGGCGCCGACTGGGCGCACCGATTTGACCGGTACGTCAGCAGCGTTGCCGCCTTGCGGGGCCAGCGAGACGGCGTACTCGAGCGGGTCGTAGTCGCCCAGGTAGTTGAGCGCGGGCGAGATGAGCAGCGTGACGTTGGCGGCCGAGTGGTTGCTGAAGAGGTATAGGTTGTACTCGAGCGCCGGCGCAGTTTGCGGCGTCTGCTTCTCCGTGTTGAGCGGCACCAACCCGACGCCACTCCCTGTGCGGCCGTAGTGGGCGAATTTGTGGTACGTTACATTGTTGTTCAGCGACGAGTTCTGGGCCGGGGGCAGGATGGACTGGTAATGCGCCCCCGAAATGGAAACGTGCCCGTCCGACTCGACAAAGCCGGCCGTGAAGTTTGCGGGGACGGCGCGTTTGATGACGGGCACTTGGACGCGCGGCAGTGGGAAGCCGTAGCGGTCCATTCCGCGGCACGGTGTGGTAACGTTGATGTTGACAGTGGTAGAATAAGGGGCATCGGGGACGGCGGACCAGTCGATCGAGATGTAGACGCGAGTGTCCCCGGCTGAGGGCCCCACGGTGCCGGTATACTGCGAGAGCTTGACAAACGGCTGCCAGGGGGAGGCGGTCCATTCGCACTCCTTGGTGCCGCGCGAAAACACGTCAAAGTACCGGGTTACGGGTCCGTATGGGTCCATGGGCGGGACCGCGAGGGTGCTGCCACTGTTGGGATGATACTTGTCGTCACCTTGCACGGTGGCGTTGGAGCCCTCGACGCCAACGCCGACCTCGCCGGCAAGCGAGACAAAGTCGGTCTGGACATGGACCATAGCTGGAAGGGTGTTGCGCATGGGCTGTTGCCAGTAGCCGTCGTAGCCAAGGTGAGTCTCTGCAAGGAGTCAGTCCTCTGGGTGAAGACGGAAAGGAGAGTGAGCTCTTACGGTCCATAAAGTGCTTCCACTTGCCGTCCAGCATGGCATCCCACCTCCGTGTGAGGTTCGCGTCGGCCGATGAGTATGCCAGCACCTCCTGAATCACCCGGTTGGCCGCGTTCCGCTTCTGGCCGGAGTACAGCATGTTTCGCGCACCACCAATGTAGATCTTGTGCACAATCTCTCCGGCCAGGGCAGGGTGCAGGACGGTCTGGAAGAAGGTCGGCTGGCTCTCGGCGGGAAGCTTGTCGTGGATGGCCTGAGCCTGCGCCGCCAGCTCAGCCCACTGCTGCAGGATAGCATCTGCCTCGTTGTAGTTGATGACGGAGTAGATGTGCGGCTCGACCAGCTCAAACCTGCGCCGTCCGGCGTACATGCCGTACTTCATCATGACATCGGCGATTTCGGCCGCGTGGGCAGGACCAAACTCACGCGCAGCGTAGGCCTGAGCCCATTCAAACGTGCTGTCGACGCCCCATCGCTTTGCGTCGTATGCCATGTCAAAGAAGTGGTTGATGGGGATCTCGAGCGCCTTCATGTCGCCAACATTGACAATCCAGATCCTGTCGACGCCGCGCGCGTACCCCATGTGCATCTGCTCGGCCGTCTTCGTGAGCTGAACCGTGTTGATCCACTTGTAGTTGCGCGGATCCCCAACGTAGTCGAAGTGCATGTAAAGACCCGCTCCGCCTGCCCGCTGTGTCTCGTTCAGCAGCGGCAGTCTGCGGACGTTGCCGGCGTTGTCGTCGGCCCAGAGCAGGGTCACGTCGTCTGGTACTTGCAAACCAGCGAACAGGTACGTCATAACCTCCTTGTAGAGACACCAAGTCTGCGGAATGGTTGTAACATCATCCACTTCGAGTCCTTCGGCCATTATATCCCGCTGGTTCTTGACCAATACGGTAAGCATTTCCACGATGTGCTCAACGCCGAGACCTTCAATGGCAGTGTCACCGGTTCCACGCATCCCAACCGTCCAGAGACTATTGCGAGCGTACGGCTTTGCACGCTGAACTCCATACCGGAAGTACTCGTCAATGGTCTTGTTGTTGAGGTTGTAAGCCCAGGGCCCCTGGTAAAACTTGCCGAACTCGTTTTGAGCACGCATCAAAGGTTCCGTGTGTGACGTGCCGAGGACGATCTCGAAGGCGTCCGCATAAGGCTGATTGCCCGGGTCATCAACTTCGAACATGGTTGCCCAGAGGGCTGGCCACAGGTAGTTGGCGCGCAGCCGCAGAAGGACCTCGAAGATGAGGCCGTAGAAGGCCGGTCCGTATCCCGGGCCATACGGGGTATCTTGCCAGCGGCTTGCAACCCAGTTGGTCAACGCCGGTTGCTCGTCGTTGAGGAAGAAGCCGCGGTATTTGACGGATGGCGGCCCCTGGACCTTCTTCGTGGTTGTCACAAAGAGGTTCTTGCTCTGCTTGGGAGGAGTATCGGCCCAAAAGTACCATGGACTGACACCGATCTGCTCGCTGATGTCGTATATGCCGTAAATAGTACCGCGTGGGTCGCTCCCGGCAATGACCAGGGCCTTGGAGCATCCCGGCACTGGGTTCTCGACAACCTGGCTGGTGAAAGATTCCCACTTGCCTTCAACCTCGGACACGTCGATGGCCTTGGAGGAGATGAGGCTGTCAATGACGGTCGAATGTCCAATGGTTCCGGCAATGATGACAATATCTGAGGGAGAGGGATCCGAGTAGGCCGGGCCGGTGAAGTTGGCAATTCCACTGGTGCTGAACTGCCGTATATCAGCCGTAGCACCGGCGAAGACAGACCAGGAAACTTACATGGGTGTTGTTCATGTTGTTTACCGGTCTGTACTGGTAGATGGCGGGCTCCGAACCAGCCTCGCCATTGCTAAGGGTGTAGTTTGTGCCCGTGACTCGCCCAAAGTCGAGGGCAAGATCACCAGCGGCACGAATGACGCCCCAGTAGTCATTGCTCGAGACTAGGATCTGGCCCTTGGACACAGGCCCGCCAGCAATCTGCAGGGCGGCGCCGGTGCCGTTCAGTGAGATGATGCGCTCCTGGCCCAAGGCGGCGACCACCGAACTGAAGGCGAGCCAGAGGGCTCCCTTCAAGCCCATGGTCAGCATCTCGTTGTCGTTACGCAACAGCAGTTGCGAACAGGCAAGGCTAGAACAACGATAGAACTGGCGAAGTCAAAGCAGAGGGTATGCGACGGTGATGCACACCAGGGCTTGTAATATATCCAGCTCCCCGGGTATGCAAGGCACCATGACAGAAATGGTGGGTAAATAAATTAACCAGGAACGACGGCATCATCGGAAGTCGTATTGGGTCCTCCGGAGGGCCCATCATCATGAATGCCTCCAACCAGAGTTTAGCATCCCGAGGGGAAATTCCGCAGAGTTGGATCATGACCATCGAGCGAATGGGTAGCCGGGCTGTCGGGTAAAAGGATGGACGTTGCTTGGAGGCGACACCAAGATACCATCCTCACTTACCTAAGGGATTGTACCTCTGTGTGAGTTGCTGTCGACAATTCACGGTACCGACGAGTATGCTGGGCGCCATGAGTTAACTCATGGCGGTCCACCCGCAGCTCCAATTCCTGGCGAGACACCAAGGCAAGAGCTGCCCAGCTACATTCCATTGCCCTCGGAGGAGGAAAGCCCGCTTCTTCATTTCATCTTATTGGATTGACAGACGAAGCATGCTCGCCATGGACAGACCCACGTGTGAACCTGGTCTTTGGAGTTTCCATGCCATTGTTCGGAGTTCAAAATTGGCTTCAGTGGTAGCCAAGCCGTGAGAATCCCCTTCCCGGCTAAACTCCAACGTCACCCAAATTCCACTCTGCTCCGCTTCCCCGCATCGCTTCCGCCCTGCGCCTTCTCCACCTCCAATTCTTGGCTATTAGGTACCGCATATACTCGGTGAACACACAATTACGCTTTAGGCTTAGCCTCATCTTCTACTGGAACCCCATTCAACGACAGCCAACCAAAGTCCGCCGATATCCATTTTTGACCCTCGTTGTCGAATTGAAACCCAGGCCCAGGAGAGAATTTTTGGCAGTCCCGATGCCGCTAGCTGGGATAGGGTTAGCGTAAATGTGTGTTCACCGAGTATATGCGGTATTGTACATACCAGTGCCGGTAACTTCCGACCATACACTTCTACGGTAGTCACACCGTAACGGTAGCTGTTTCCGCCGCTGGATGTCGCTGCTCATATCCGCTGCTCACTGGCGGTGAGTATCGAACTGGGATCGATCATATCAGTTTAAGCAGTCTAGATAGCATTAAGGTAGTTAGTTGTCCACTGCATCGTGGTGGAGGGCGACGTCGAGGCTTCTTATCACCAACACAACATCCATGGATGACAAGTCGTTGCTGTCGATATTCCTTCCGGCTGCTGGGAATCCCCATGGCCAAACAGACAATTCCAGGTCAGTCTGGGCAAACACCTCACAGGCCATCGCATGTAGTCTGTCAATCTCGCTCGCTAGCCCTGTTACGCACCTGTAGGGAGGCTTACTCGTCGTCATGACGTGGTATGCATTTCCTGTCTTCGGAAGTATACAGGCTGCAGGGCATATTGTAGAACTCCTGGAAGCCGCCCAAGCCACCCAGTGCCAACCAACTCGTACAAACACAGACAAAGGCGCAACCAACCCAGAACCTCCCATCGCGCCAAGTCAGCAGGCGATCGCGATGTCCAGCCCGGTCGCGCAGTCAGATTCTCTCGCCTCAGCCAAACCAGCAACCATTGTCACCAACAAACGCCAGCCTCAAGCCCCCACCGATTCACCCACAAACCGGTACCTGGGCAACAAAGCCATCTTCTCCTCGGGACTGACCTCGGTATCGCCATAGACCATGCGCATTCCCTTCTTGCCCTTCTCGGCGCCGGTCGTGGCGTCGCCTTTCGCAGGCCCAGCCCCAGCACCGGGTGCAACAGCGGCAGGCCTGATCCCAGCCTCAGCCATCCTTATGAGCTGATCGATGTCGTCGCCGCCACTACCGCCTTGTCCTTGTCTTGCTGCGTTCGCCACCAACTCGTCCACCGTCGATGCACCGGGGCCATAGCCCGCGGCCGCACCAGCGCCGTTGTTGAAGTAGTATGGAGGCGGCTGCGGCAGGCCGGCGCCGACGCCGCCGCTGGGAGGATGGGTGGGAAGATTGAATGGGGCCGCGCCGCCCGGGGGAGGAGACGGTCCTGGCGGGTAGGTTGTTGCTGGAGAGTAGGTCGGCGCGCCTGCGTAGGGCGGCGGCGGCGCACCGGGGTAGGGGAAGCCGGCGCCGGGTTGCGGAGGAGGGAAGGGTGAGGCCTATTTGGAGGAAACGATGATTAGAGTTTGACTGGGAGCTGGTGGCGCAGGTGGGGAAATGGGCTGGACTTACGCCTTGCGCTGGGCTCGGGCCATCAACTGGCGCGGCGACGGGCGTGCCACCGTTTGCGGCGGCTGCTTTCTGGGCAGCGACCTTTGCGCGGTGTTCGGCCAGACGCTTCTTCAGCTCCTCGGGCGTCTCCATCTTGATCTTCTTTGCGGGTCCTTGGCCGCCTGATTGGCCCCGCGGCGGGTTGCCGGTGGCGGCTTGCCTTTCGGCTTGGGCAGTGTAGAAGTTTTGAATGATGCGCTGGTTGTGCTGCTGCACAATGTCCTCGGGAACACCTTCCATGCCGAAGATCTCAATGTCTAGGCCTTGCCGGTTTGGCAGCGCATTCTCGACGCTTGTGAGGTTTTCTTTGTGGACTTGGTTCATGTGGACAGAGAGACCTGCGGGTGAAATGGTTAGCGATAGCCACCTCGGCGACGACATCACCGCGCATACCTCCAGCCGTGTTTAGTCGCTTTCCACAGCGCTCGCATTTGAAGTGTTTTGCTTTTTGATGGGAAATAAGGAGCTTCAAATCTTCAAAATCTCGCTCGCCTGCGATCCAGTCAGTACAAGTTGTGCCGCTAGACAAAAGATGTACGCACAGTAATAGCACCAAGGTCGAGCCAAGAGCTCCTCGACGTCAGGATGGCCACGTTTTTTCTTGCCCATCTTGGCCGCTGCTGAAGAGTTTTATGTTTATTACGGTGATTGATGGGTTGATGCGACTGACGCGATTGACTCGCGTTAGGAGGAGTGGTGACGAGATAACCGTTCGCAATCGATGAGATCTTATGATGCTGGAGTCTGGAATGGTCCTGGAAGGAGTGCCCTCACCAAAAAGTTCAGCCTCCTCTAGGTAACGCCGCGCCGCGCCGCGCAGCTACGGTGAAGGGACTGGACGCGACGCCACAGTGCGCTAACCAATCTTGGCCTAGCGGCCAGCACCCCACGTCTGATCTGATTCCTATCAGATCTTGAGTTGTTCACAACTTTCACAGCTTCATGAACTTGGTACCTAACTTGCATTGTCATGGTATTCCAACAACTCAGATCACACATTGAGCTGGCTAACAGTTGTCTGCTGTCTTGCAGACTCATATGGCATTAACTTCAGCGGCTGCACGATTCTCATCCACTTTATGCTCTTAGTGTCCCAATCATGCACATCCACAATCCCCCACAGACTTCAACTAACTATCTAAGAGTTCATAGGAATTCTATTACAACGACACGCGGCCCAGTTCAAGGGGTCTCTCAGTGGACATTGCCAGTTGCATCAGATTCGAGATTCATATGATACTATGTGGACAGGGTAAGGTAGGTAACCCGCAAGGCGCCATCTACTTTACAAAGCCCCCTCCTCCTTCAGCCAACTCTCCACCGCCGCCCTCAGATCCTCATAGGGCACCTTGATCAGCTCATTTGCACTGTCCTCCTTCTTCAGCTCGTTCCCTGCGCCATCCGCATTGTTGTGCGCCCGCAAAAAGTCGACAAATGCCCGAAAATCGCCCGCAGCAAGCTTCTCTTCGCCCGCCTTTTGCAGGTCACCCGACTTCTGATGGGTAACGGGGAACTTCTGCCCGACAAGCTCCTCCACAATCGCAATGAGCTCGTTCTGCGAGAGGTTGAATGACGCCGTGCTGAGATACTTGTTCGCAGTCTCTTCCGGATGCTTCAGAATCCCGGCGACGGCCTTGCCGATATGTGCCAGCGTGCTGGCCTGGAACTTCTCGTTACCAGAGTCGACGACGGTGGCCTTCTTCTCCTTGAGGTTGATGATTCCTAGGCCTGAAAACTTGAGTCCCTATCGCCTGGGCATCAGTCGTCGACCTGGCAGTGAAAAGAAAGCGCGCCCATGCTCACCCAGTCAAAGAACAACCCGGTAGAGAGCCCGGTCCACGTGAAGTCCGGGTGGCTCTTGGCTACCTCCTGCAGATAATCCACAACGGCGATCTTGCCCGCCAGGATCTTGCCAATCGACGTGCCGCGCACTTTGCGGGTGTTGATGCCAAACTCGGACGGGATGAATCGCTTGACTCCTGCCGCCACAGCGGCATCGACTGCAATTCTTTGGCCGGGCACGCCCAGGGTGCCGACCACCGAGACCACGGCATCCTGGCCGTCGAAAGCCGATTTGAGTGAATCGAAGGAGTTGAAGTCCACCTTTTTGACCGCAAGGCCGTCTGGGAACTTGGGTGTGGAGTTTGTGGACGCCTCCCGTGTGACACCCGTAACTGTGAAGCCGGCGGAGACCAGCTCGTTGACGATGGAGGGACCCAAGTTACCAGTACCCTACAATCCATGGGCCATGGTTAGCTGCTCTGGATCATGATTATCCTGAGGTTGGTAGGTATTTGTCAGGTAGTCATCCATACCCCAAGGACGGCAACTTTTGAAATCGACACCATCTTGATCTCTACAAAATGCAGTTTATGTGATATGGCTGCTGTAAGTATCAACTGGAAAGAACGAAAACAATCAAGTATCGAAACTGCTAGTGTCAAGAAACCAAACCATGGTTCAGTCAATGACGTGGAGAAAGGCGGGTAGGAGGCTATTATATATGGCGTGCCACTCAGCCTATGTTGCAACGGTCTCGTAGAATTGCGGCATGCTTGCGGCATCCGGCGGGCCCGTGTTGGCCCCGTGGAAGAACTTATCAGACGTCGACATTCCCCGCGTGTGGGGTGAGCATGTCCGATGTGGTGACATTGCCCAAAGCAAGTTTCGGCAGATAGGGCAGGAGGAACTATCGGGTGAATGTTATGTGTAACATGATTTTTACGCCTCGCAGCGCCTTGTCCATCTACGCTGCTTCAAGCGCTGCTCTTCTATTAAAACATCTGGTATCTAATGTAACTAGACGCCTGTAAAAGGAGGACAGGAAGCAATTCGAAGGTGGAAAACAAAGGGAAGATGCGCCCTGATTCCGCTTCCATGGAACAATCTTCTAGGCACAAGCCTCTGCATTGGAGAAGGGCTTCCTCCTATGATCAGGTTAATCCGGGCTTATCGTCCCTTAGCACATACGACACCCCTTAAACATCCATGCGCCGAGCACCATGGAACTGTGAGGGCAGCTTGCCTTCATCGCTGGCACGTGCTTCCAACGCTTGGAACGCTGTCATGTCCCAAACTCCCTTGCCTTCCGGGCCAATATCCTGATATTATTGACCAGCCCTTCCACCAAATCAAGGTATTGATGCGGCTGGCTCTCCCTCGCTCGTCGGCCCTGGTCAATCAGTGCCACCGGATCTACCTCAACCTCGAGTTCATGCTCCTTTTCTTGACGCTGGGTGTTCTAGAGGATTCGTTAGCAACCGTGCCAGCGGAGGCAGTGCCTATGACACCGAAAACAAGTGGTAAGAAGAAGCGCTTACCCCTGGCCCGGCCACATTTTGTGTGACCTGGGTGAGGTCAATCTGGTAGCACCCGTGGCGGTAACTCAGCCGATCCTTGACCCTTTGCCTGCCTGCTCCTGCTCCGGCGCCTCCGCTGGTACCCGACAACCTCTCCAACTCCTCGACGGAGCCGTCCCAATCCATTTCCAGGTTCACGCTGATCCTGCAGTCCAGCGGCTGGTCCGGAAAATGCAAGCTCACGTCGGCCACACGCGCCTTGATGATCTTGGCGAGCACTTTGTTCGTCTTCTGGTCGTATGTAACCCTGACTCGTGCCCCGTGGCCCCGCGTCGCGATGGGCTTGGCGACGCACACCGGCAGCTCGCGGTCGCGGACCGCCGGGGGCAGGTCAAAAAATCTGTCGATTTCGTGGCGATGTAGGTAGTCAATTGGCAGCCGCGGCCGGGGCAGTGCAGCGTTGGCCTTGTTGTTGGGGTGAGTTTGTTGGACTTGCAGGTTGAGGAACTCGTTAAAGGACTTGTGCTGAATCTGCAAGAGCGGGGAGGAGAGGTATGGTTAGTGAAAATAGGGTGATAACGGTTCAACGGGAGAAGTTGCTTACCTCGGTCATGCTGCTCCGAAACCCAAGCCAATTCCCGCCATCATTAATCACGCACTCGGTGAGCACGGGAAGATTGAGCCGCTGGTTCGTGTCTTTGCTTATGAGCGTGCCAAGTTTGGCTTCAATCTCGAACTTGACGCCGCGCCCTTGAATCTCATTTATGTCAGGGTTGAGAATTATGTATTGAAACAAAAAATCAGCGATGGCTTTTGTAAAGCCTTCCTGTGGAACCGAATTGGTGATGCTGGCCTCCCATGGTCCCAACGGTCCCCACGGGTTCGCCGTCTCTGGGAGGACGTTGGGGCCCGGAGTTTGTGGAGCCATGGAGCGCTTCTCCTCCGGCGACTGGTGTCGACTTAGTGGTTGCTGTTCTGGACGGCCTGCTTGGCGATCCGGTTTGCCATTAACTTGAGGTCCAGAGTGTGGAAGCGGCCGCGCCAGGACATAATTAGGGTGGGTAGGAACTCGGTCTCTAAGAGACTGCGCCCATGGCGGGACTGTCCGATAGACTTTTCTTTTTTTCTGAGCCTTTATCGGCATGTGTGGACGTGGCACAGGACCACCGGCATCGGCATGACCCGCTCGACCATGGGAGTCTTCGAATGGGGCCGGCCGCGTATCCCGCCTCTCTAATTCTTCCGGTTGTAGTTCCCTGTCCTCCAGCTTCCGCTTCGCTGGTGTAGCAGCACGGTCTCGTTTGGCGTCGTGCTCAATCGATGCAGTCATCGCCGTGTGGTGGGCTTGGCTGTGGCGAGCCTCGAGTTCGGTAGCCGAAGTGCTGGGTCGGCCAGAGGTGCTTGGTAGGCTGGGCACGCGGGTCTTCGGACTGACGCTAACGCTGCGTTCTCTGTCACTCTGTGGCTGCTGACCCCTATGAGGTTCTTGACTCTGTGGGTCATAGACGCCCTGCGTGATGGAATGCCTAGGGAGCGCAGGCGGTGGAGGCGGCAGCGCCGGAGATGCCTGGGGCACAGGATGAAAGACGTTACCCGGCAGACGTTGCTGGTACGGGCTTGGTGGCTGCCCGTAGCCTACGACCTGTGCTGGGCGCGCTGACAGCGGGACAGCTGCCCCGGGGGTCGGCGGCTGGGACGATTGGCGCTGTTGCTGGTCTACTTGGGGTAGAGGACGCGGCGTCGCCACGGGGCTTCCCTGGGTGAAAGGAGCCCCGTACTGCGCGTGTTGGCTGTGTGCGGATGTCGGTGTGGGCGTCGACTGCGCGGACTGGGACCTGTGTAGGTAGGGTTGTGTGGCCCCCGGGGTCGCAATGGGGGGAGTTTGAGGTATGCGCGGTCCCTGCATATACGGAGCAGTGGCCGGGGGTCCTGTCATAACCGCAGGGCCCGGGGGCTGTGGATAGCTGTCTCGATGATAGGCGGGTGCCGGCGGGAACTGGTGTCGTTGCACAGGGCTCGTCGGGGTTTGCTGCGTAGGGAAAGGGTAGCCGCCCGCAGAGCTAATTGACGGAGTCGGAGTCTGTCGAAATGGGGAGGGCACGGGGCCAGCGCCAACACTGGGCGATCGCAGGTCGTTGGGAGGGAACTGCTGGAGTGGTGGAGGCTGGTTAGGGTAGGGACCCGGGGCAGCTGCTGGAAACGGAGGGGGAGATGCGAACACGGCGGGCACGTGTTGCGATTCGTACTCCTGTGAGATGTGACGGCTGGGAGAGGGTTGGGTTTGGGCGAAATCGCGAAACGACTGTTGTGGGTTTGTTTGCACTGGAGTCGATGGGAGTGCGGCTTGCGAATGTGCTTGCTGCTGCTGTGCTAGTGGTTGCCCCGGCGGTTGCGGCAGCTTGGTCCGCGGCGCGGTTGGGCCGCTGTCGTTTAACATGCCCCGGAGATCCATGTTGAACCTGCTTGCTCTCGCCGACCTAGCTTGTCTGATGTGCTTTGCTTGCCGTCTTACTTTCCCCACGCGACCGCGCTTTCACACGCACACTGGCTTCGTAGTGATTCGCCTGTTGCAAATCATCGGATCCCATTCACATGGCCCGGTCTGGAAACGCGTGTGAGTGCGGGACTCGTGGTCGCAAATCGCGTGGATTGGTCTTTGTATTTGTGAAATTTCTCGTCGGTGCGGCAAACAGCGTCACATCATCGTGTCGAGTGTTCGGTCGGCAGGAAGCAGCAGCAACGAGCAAATCGAGTCGCCACAGACCTCTCCCATACCACTCCGCGCCTAGCCGACAGCAAGCAAACAAAAGAAAGAGAGGATGAAAAGACAAAGCAAGCTCAAAGCATAGAATAGACCTCGATGCAGCTACTGCACACGCGACAGCACTGTCATAGCTTGTCGCAAACGGGGTGATGGGCGGAGCTAAAAAGACTGATGTGTGCGCAACGCAACTTCCCAATGTGCAGCGGATTCTGCTTGGGGCTCCGCGTACTGCATGTGAGGGCTTGGCTGCTTCCTCTGGGATCACTGCCTAACAATGGGTGTGCTTTCCCCTTCCAGAGAGACGTCTGTCGCAGGGCCTGTAATTTCCTACGACCATTCCTATCTCTTCATAGGAACAGATTATATCTAGGCGATATCATGGATGCCTCAGTCATGAGCCTGCGCATCTCGCAATCATGTCGTTCAGTTATCAGTGTTACGGAGTACAGGAGGCTGAAGAGCTTCCCAGCTTTTTTAGGAGGCCTGAGTGCCTGTGCTACCTGACCAGGGTAAAATTCCCGGCTGAGCTCAGTGTGAGCTGGAGCTTCTTGCCAATTGACCTTGCTGTGAGAAAAAGACACAGGTATCAAGTTTGACTAACCCATTAGGGCAATATTTATGAAGCAATGGGGTTCGGCAATTGTACCTTCGTATGTTTCTACGGTTTGTGAGACGCCGGCAGTCGAAGAGCTTGAGGAATACCTCCTGGTGAAAACGAGACTTGATGATATTTGCAGCGAATTGACTCAAGTCTAATCTCATCAATTAGAAATCACTTGTGGGCTCTGGAAATGCCCATGATCAATGTTGTGAATAAGCTGAGATATCTGTATCTGGACAGTACACACCTATGCACAGACCACCTATCACACGAAGGCCGGAAAAACTAGTGCCCGATAAGATCCCTGATTGGTTGGTGGCTCCAAACAGCGCAAGGCAGGAGCTTCCTGACGTGGACGAGCGTTGAGGCGACAGGCTTGTGCTCCTCAGCTTCGCTTTGCCATTTGCTCTTTCGCATACAACCCAGTTCACACCAGCCCAACGCGCCGCGCCTAACCCAATAACCCGTTTCCCTTCAAACTCGTGGTTGGGTTCGGAAGCAGCAGAATTCACGAGCTTCTACTCCATCTATCAAACGTAACCGCCGACTTTCCAGTAATAATATACCGTCAAGATGCCAGGCCTCGTCACAGCGACCGGCGTGTTAGCTTTCCTGGCCGACGAGGAACCGGAGCTCAAGGTCTTCGCCCTCAAAACGCTCAACGACGACATTGACACCGTATGGACGGAGGTGGCGGGTGCATTGAGCCAGATGTATGTCTCCCAGCCTGCACCTGTCAGGCGATGCCGAACTGACCTGCTGCTCGTTAAGTGAGGCCCTGTACGAGGACGAGAGCTTTCCTGAGCGCCAGCTCGCTGCCCTTGTTCTCGCCAAGGTCTATTTCCACTTGCAGGCCTACAACGAGAGCATGACTTTTGCGCTCGCAGCAGGACCCCTGTTCAAGTTCGATGCGCCCGGCGAGTTCGAAGAAACCATCATTTCCAAGTGCATTGACCAGTACATCGCCGTGTCCTCAGCGCGCCACGCTCCGTCGAAGCAGTCCAAGAACGATATCTCGTTGCCAGCTCTTTCCACAACCTTCGGCAGCGGCTCACTTGATGGATCGGCTTTGATCTCGCCCACCACCCCGTTCTCTCAGTCCACCCTTCCGTCCAAGTCTCTGTTGTCTCGCGACTCGACCGACAATACAATTTTGGACCCCACGTTTCAACCGACCAAGGAAGGCCGCTCTGCCTCGGTTGCTCAAATCACCGATAACAGCACTCGTGCTGCCTTGGAGTCGGTGATTGAGCGGCTATTCGAGAGCTGTCTCGAGGAGGGCAAGTATCGACAGGTGGTTGGCATTGCCGTCGAAGCAAAGAATCTTGATGTGCTTCGAAGGGTCATCAAGCGTGCTAGCGATGATGGGAAGCGAGCCAAGGCCAAGGCACAGGATGGCAGCCAGGGGCCGGCCGAGGAACTGATGGACTATGCGCTTAGCATATGCATGGACATCGTGCAGGAACGTGGTTTGCGGACGGAGATCCTGCGCCTGATCCTCGACCTCCTCAACGACATCCCGCATCCAGATTACTTTGCGATTGCCAAGTGCGCTGTGTATCTTGACTCTGACGAGGAGGCATCAGCCTTGCTTCGGCAGCTTGTCGCCAAGGGCGACCACAACGCAATCGCTACCGCATACCAGATTGCTTTCGACCTGTACGACAACGGCACTCAGGAGTTCCTGGGCAAGGTGATCAAATCCCTGCCCTCTGGCGAACTCCCGAAAAAGCCCGAAGGCGAGGAAGGGGGTGAGAACACTGCGGAAAGCGAGCCACTTCTCGAGAATCAAGAGAGTTCCGAGGAAGCACTCCCAGAGGAGGTGGCTAAGGTGTACCGGAATATCCGATCCATTCTCGACGGAACCACGACGATCAAGTTGAACCTCGAGTTCCTCTACCGGAATAATCATATGGACATGAGCATTCTCAACAAGGTGCGGGACAGCCTTGAGGGTCGCAGCTCGATCTTCCATACCGCCGTCACATTCTGCAACGCCTTTATGAACGCAGGGACCACGCATGACAAGTTTTTCAGGGATAATCTGGACTGGCTCGGCAAGGCCGTGAACTGGTCAAAGTTCACGGCTACTGCAGCACTAGGTGTCATTCACCGTGGCAACCTGTCACAGTCGCGCAAGCTTCTTGAACCCTATCTCCCGAGGCAAGGCGGAGTCACCAGTGGCTCCATCTTCAGCCAGGGCGGTGCGCTGTACGCCTATGGGCTTATCCACGCGAATCACGGTGCGGATGCCTTGGATTATCTTCGGACCATGTTTAATTCCGCAGATGAAGAGGTCATCCAGCACGGTGGCGCGCTTGGACTCGGTATTGCCGGAATGGCCACAGGCAACGAGCAGATTTTTGACGAGCTCACCAAGGTCTTATTTGCAGATTCGGCCCTTAATGGCGAGGCCGTCGGGCTGGCCATGGGCTTGATTATGCTGGGCACTGGAAATGCCAAGGCTCTCGAGACCATGTTCACGTACGCCCACGAGACCACTCACGAGAAGATTGTTCGCGGCTGTGCCATCGGCATGGCGCTCATCATGTTTGGGCGGCAGGAAGGTGCTGATCCCATGATCGAGGGCCTTCTAAGCGATCCTGATCCGACATTGCGCTACGGGGGTATCCTCACCGTTGCCATGGCCTACTGTGGAACTGGAAGCAACAAGGCCATCCGTAAGCTTCTCCACCTCGCTGTGAGTGACGTAAATGACGACGTCCGACGCATCGCCGTCATGAGCCTTGGCTTCATCCTCTTTAGGAAGCCTGGTAGCGTACCTCGGATGGTCGAGCTGCTTGCTGAGTCCTACAACCCGCATGTGCGATACGGCTCGGCCATGGCGTTGGGTATCTCGTGCGCTGGCACTGGGCTGGACGAAGCCATCGATTTGCTCGAGCCCATGATGAAGGATCCCACCGATTTCGTCCGGCAGGGCGCATTGATTGCCTTGGCAATGATCATGATCCAGCAGAACGAGGTCATGAACCCCAAGGTTGGCGCCATCCGGAAGACGCTCAAGAAGGTGGTTGGTGACCGCCACGAGGATGCCATGACCAAGTTCGGTGCGGCGCTCGCGCTCGGCATCCTGGATGCCGGCGGTCGCAACTGCTCAATCGGACTTCAGACTCAGACGGGTAATCTCAACATGGCTGGCATCGTCGGCATGGCCGTCTTCACCCAGTACTGGTACTGGTTCCCTTTCACGCATTTCTTGTCCCTCAGCTTCGCCCCCACTTCCATCATCGGCCTTGATCATGACCTCGAGATGCCGAGCTTCAAATTCCACTGTGCCACCCGCCCCAGCCTGTTTGACTATCCGCCTGAGCAGGAAGTCAAGACCGAGGAGGGACCGACCTTTGTTACAACTGCAATTCTCTCCACGACGGCCCAGGCCAGACGCCGTGCTCAAAAGAAGGAGCGCGCTCAACGCCGGGAGAGCATGGACATTGATACGCCTACCGTCGCCAAGACCACAGCTCAGCCAACGAGCGAAAAGATGGATGTGGATGAGGATAAGAAGGATGCCAAGACGGAAGAGTCCAAGAAGGAGGGTGAGACGGCCGACAAGGAGGGCTCGGCAAGCCCCGATAGCAAGAAGAAGGGCGAGAAGGAGAAGGTGGGCTATGAGATTGAGAACATGTCGCGTGTTCTCCCAGGCCAGCTCAAATACATCAGCTTCCCGGCTGGACGCTACAAGCCGGTTAAGAAGGTATGTCTTTACGTCGCGATTTTGCTGTGGGTTGCTTTGCTGACCATTCCGCAGCCAACTGGAGGCCCACTTCTCCTTCATGACACACAGCCTGAAGAGCCCAAGACGCTGATCGAGGAGAAGCTGAAGAAGGTGACGACGGAGCGCGCACCGGTGGCGGGAGCCGGAACGGGTAGCGGGGCCACGCCACGCAACGCCGCACAGTCACTGCTGTCGAACTGGTCGTCTAGAGGATTGACTGGGGGTAACAACATCCGGGATCTTAACGACCTATTCCCCTTGACAGCACGCGCCTCCCGACAAGCTGAGGGCGGTAGTGAAGCTGCGGCGGGTAGTGGCAGTGGCGCTGCAGCAGCGGCTGGTGTCCTCACGGCTATCGATGAGGATGGCGAGGGCGACCAGGAAGCTCCTGCCCCGGAGGATTTTGAGTACTTTACAGATGCTGGAGAGGAGGAGTGAACAGGAACTTCCCGGGCAGTGCCTAGATTTGCTGGATTGTATAATACTACTGTAACCTGTAATACAAGGTATCAGGGAATAGATGGCGAGCTCCTTGTAAAGACTCATTGATTTCCATGTGCTTTAGCTGTACCCGATAGTGTGGACTATGATGCATACATTGGGTGTAGGACTGTGGTGCACTGCTTTTAGAGATGAACGTGATATTCAGCCTCTCAGGGACTCTGGCATATTGAGCTTGATTCGCACCTTTGCGTTGTCTCAGTTGTCTAAGTCATGCGCAGAAGGGCAAGAAGCACAAATCTGGTTTGCAATCACTGCAGTTAGTGGATGACAAAGACCCCTGGAATGCATGATGCAAGGGCGTCATCGACGTCATCGGCCAGGCGAGTTAACGTCTTGCGCAATCAAGCCGAGCTTCAGCGGCTGCAAGACCGCACTCAACGATTACCATTCCCGAAATATTTATTACTTCCATCATTCTATCATTCTATTAACTTCAGTGCGGTCGAGACACCTACAGTACCTAGTTAGACATTGGCGATGCCAAAACCACCAATCTCGCTACTGACATATTCTCCTTCCCGTTTGCAACTGGAAGTCGTTTCACCCACACAATCACAGGCCAAATAGAATTTCTGCCCCCGATACTCGGCTGTACCTGAAGCAGAGACGCGTACTTTGATCATGGCGGAGAAATATCTCATCCGCGTGACAGCCGGGCCGTCCTACGACATAAACTCCCACGTCCAGGTGCCCGTCAACGACCCAACCCCGGTGCATGTGGCGAGCGACCTGTTTGAGGCGGACCTCAACGTGCGGGTGCACAACTACCGGGGCCTACCGCGCGATGCGCCCAAGACGTCTCCCTACTTTCAGACGGAGCTGCATCGGCACAACGGCGACCAGTACAGCATTGCACTGCGGTTTCGGTTGAAACGCCCCCCGCGTTCGCACGAAGAGGCTGGTTCTGCCTCGCGGTCAGTGTCAGGGGACAATGGTGTCGGGATCGGGGGTGCAAGTGGGAGTGAGAGTGAAGGTGGGGATAGGAATGGAAATGGAGAGGGCAAGAGTTTGCAGGACGGCGTCCCGGCTACGGATCTTCAGTTCGGCAACGACTTTGACCACCCCATACGCGACCGCCTCCCACCCGGCTTCAATACAGCGCTGAATATCGTCAAGTGGTGGATCGATCCCGGTCTGGATGGAGACGCCTACGCTGACGTGCCACATCTGTACGGCCCCGCCCTCAGTTCGTTTAATACGGTCCATGTCGGGGAAGGCGAGCACGACCCGGAAAAGGGGGGTTTGTGGTTTGAGGAGGGCGGTGATGATGATGGGATGAAGTGGAGGAGCGAGGTTGGAGCGCCAGATGATGCCAAAGCCAGGATGAAATGGGCGCTGAAGCAGGATAGTAAGGAGAGATGGATCTGGGAATACAACAGGACGTACGGGGTGGACTTTTTTAATCCATACATCGACTTTGACGCTTTTGCGCTGAAACTGCCTGGCTTTAATCTCCCAATCATCAAGTACTGGGATGGGCAAGGGTTAAGGTATGTGCTTTTCAGGCTTTTCTTTTCTCTCTTCCGCACTTCCGTTCAAACCTGGATAATTTGCTTCGGTTCTGCTGTTATGCAACACCCGAGAGCATGGCGAAAGGAAAACATCTTACACGGCCTAGGCACCGCCATAAACGCTTACACCAGCTCAGATATGTCCTCCGCAACCGCGTCACTGGGCAAGTCTACCTTGTCGTGCTATTCACGCTGCACCTAGCCGAAGACATCAACCAAGACGGCACGCTCAAGCCTGCGGCATTGCAAGCGCTCGCTCACACGTCTGGAGGACTCGGGAAGGGTAAGCCGATACTTGAGGGGGGACCAGAAAGAGATGAGGATGGAGCGTCCGAGGACGACGCAATAGACGAGGCGAGGCAAAAGTTGTCGGATGTCGATCTGCAAGGGAAGACGCCGACCAACGATGATGATGTCGACTGAGAGGGAACTTAGGAAGAAGGCGCCTGAATACATGAAGTGAGTGGCCAGGAAGGGTCAGGCAGCATTCACACAAAGATACATGACCACTCAAATTCGACGATTGAGCAATGAGCAATCACTGCTCCGGATCTAATGTGATTGCATCTGAAGTGACAGATCAGGTAGGTGTTGTTGTTGCTTCCTCCCTCGTTCTACAGCTTGAGGTTGTGGGCGCTCCTTCCGGCTCCAGAAGACTTGACATTAACCCTTGGTGAGGCAACTGCAGCTCAGCTCTCTTTCAGCCCAACTTACCCTCCGGATTTAACCCTTCATCATTACACTCAGGCATGACGCATGGTTGATAAAGCAAGTCACGGCGTCCAAGGAAAGATACGACTGTTATATTCGCTTCGCCATATTTACAGGATACAGTCGGCGCCAACCAACCCAACAACTTTCCAATTCAGAGATCGGATCGAGTTTTCCGCTGACCTAAGAACACAAACTTTGGGACCCGCGTTCCCAATCACACACCAACACTTTCTTGCCTTCTAGCTTGACGGCTTGCAAGTTACGACAGCGTCGGGGCGCTGGCGGCCCACGGCGCCCACGTGTCGACAGCGACGTTGGCGGTGCTGCGCTCGACAGCACCCGGCGCAGTACCGCTGTTGAGCAAGAAATAGTTGATGTATTGGGTGAGCTCCGAGTTCTGCCCACTGGGGAACTGGCAGTGGTTGTGGCCGCCGATGAGTGAGAAGCCCATGTTGTTGGGCACGCCGTAGCTCTTGTAGATGGCGCGGCCGGCCTTCATGCACCCAGTCGTCGACACCGGGCCGAGCCAGTCAATGTTGTTCTCAAATACAGCCAGGCCACGAGGCACGATCATGGCTGCAAGGAAGTGGTGATCTTGCGGGATGGTGCTGATGGACCGGACATAGGGATCAAAGTTGCGCGAGAACCACGGGTTCTCACCAATGATCTGCTGCGCCGTCTGGATGTTGGCGCCCGACGACTTTTGCTGGTCGCTGATGCGCCAGCACGCGGCACCGCCCGCGCCCGACTCCTGCGGAATGGTGAGAGCGATACGGTTGACAAAGGCGCCCGTGACGAAAGCGCCCTTGCCGTTGCGCGAGCAACCCGTCACACCGAGACGCTTGGTGTCGATACCCGAAGCCGCGGCGCCGACCTGCTCGAGGCCGTCGATCAGCCGGTCAACACCCCACGCCCACGCCGTCAGCGAGCCAGCCGAGTGGCTGCTGCCAAAAAGGTCGTAGAACAAGCCGCGTCCGCGGGAGCCACTGCCCGACTGCGCCCCAAACGCGTCGTTGCCGAACGTGATGGTGGCCACGTTGCTGGGGATCGGGATAGACGCTCCACCAATACCGATGATGGCGGGGAACGGCCCGGCACCGGACGGTTTCCGAATCGATGACGTGAACGAGATGGTCTTGCTGCCCACCGTCACGCGCACTGTGATACCGGTGCCGCTCATGGACGCCTCGACCTTGTCCGGAGGCGGGGGGTACGTGCCGAGCTCATACTGCTGCATGATCTTGCTGATCTCGGCCTTCCGGCACTCGAAGTCGGCCTTGGTCGTGATCTTGGTGCCGCTCGCCGTCGTGAACGGATCCGGGAGCTTGGCCACGTTGACGGTCGGGTACGAGTTTTGCGTCGAGCAAGTCTGGCGCTCAAAGATCTCGCTGGCGGGCGCCGCAACGGCGAAGGCCGCGCCGGCCACCAGGAGAGCCGAAGCCAAATGGACCATATTTGCTATGTGTGCGATGACTAGGGATATACTTTGAGCGCGTAGAGCTTGAACACAACGAGCTAGTCTTTACCCCGGGAGATTTCCGCCGCGGCCATCTTTTATAGCTAACGCCGTCGTTCCGGCCGTGCGGGAGTGGGGAGGTGTAGGGTCCTATCCTGGCTGACGTACGTAATATCCATCGGACGTTTGTCTCTTTGCCGGTCGAAATTACTTATTAACCGTGGTTCGGCCTCAGATTGGACTGTCGACATGAAGAAGCTGGAAGCGCCCTGGGCCCGCCCAGTCGCCAGGGCGGAACGAAAAGCGGCGGCGAAGGGAGCCTTACAGCCTCTGGGTTATTGTGGGCGGAGTGGAACGTTCCCCGCATGGTTCGCCTCCGCGCTCCGTCCTGCAACCGGGAATGGAACCCGCATGGTAGTCCGGGGGACATGGCGTGGCATACATGATGCAAGAACTTGGCTGTGCCGCCAGAGCCGTCCATGTGGCGGCAGAAAGGGCTAGGGTGGGAAACGCTACCTTGGCACTTTGGTTGTTGGGCAAGGACCTGATGGTTAGTTACAAGCCTGTGCAAGTCGAGGACGAGGTTGGGGGCGGATTCGGGGGTAATATGGCTATTTAGGTACCGGCGCATAGCTGGTCACACGTGGATCGTAGTCCATCGGGTTCTTTTTCGACCTCCGATTGGAAGGGGCTGGTCCGAAATGCCGAATGCGGCTACGGAAAAGTTATTGTATAAGTCGAGATGGCCATGTAGGGCGATGAGGTTCAATATCCAGCACTGGATTCCACCCCCATAGGTGGAAAAATTCCCCGATCCATGGAAGGCACCATTCGATACTCGTACATTGGTTTGACCCCGGTATATGGGGGTAAATGAGGGTAAAAGAGGCATCAGGAAAAGGAAAAGGGGGTAAACAAATGGAAGGAATGGAATAAGACAACAGGAGAACGACAAACGAGAAAAGGAGGAACGAGACACGACAGTAGGCCCCTCAGGGGCTTGTAGCAATTACAGCTTCCGTAGCGACTGTACTAATGCTGGATCAGAACTTATAGAGCAGTGAGTCCCAGCGGACATTTGGTATGTCTGGGGATTACGGGTCCTGCAGGGCCATCATTGTTGCTCAGCACCTCCCGATGCGCTATGCTACTGTATTACCCTTCCTGTCTTACTAGAGCGACTGCGCTAAGCATAGGTTAATCAAGTACCCTTTAAGCGTGGAATTCAGTTCTCCTTTCCCCCGGTTGAGGCGCCCCTTTTTAGGTCATTGGGCGAAGATGTACATACTATCAGGAGTCAGATATAGCCGCCGGTAATAAAGTAGAGCCAACGCCCTAGCTCATTAGCAGCGCCTTTATAGTCCCGATTTGATTTGATTGATGTGCGGGGAATACCGCCCAGTTGCAGGTAAAAGAAGTTCGATGTGGCTTCTAGTTCATGTATCATGTATGCACCATTCGCCTACCTTGGGAGCCTTGTCTCAGGGGGTCAGTGGGGACTGCCGTATGAGAAAACTGAGTGCATGCAAAAGGCCGTTAGGCTACCTTACTCTCTTTCACGCACATGAACACCAGTTGTTCACATGAGATCGCATTAGGATACAGTATAATGCCTAGGCGGATGCTGTCATCGTTTCACATCACCGCCTACTCCGCCGAGATATACCATCTGTGAATCCCATCTAAGGAAGTGCTTCCTTATTAGCTTCTTTTGGGCACCGCAGCAATGCCCGTCACTGTCGTGGTAAAGATGCTGCGCTTGGCAGCCTTGGCGGGCTTGCTGTTTTCCGGGCCGGTGCTGGCCCACGGGGGGCTATCCAACTACACAGTAGGCGAGACGTGGTACCGAGGGTGAGTGAGTTGAGTAATGGACTGTCTTGCCATCCTACACAAGTGTTCACAATGGCTTCTCCCTCGTCGCCTCGATACCTTTGTATCTAACCCCTGAAAACTGAACCCCCTGAAGCATGAAAGACGCAGCTGGCTGACCCCAAGCCCCCTGCCCAGGTATGACCCCGACACGCCTGCCGAGAACCAGCTTGGGCAGCCATGGATGGTGCAGCGGCAGTGGGCCAGCATCGACCCCATCTTCAGCGTCGATGATAAGAGCATAGCCTGCAACAATCCGGGCACGGCGCCGCCCTCGTACATTCCCATCCGTGCGGGTGACAACATCACGGCCGTGTACTGGTACTGGCTGCACCCCGTGGGGCCCATGACGGCGTGGCTGGCGCGGTGCGAGACAGATTGTTCCGATGTCGATGTGAACGCTGTCGGCTGGTTTAAGATCTGGGAGGCCGGCCTGCTGTCCGGACCCAACCTGGCTGAGGGCATGTGGTACCAGAAACAGTTCCAGCGCTGGGACGGTAGCCCGGCCTTGTGGCCCGTCACGATCCCAGCGACGCTCCGGCCGGGCCTGTACATGATTCGCCACGAGATCCTGTCGATTCATATCGACAACAGGCCGCAGTTTTATCCGGAATGTGCTCATCTGAACATCACGGGCGACGGGGACGCGTTTCCGCCGGCGGAGTATCTGTTGAGGTTTCCCGGCGCGTACGATAAGGATGGTGAGGCTTCCAAGGTGGACCAGATCGTGATGATAGGTAGTTTGCGCTTGGCGAAAGGGGTACTGACGATGCGGCGTAGATCCCTCAATCAAGATTGATATATACTCGGAGGAAAACATGCACACGACAGTGGGTAAACTATGAAGACGAGACCTTGGAACGTCAGCTAACGAGCCGCAGAATTATACCATTCCAGGAGGCCCAATATGGGACGGGTAAGTCTGGTGACTTGATCTCCTCTCAGGCCCTGAATGAGCCAGGGCTAATAGCGAAACAGGTTCGGCGTTGTTGATAAGTACTGCCTAGGATGCTGAATCCCTAACTACTACCGGTAGTAGTAACGGTGACGTCTTGTAAAATACCTAATGTCCGTGATACGCACCTGCAATGATAGGTGATAAGAAATAGGCATCTGAAGTGAGCCCTGCATCACCACTAAACCCCCCCAACCATCAAAGTTGCTACCCCTGAAATCCCCAATGGACGCTTCAGAAACCCTCCAACTTGTAAAGCGTCTCCTCTCTCGACCGCTTGACTTCAGCCTCCACCTTTTCCTCCCCTACCATCCGCCTTCCCTTACCCTTCCCATCGGCTGTACCAGGAGCCCACATTCCGCCGCCAACCAGCCCCGCAAACTTGCCCCCTTTCCTCACAAGCTCCTCATACCCGCCGCTCTCCACAATCACCCCGTCCTCAACCATAACCACCCGGTCAGCAACCCTCATCATCTCCTTGCTATGCGTGACCACCACAACCGCCATATCCACATCCTCCTCCTCCGTGGGTATCATTCCCCCCTGACTACCTCCACCACTACGACGACGTTGCGCAGCAACCAGATCCCGCACAACCCTTCTGATTGCCTCGGCGGACTGTGCATCAAGAGCGCTGGTCGGTTCGTCAAGGATGAGCAGCCTGGGCCGCCTGACCAGCGCGCGGGCAATGCACAAGCGCTGCGCCTGGCCGCCCGAGACCTGCTGGCCGCCCTCCCCGAGGGGCGTGTCGTAGCCGCGAGGCAGGGAGACGATAAAGTCGTGGATCCCCGCCTGGCGCGCCGCGAGGTGCACGTTGGCCTCGTCGCGCAGCGGCGAATTCTCCGGCAGCCCGTACGTCAGGTTGGCAAAGACGCTCGCTGGGAAGAGGAAGGGCGTCTGTGGAACGTACCCCAACTGGGCGCGCAACGAGCGCGTCGACAAGGAGGAGGCGGGGTGCGAGGCGAATGTTAGCGCGCTGGATGGGGATGGGATTGTCTTCTTTTGGGATACGGGGGATTCTGGGATAGGGGAGGGGATGAAGGTTAGCGGGCGGCTATAAGACGGTGAAGTTCTGACTGGGGCGGGTGGCCGTGTAGTGGCGGTATTGCTCTCGTCGTCCCCTTGCGAAGGTTCGTACAGTCGCAGCAGGAGCGCGGTGATTGTGCTTTTGCCGCATCCAGAGGCACCCACGAGGGCGGTAAACGTCCCGGCGTCGATTCGGAGGTTGATGTTTCGCAGGATCAGCTTGTCCGGTGCGCTGGGGTAGGCAAACCGCAGGTTTGTCATGCGCACGGGGAACGGTGTCGATAAGCGCATGCCTCCTTGTGTCTCATGGCCGGCCACATGTGAGAGGTTCGCGTAATACAGCATCCTCTTCGCAGTCGTCTTGGCGGCAGCGATCTGCGGAACATGGGCGAGCAGCACGACCGCTGTGCCAAGAGTGAATAGCAGCAGGTTGTTGACCCTGATCACGTCGGTCACGGTAGTGAGGCCCTCGCTCAGGATCTTGGCGCTGTAGAAGAAGACAAGAGAGGTGAGGAAGTACGAAATGCAATTGTACAGGCCGAAGAAAGTGCCCACCCAGGCTGCGCGCTTCAGACCGAGACGGAATGTTGAGCGGGCTGATAGGGCGTGCTTGTCGGAGAAATACCGTTCGAGCGTCAAGGCGCGTACAACTTTGACGTTGGAATAAGCCTCGCTGAAGATGGCGCCTGTCGATGCCGCAGCTTCATCGCAGTTGGTCTCCCACTTATCGCTGATCATGGCATTGGCTCGCGCGGTTCCCAGCGCGAGGGGAACCCCTACGAGCGTCACCAGAGTGAGGTCCCATCTGATCACCAGCGCCCAGATGATGGCGCCAAGGATCATGGCGGAGACGCTAAGAAGAATGGGCAAAAATGTGCCGACAAGCTTGCGCATCTCTTCAGCGTTGCGGTCCAGGCACTGCGCGATGTTGCTTGCTGAGTGGCTTGCACTGTCGAACCAGGGCTTGGGCTGACTGAGAATGCGCTGGATTGCCTCTGCGCGAAGTCTGTTAACCCACTTCTGTGCCACCATTTCCATGAAAAAGTAGCTGAAGAAGGTGGAGGCTGCGGCAGCGACGGCAGTGACTGTCAGGAAGACGGACCACATGACACTCGCAGCCCCTCGGGCTTCGGGAAGCCAGAAAGCGCTGAGCAGGTTTGCGAAGAGGAAGGCAAAAATGGGCGTGCTAGATGCCAATACGAGGCAGAGGAGCAGGCCGAGGATAAACTCGCCCTTGCCCAAAAAATCCAACGTTGGCCAAACCGTCTTCAGTACCACCAGCATGGACAGAGGCTCGGGCCCCTTGGGCGACTTCGTCTTATCCTTGCGCTCAGCAAGGCGCTCAAGGAAGAACAGCTCCAGGGAATCTAAAGAAGCCTGGTGTTGTTGAGTCAGAATCTTCTCTCGAGTCTGTCTCGCATGCAGAGCTCTCCTGCTTTGTACCTCCAGGCCCGCCTTTGTAACGATATGCATGCCCGAAGGAGGATGCCCTTGTTTGGGGGCTTGACGGGGCCCGATGAACGTCTCTCGGGCATTCACAGGTTCCACCCTCCACTCGGTCCCCTGGAACAATCCCCATGAGAGTCGACTACCAGTTGAGAACCTGGGCAAAAAACCGCTAAATCTTCTCTCCTCGGTGGGTTCTTGCCATGGAATTCCACAGTCTGACTCTGACTCGCTGTTGCTAATGTCGGAATCCGCAAGAGAGCAGGTTTCATCGGCAGACGCGACGAGCGACGCGAAGAGCCCAGACTCGTCCTTGGAAAGTTCATGTCCGAACCCTCGCTGCACAATCGACCCGTCCGCGAGGACATAGACGTAGTCATCCTCCTCAATCTGGCCCACCTCGTGCGTAATGATGATGGTTGTTTTCCCCTTCCTCCAGATCCGAATGGCCTCCATGATCAAGGACCTGCTCACCGGGTCCAGCCCACTGGTGATCTCGTCCAGGATCAGGACCGGCGGATCGCGGAGTTTCGCCCTGGCAAGTGCCAGACGCTGCTTCTGACCACCGCTCAGGTTGCAGTCGCCTGACCCAACCTTGGTGAGGAGTCCGTCGGGCAAGCCGGCTATGGTGGACTGGAGGAGCGCCATGCTGCAGGCGTCCCGGACAGCCTGAGGGGAGACATTGTCTGGATCCGACGCGCCAAAGGCAACATTCTGGAAGAAGGTGTCGTGAAAGAAGACGCTGGATTGCTGCACCAGCGTGACGTTGCGGCGGAGCCATTCGAGGTCCAACGTCGGGATTGGGTTGCCGTCGAGGGTGATTTGTCCAGTAAGGGGCTCATAAAATCTCACAAGGAGGTTGCCGAGCGTACTCTTCCCGGACCCGCTCCTCCCGACTACAAAGGTGAGCTGTCCAGCGGCGAAGCGCAGAGTCGATGGCCTTAGGACCGTATTGGCGGGGTTCGAAGGGTAGGCAAAACTGATCTGTGGACTGTCAGTCGACGCTCCCCAACCCTCCCAGGGCGCGAGAACTTACATTGTTCATCAAAATATTTCCTGAGCAAGTTGACGGCTTGCGCCATCCGGTAGATTTGTCCGCCCGCAGGCTGCTTTCACCTGAGCCACTGCAGTCATCTCTCACCAGAGCTTGAAGCGACTGTCCGGCAGCCATGCCCTTGACCAGGACGAGCCACATTGGCCCGGTCGCCTCGAGTGACTGAAACGCAACCAATGCTGCGTAGAACGTCGTCAAGGCTGTCCCAGGCGTGAGCTCCCCGCTCGAGACCAGCACCACAGCATAGAAAAACCCGAGGACGAAGAGCATCATCATCCAGAGTTTGACGTAGCTCATCTGCGCGCAGTTGCAAAGCACCTGGCGAGAATAGTACTTTGCGGATCTCTTGACTGCCGCGACGAACCGGGACGCCTCTTGTCCCTCGGCATTATATACTTTGACGATGTCAATTGCTGTGACGGCCGCAGTCGCGCACTTCGCCGCCTCAGCCAGCTCCCGTCTCTGCGCATCGATGGCCGGGTCCAGAAACTGACCAATGACCCAGAGAAACAAGGCCGAAGGCACGCCCGTCGCGAGCATCACAAGCGTCAGCTTGAACGAGAAGAAAAATGCCACGGCAACGCAGGCGGCAAACACAAATAATTCGTAGACGAGGAACCCGAGGGTTTGGGACGACGCCGTCTGCAGTTCTCTCGTTTGTCTGCAAGCAACTGGTCAGTTAACCAACTACAACACCCCTTTCCAACAGAGAAACGGGGACGAGGAGTGAATAAAGGAATGGAGGAAGGAAAGAGGAAGATTAGGGAGGTCCTTACGTCAAAATCTTCGTAACAAATGCCCCTCCCCCTTCCTCTTTTGCCTCAAACCAGCCCAAGCTCTTCTTCATTAGAACCTCCCAGACCCTCTCGCGGACCTCTTTGGCTCTCAACTCGCCGCCCGCGACCCAGAGGGCGATCTCGAGCGTCGAGGCCACCCACATGCCCACGCCCAGCACTACCAGGTACACCGACCAGCGGCTAACCTGGGCAAGAAAGACATCGGGCGGCAGCTGGCCGGCCCCAAAGAGCGCGACCAGCTCAAACAGCTTGCCGAGAAACAGGACATAGCCCGTCCGTCCCGCCGCGCAGAGGGCGGAGCTGGCTATCGACAGGATGAGCAGGGGGACGTGCCGCGGAGGGGTGAAGGTGAAGAGGTGGAAAAAATGGGATTTGCCGGGCTTATCAGTTGTTGTTGTCTCCCGGTTCGGCGGGTCAGCGGTGATGCTTGTTGTCACTGTGCTGCCGGTCTGGGAGTGCGGAAGGTAGGACAGGGGGCTGGTTGCGGAGGCGGATTGGTCGAAGGGGGTGATGGGGTGCTCCCAGGACGGCTTTTCGGACCATGCCGGGTTGGAGGAGGAGTTCATGGTGACGGTCAATAGCTGAGACGGGCTGGAGTTGGGACAAAAGCGATCGCCAATCTCGGTGCGTTGGGATGAAATTAGTTGGAGGAACTGCTAAGGCTCGAGCTTCGAGGATATACCCGATCCATAACCAAGGCATCGTAGAAATAATAGGAAGATCGCGTGGTATATAACGGGTGCTGGTATTCTGTAGATCGTACAGGAAGAATAGGAAGTTTGGTGGGGGCAAGTCTTTGTGGCGCTTAGTATTGTTCCCCGGAATCGGCCAGGGGCAGGAGCGAGAACAATACTAAGCGCAACAATAACCACGACCGAGTGCTTCGAGGAGAAGCTGGGTGGGCATAAAACAGCTCACTGAGGAAAAACCTAAATGTTTTAACGTGATGTAACATTTCATGTGCTAGATTTAGAGGCCTCGGCTTTCTCTTGTTGTGCCTTTTCATAGACCCAGTCGTTCAGGCCAAGCCGGTTTCTTGCGGAGGAGTTAGCTTTAACTTTCGCCAGTCGTGAAAACGCGTCGACTTACCTGGCAATCTCTACAGCATAGAACTGCATCCTTGGGACTGTGCCTGGTGTCAGCGGCGTCCTCCAGTCACCTTATGCTCGTCGCGTCGACCCACCAAAAATGGTCTCCTCCCGGCCATACTCAAACTTTGGATTAGACCGCAGGAGAGTCCCAAAGTTGTAGTCATCAACCTTCTTTTCGTACGCCATCATGAAGTTGCGCCACCTCTCCTTGCCCGCTTTGCTCTTCATCTCGTCCTCATTGATGGTGGCGGCCGGATCGAAATCGGGAAAGTCGCGCTTGAGGTGGTCGTAAATCTCGTCGTCGAGCTTGGTCAGGCGCAGGGACGAGCCCTTGACCTTTTCGAGGATAGACCAGTACGTTTGCATGTGCTGCACTACTTTGACAGCGAACTGCTTCTCGATCTGCGGGGTTTGGGAGTCAGCGGTGTTCGAACAAGGGTTGGCTTGTCGAGGGATCGGGGAAGCGGTAGTCGCACATCTTCGAGGTTGTCTGCCTCATCGGCATTGAAGTTCTTGGGGACCGGTGCCGACATTGTGATGTTGTCTGATGCTCTTCGTCTTCAGGGGGTTGCGATACGTATGGAAGCAGAGCTTCGGGTACGAAGATTTGGAGGGGTCAGGTTCGATCCACCCTTGATCGTTGATAACGATAGCAGACAAAGTTATCGATAAGAATATAATTTTTTGGACAGAACTGAGGACGGGTACGGAGGTACGGATACATGCAATGGAATTCTAGGTTACATACGGATAATCTTCCTCAATTGGACTGCAAGACAACCACCAAGAATTCCATCACTAATGGGCAATTCGGCCTCCAAATGCTTCATCGTGTATTTCCAACAATAAGCCGGGGAGAGGGTGGGGGCGTTGAAGCCAGCAATAACCCTAGCCCTTTGAATAAGAAAGTGCTAGCACATGGCGCGTTTCAGTTCTCAACTTTAATCTCAAACGCGTCAAGCGTGTGCTGCTAGAAACCTGCCTCCTTACCTACCTACCTATTTACCTACTGAATTACCTACCTTACTTCTTTTTCCTTCTCTCCTGACCTCAATCCTCCGTCAAATCCAGACCAGACGCCCAATCAACACTGCTTACCTAGGTACCCCACGTATCTCGAACACTCGTCCAATTCACAATGCCGCCCAAACGTGCCTCAGGCGGCCCTCGACGTGCCCCAGGCGGGCCTCGCGACATGAGTAGCGCCGACATGCGGGAGTACCTCGAAGTCCAGCCAAGATGGAGGAAAGATTCCTCAAAATGATTCCCAAGGAATGCGAAATTTGCAAGCGCAAGGACAAGCTGCTGCGCTGCGGAGGATGTAGCACCTACTACTACTGCAGTCGCGAGCACCAGGTAGCAGACCGGCGTACCCACAAGGGAACTTGCAAGCAGATCAAGGACGCCAAGGAATCGATGGACGCGGGAGAGGCAAGGTCGCTCGCCCAAATTCCAAATTACATGGAGACGTTCCCCGGCAACCTCTGGCAACCGATTTTCGGCCGACTGTATTTGTACACCGTCTACCACTACGGCGAGACGCTTCTCCGCTCCTGGCAACAGCAAGGTATCGAGGACGGATTGGACGTCTTCCTCAGACTGCTGCAGTTGAACCACGCCGATCATCAAAGCGTGAGCGACCTGGTTGCGCCCCTGTACATCCGGCTTGGCCGCGATCAGGAAGCCTACGACTTCCTCAAGTACTGGGGCCTCCACTTCAGAGGTTTGCTTCAGCCGGAACAGCCCTTCCTGGGCGTCAAAAACGCCGATCCATACGAGGGGGTCGAGCTCTGGGCGAACTCGGAATCCATGCCGCTCGCGCGGGCCGCGATCGTCATGTTGATCAAAATCCGCCTGATGACCGGCCTTCAATCCGTGAAGCGCATGAAAGAATGAAAGGCGAGCAAGGGCGAGAACGTGGCTGCCATGTCGGGCCGCGAGGTGCTCGACTGGCTTCGCGACGACTTGCGCCCCTTCTGCGGGGACATCTTTGAGCGCGATCCCGAGGTTCTCGGCAACGATGCTCTCCTGGACGAGAAGCATTCCATGGTGGCCGAGCAGATTGGGACGCTCTTCAAGGCCATCGGGGATTACAATCCTCTCTACTGGGCCAGCATGCTAGGCCCGGAAGAAGAGGATTTCGCATCCCAGAAGACAGGCATTCACCCGCCCGGATCCCCAGAAGAGGCGAAATTGGCCTTTGTGCGGACCTGCTTGGCGTGGTCCGAGACTGATGGGGCAATTCAGGGCCTGCGGAACGTCTTGAGCAACAGCCTTGGGGACTAATGGGATTGTTCTGCTCATGAACTCTTAGGATTGTTATGCTCTAATTATCTGTGTGTGTTGAATTAAGTTTAGTGGATGGTGTGCAACGATGTATGTACACAGTAGTGTTGGGATAGATTCCGGGGTTAGGGCTATGGAAGTATGGATGGCACGCTGAAAACTTCTGGGTTAGGGCCGGAGCTTACTTATCGATAGGACCTTAATCTTAACAGGAGAGTGAAGCGAGCTGAAAGCCTCGAATCGCTCGTCCTTCGACTTAATGGAACCTCACAACGTCGTGTCGTCGTCGTTGCAGTTGGGATGACGACTCTTGTCGCGTTCGTGGCAGAGAAACCTTTTAATGTCTCTCGTCACGGTCATTCTCCAGACATGGTTTTGCGCGCTTCTTACATAATGCACCGTGGACCTGCGCGAGCTTTTCTATTGTTGTTGGCGTGAGCCGCGTGCCCAGCATGGAGAACCTCTTTGTTTACTTGCTCAGGGGTTTGACACCACATGCTATAACAGCTGTTGATGTCTGAGGACTTGATTCTTAAGTCTTTATGCTTGTATGTTCACGGTATGACAACTGGAAGCATCCCCTCCCCAGGTGCTCCTCACGATGACCGTAAGCCTCCTTCACTCACCCATCCCACGATCAAAGAGTAGTCTAGCTGATAAAATATTTCTCCAAGCCTTCTTTGCCTTCTTATATGCCACAGATGCTGTCAACAAACATCTATGTGTCCTCCTTGTTGGAAACCATGTCTTGCTTCGCGAGTGTCTGGCCATTGTTACATGCCGTCCTAGGCAGTGCCTCACCAAGTTTGCGCGTCACAGGCGGCATTCACATACGGACACATATGACCAAGTGTGGAACAGCTGTTAAAAGCACGCCTGGTGACTCGCAGAAGTGATGCAGCAATAAAGACACATGGAAGTAGCCAGTCTGCCCTTGATGTGCGTCCACCGTTTCCCTGCTGATCACTTTGCATCTGTTATGCTCCAGGACTAGGTATCTATACGGTAATACTGGACTTGCCATGGATAATATTCCACCTCGTCGAAGTGATGGTCGGCAGCGCCGGCAAGAGGCACCGGGTCCGGCTCCTGCCTCAACCACACCGGCGCCCGCAGCTCCAACACCCCCCGACCTGCCGCCGACTGCACAAAATTCCACAAAGCCGTCCAAAAACAAAAGAGTTTCTTTCGATTCCACCTTGGACCCTCACTCACTGCAGCCCTTGATAGCATTTCCGCCAATGATGGGGGGTGTTATTCCTTTCGCTGGGCTCAGCAGCCCCTCAAAGTCTAGGAAAGAAAAGGAAACCCGCGCGCCTTCGAGTTCGAGTCGACGTCCATCTCAAGGCTCGCAGGCCTCTGCTTCAACGATTCCCCGGAGCAGTTCTTCGGACGCCCCTAGCACTGCATCAAGCGTACAGCCTCCCTGGGACCGCACTGTCGAGATAATCTGGGTCAGGGAGACATCTAGTGGGCGTGGGGAGGACGAGCAACGAATTGAGTTGGCGTTCCAGGAGAACTGCAAGCGCCTGCGACGCAAATTCGCTCTCAATCAATGCCAGCCTGAAGAGACGACCGAAAACAGCGCCAAGAATGGAGAAGCAACGGACCGTCAACTTGCTCCAGGCGAGCAGCTCCAAGACAGTCGACACAAACCGCATTATGATGCCCGCGCAAGGAACCGAAACAGTCGATACTTTCAGCTTCCCGATTCAATCCGTTTCAAGATCGTGAGAACCGTCCTGCAAATCCGCGAGCATGATGGCAAAGCTATCCGGATGAACAGCCCAGTGTACCTCCGAGCCGTCTGGCCTGTCAACAGCAAGAAGGAAGACAGGCGCTGGTCGACAGACTACTTTGATAGCCTGGAAGCTGTCCTGATTTCACTCGCCAGTTACACATCTGTGTGCTTCGACATGCGAGTCGATGTGCTAGCAACACTGTTTCTTACCCGACGGTTCCATGTAGTCTTCTCGCCGCTTATGACAGCGCGGATACAGCCCACTGCGGTGCTGTGGATGAATCATTTCGGCCCGCTAATGGCGTCGATTACACTCGAAGTAGACTTTTCCAAGCAGGGTGGTAACTGGGCCCCGGGTGCAGCAAAGATTAACTCCCTTCCTGGCATGGAGGACATGGCACAACTAGTTGACGACTTTGTATGCGCCCAGCTAACGAGGATGAGAAAGACCACAATCCAAGACCTGCGCATCTTGGTGAGAAGATACCACGGCTATCGGCCGACAACCGCCAAGAGCACAGCAAGCGATGTCAACAAGCCGGAACCAGAAGCAGACCCTTCGAGCCGGTACGCTTCCAGTGTCCCCACATCCCTCCTGCAGCCAGTTCAAACTGACCTTTTATTTCTAACCAGAGCTCCAGTCCTTCCCGCCTCTACTCCCATCCGCTACACTCAACCCGCACACATACGCCTTGTCCTAGAACCGCTCAAACGGCTCCGGTCGCTGGTCGACAAGATAACCATCACGGGCGCCCCACAGGACCTCGCCACGGAGCTCATCCTTGTCCTGGCGGGCAAAGACCACCCTCTCTACACACCTGAGGACAAGCAGCGAGAGATGGACACCCACTGCACCCACCGCCGCCCGGCGCGCGAATACCCGTTCACGCCCGGACCAGGGCAGCGCTCCATGCTTGACTACGGCCTGCACAGTGACGATAAGTCCGGTAAAGGCAGAGCTGGGTTGCGTGGGCTGGCGATACACAACCACCCGGCGGAGGAAGACTGGGAGGGGCTGTATGGCTGTCGGGTTGTTGCGGGTTCTTCTCTCTCACCGTCTGTGTCCGCGTGCGCGTCTACGTCTGCTCGGGATTTTGCCGGTATAGGGACTCCCCTACCTACTCCTACTACGGAGCGACGGCGCGTGGTCACGGGTTTGGTATCTCCGCTCCCAGTTGGTGGAAACGGCGCGGGCGGCGATGGCTACGATTGGAATGATAAGGACAAGGCGCTCGCGGACAGGCTGCGCAAGATGTCGAAGAAGTGGGTTTCCAAGGCATCAATGCTGAGGAAGAGGAGCGATAGTGGGGGCAGTTCAGGCTCTGGGGGAGCAGATGGTACTACTCAGGAGGGTAAAGAATCGGTGTGAATGAGGTTCAGGGTGCCGGGGGAAGACTGGGGCTCACGAAGGGGCGGGAGGGATGGTGAGAGGTACTAGTAAGTTGCGAACAGAGATGGGGTTCGCGCGTGGATGATGAGTGCGGGTTAGCTGACGTTAATGTAAACATAGTGATAGTCAGGACCGTCAGGTACGGTCCCTGTTCCCTTATAGGGCGTTGAGGGACACCGATGGGTTCTGATTCAGGAGGTTGTGATGGCCATCCTCTTTTCGAAAAGAGACTACTAGGTAAGGGTCAAGCTTTGCCAACCACACTCCCATACTTTTCGACACCTAGTTTCACCCGGTTGACCCTCGCAGCCTCATCCAGTCGAAGAAGCAGCCGGCTGGAAAGCCCACCTCAGCAGTGTGCTGGTGGCGTGCTAAGGGTCCAGCGACGATAATTACCCAGCATCTAACCGGTCTGTTTATTAAGTAGGCCCTGCGGGAGCTGCTTAACCGTCTACCCGGATGCCTATTCATAGTCCGCGCCCGGCTTCAGCCCGTGCCGCGACCCGGGCACAAGCTGTTGATCACTTAATTACCCTCTCGCTTGACCCATGACCTGATTGAATCTGACAGCTGCAGCAATGTACGAGTTCTGGGGTAGACTGGTTGTGACTGCAGCAGAGCTGGACAACTGGGCCATGTCGGTGAAGATCAACACGAGCTCCCGAGGCACACGGCCGGGTCTATAGGCGCTTATAATGCTGTAGCCAAGGTATTCAGCTTTCTTCCCGGCTTTCTCTGTTTGCCCACTACTCTCAGCCAAGAATACCCATCTTCGCTTTGTGTCTCACTTCTGGAATCTTGTCTGGGTCGGAACAATGGGGGTAAAACTCCAGGCTGTTGTGATGACCTTACTACTAGGGCTAATACTCCTGGCCGACAGGGCTTTTGCCCTCCCGAGCGCTTGCGGGAAATACTATACCGTCATGTCGGGAGACACTTGCGCCTCGATTGCGGCCGCTTCCGGGATTAGTGTCTCGGAATTCCTGCGCAATAACCCCAACGTCGTCCAGTGTGATGTCCTCACGGCGGGCAACAGATTCTGTGTTGATCCATCTTTAAGTCCCGACCCCCCACTCAAGACCAGCGCCGATGGGCAGTGCGGATCTCAGTCTGGGTACACCTGCACTGGGTCCAGCTTTGGATCGTGCTGCTCGGAGCATGGCTGGTATGTCGAGCCAACCTCCTTTTTGTGGTTCGTCCACGATGGCGTCGCATAAGATTTAGGCACATGGCACACTGTTATTCCTGGTAGTTGTTGAGCCAATGCTGACAATCTCCCTTTGGAAACTCATTCAGGTGCGGAAGTACCGAAAACCATTGCGGCCAAGGGTGTCAAGCAGCCTACGGCAACTGCGGCAGTGCAGGCTCCTCGTCGGCATCCGGCCCGACCACGGTCCGTCCCAGCACCAGCACCACCGCCCGGGGCGCCTCTTCTCCTGTTCCAATCACCTGCCCAACCCGCACCGTCATCGAGACGCTTACACTAACCGCCACGCTCCTTTCATGCACAAGGCCGCCCACAACCCTGCTGACGTGCGCGACCACAGTCACCAGTACGCGCACAGCTACCGCCTTTACAACAGCCACCTCAGCACTGCAAGTGACCGTGACCAGCACCGTGACAAGCTCCAGGACGGTGCTGTTCCGCACCACCACCACCGACCTCGAATTCCCAACCCCCCTGGCGCCCTCGACCGTCACAGTCCCGGTTCCCGTAACGCAGACCCGAATGCAGACGCAAACCGTGACTTTGACACGGACCATCACGGCACCGGCCGCGGTGCCCACTACGGCGACCGTCACGCGCACCGTGACATCGGTCTCGACCTTCACGCGCATCAGCACAACCACAACCACGCCTGCGGTCACTCGGCTTGTCACGACCACCGTCTCCGTGAGCCGCGGCGGCGGCGGGGATTGCGGCTGGTGGGGTGAAGACGACGACGACTGGATCTTTGGTGATGGTAATGGGAGGACGGTCACCATTACCAGGACCACGACCAGGACCCGGACTAGAGACGGAGGCGGGGATGGCCGTGGTGGAGGTGGTGGGGGGCGGGGATGGGGACCTGGATCAGTCCCCAGTACCGTGGCAACTAGCACGGCGACGATGACTGTTGTGTCAGGGGGGAGTGGTGGTGGGCTGGGTATTGGACTTGGAGGCGGGGGACTGGGGATCGGGATTGGAAAGGAGCAGGAGGTGGTGGCGGTGGTTGTGGTGGTTTATTACATTGTTGATGTGGATGCGCCGCAGTAAGGGGGGCCTTGGGGTAGCATGGGAGTTGACTAGGTTGGACAGTGACAAAAGGATCCTGACTAGATACTGTGATGTGGGTGGTATGCTCACCTCAGGCATTTAGCCCCAGCTAATGTCATTGTTTCTCTATCCCCCGCCACTCCAGGTTTAAATGTAGGTGCTCAGTCCCAGATGCTCGGATATTCCGAGTTTGTTTAAAGCTATACCCTTGTTTATGGCGGTTCTTAAGGGACCCAACCTTTAGGTCAGACCCCTGAGCTTGCCGTTAGGTTGGGGAGGCGGGTATTCATCAATCGGGATTCGAAGACCCAAAAGCGGGCTCGCCCTACTTCAGATGTGTCGATCCCCGCGGGCAGATCGTGTGTGAGGGTCCCAGGAAGATGGATCGGGGCGATGCATTCAGGCGCTGTATCCCCACATCAGCTGGAGTGGATGACAGCTTCTGGCATCACCATTAGGCCAACATGGCCCACTTTGGCTTGAACATCAGTGCCTCTGTAGTCCGTGCCAACGCATGGAGTGAATGTCCGGAAGTGCGCTCCTTGCACGATGCCAGAGCTCTTCCTCAACCCCAAGACATGGAGTTCAAGTTCTTGGCATAAGCTCAATACAAACTGATCCTATGGCTGTATCACTAATCACTCCATCTGGGACACGTACATGTGATTCACATGATGCTCTGGCCTCATTCCAGTTGCCCTCCCGTCCCTTTTGGGGCAATCTGGCCCCATGGCCACCCTATGAATTACTCTATATCAGGTCATGATGAGGGACACGAAGGCAATTTACCAAGATCGTGGATCAACTACGACGCCATCATGCATTCATTAGAGGCACACATGTCACGACACTGGCAGCGACAATCCGAAGTACTACTCGCCGTCAAGATTCGGATATGATCTGGGCACTTCTATGATCTGGACTGGAACATGAAGTGGTCGTACTGATATGCTTCCCCTTGAAATATTTGAGCAGTCCTAGTTCCAATTTCCCATAGAATCTATACAGGGAAACCACTATCTGTCAACAACCTGCCCTAACTTCGGCCTCTCACATCAGTGTCTCAGTCTCAAAGCCGAACTCAACAGCACTCTTCTTACCGGTCCTTGAATCAAGTTCAATCCAATCAAGACACCGTCAGAATAATCGATACCTAGTACCAAACCATGAAGCCAATCACCCTTTTCTCACTCTTGTTCCCACTCTGTCTCGGCTTGCCCACCCCGGATCGAAAGGCATCGGGCAAACAGGGGTCCGATGTCAAGGCCGCTACGAATGCTGCCGCCGTCCGCAAAGGAACTGCCGCGGGAGTGGTCTACCCGCCTTGGATGCCCTGGGCGGTGCCGCCCTACTACTGGATCCCCCGCCCGTGGGGAGGTCGAGTGTACAATGCCGAGGTATCGGACGCGGGGTATGAGGATGTTGCAGTTGGGCAGGGTGATGGTGAGGAAGAGGTGGCTGATGAGAATAGCGGCGATAAAGGTGTGAAGGGAAGAGGTGAAGGAAAAGGTGAAGGAAAATGTGAGAGAATGGGGGAGAGTAAAGGCGAGGGTAAAGGGGAGGGAAAAGGTGAAAAGAAAGATGAACATGAGGGAAAAGGTGAAGGAAAAGGTGAAGAAAAAGGTGGAGGAAAAGGGGTGGGAAAGGGCGAAGGAAAGGGCGAGGGAAAGGGGGAGGGAAAGGGGGAGGGAGAAGGTGAAGGAAAAGGCGAAGGAAAGGGCGAAGGAAAGGGTGAAGGAAAGGGTGAAGGAAAGGGTGAAGGAAAAGGGGAGGGAAAGGGGGAGGGAAAGGGAGCGGGAAAAGGCGAGGGAAAGGGGGAGGGACTCGGAAAGGGCGAGGGTGAAAATGAAGGAAAGGGCGAAGGGAAGGCGGTGGAAAAGGTGGAGGGTAAAGGAGTGGGAAAAGGTGAGGGAAAGGGCGAGGGAAAGGGCGAGGGAGAAGGTGAAAGCAAAGGCGAGGGAAAGGGCGAGGGAAAGGGCGAGGGAAAGGGCGAGGGAAAGGGCGAGGGAAAGGGCGAGGGAAAGGGCGAGCGAAAAAGGTGAAGGAAAAGGTGAATGAAAATATGTTGCTGCTGGCGTCGCTAAAACTTAGTGGAGAAGATAGCATGAGAATGTCAATCGGCATTTCGCACTTCAAGGTTCATTGGCTATGCGGGAGGATATTTATCAGTAAATTATCTATTGTCACGAGATGATATTCCCCTGATCCCAGCCCAGATGTCAAAGGACCGCAAGTTGCTCTCAGCTCCGGCACTTCGATCCAGGACCCCCTTGACCCCACGAGAAGCAGTCTCTCGTACAGTTCAACTGGAAGAACTGCATAACCGTATCCTCCTGGACTTTGATGTCATGCGTGACCCCCTCAGCACTGTACGCCTCCAGCCACCCACTCTTCCCATACACACTCTTCGTCCAGCCCCTGAGCGGGCTATCCTTAACCACCCGCACCGGCTTGCTCCCAAGCCCCAGCACCTCAGTCCACAACTTGACCGCCTCTTCATGATTGACATAACTCACCACCTCATCCTCGGTGCCATGAAAGATCTGCACCTTAGGCCTCCACCCCTCATAGCCAGGCCACGCAGCATGCACCAAGCGCGCCCACTCAGCAGGGGTCTTGACCACCTTCCCCGTGGCACACTCGGCATTCCAATACCCGTACGCCCCGGCATTAGGCGAGGGAGCGTAGCACGCAAATGGAACCCCCGCGAACGCCGCGCCCGCGGCAAAGACATCCGGGTACGCACCCAGCAGGACCTGGGTCATCATCCCGCCCGAACTCACACCCGTGACGAAAACCCTGCTGGCGTCGGCGCGGTACTTGTCGACTGTCCAGCGCACCATGCTGACAATCCCCAAACTGTCGCCGCCGGGGGATGTGTGGGAAAGTGTCTCGGCCGACGACACATCCCAGCACTGGTCGGTTGAGGACGGGCTGCTGCCCGGGTAGATGACGATGAAGCCGTGCTGAGAGGCTAGGGTCGCCCAGCGGGAGCCGGAGTAGGCTGCTTGTGCGGTGCCGTGGCACCAGTGTGGGTTGACTAGGATGGCCGGGTTGGACGGGAGGGTGTCTGGCACGAAGAGGTGGAAGGTCAGGTTGCGAGGGTTCGGGCCGAAGGGGGTGGTGATTTGTTGGAGGGTCGCGGCGTGGGTGAGGGATGGGAGAGAGGGTAGGAGGGAGAGGAAGAGGGTGATTGAAGGGGGTCTCATAGTGAGGTATGGCGGAGGGGAGTCCGGAATTGTGATAATGATTGTAGGCGGGGCGGTTGATGGACGCTTAGGGAGGTTCGTGGCATCTGCCCTGAAAGGAGTAGGGGAAAATGCTCAAGTAAATAAATGCTCTGCATGGTGAAGGCATTACCAAATGCTGACCGGGTTAAAGGGTTCTCTCGATTGGAAGGTATGTGTCTAGCGTCTCCGCTCTGCGGGACAGAACGTATAAGTCGGGCCCGGTGCTCGGAGCATGGCCGCCCGTTAACCGTTTAGGGGAGGGAACGTCAGGAGAGAGCACTTATTCGTGGAACAAGCAATGTTAAAGCGAAGCAGAAGAAGAGGAGGAGTTTGAAAGCTTTGAGGCGTACAGTACAGTACTTTTAGTAGCACCTGGTACTTGTAAATGCACATACTGCCGGTATACCTATGTTAACATAAAACCTGGCCGATGCAATTGACAGGGCACTTTATCAACAGCATTCTGGACCCTGACACCTCACCAGATGTTCACAATTGTATGGATAAGGTATCGCACTTTATTTACCACGCATTACGAAGGACAGCCCCATGCCCCCGGCCCCTTTTCACCTCTATCATTCATCCTGCCCACTACACAGGCACGTACTTAAGTACCTACTCATCCACCCCCTGATCACCTCCCCGTCCGCACATCAAACGGCAGCGGCTTCCAGAGCACCTTGACACCAAACCACCACAGCTCATCCTGCCAGGTATTCCAATAATGGCTCCCAAACGGCGTAACCCTGTTAATATACCTCAACCCGACCGCATCGAGCGCCGTCTGCAGGTCCCTGGCCTGGGGAAACACAAAGTCATACAGCCCGTAGGCAACCATCAGCCCCTTGCTTAGCAGCGCCGGTTTCTCTCTCACAGCCGCCGCATCGATGTAAGGCGGGTTCGTCGCGGGCGAAAACAGGCCGTAGTACTCAAACTGCTCCGTCGCGTTGACATACATCTCGTACGTGAGCACCCCGCCCATCGACAGGCCCGCAAACGCCCTGCAGCTGGCATTCTGGCACACGTCGTAGTGCGATTCCACCCAGGGGAAGAGGTACCGCTCAAAGTTCTCGCGCACCTTGGCTGCGGGCGGCACGGGGACTGGGTTGCTCCGGTTGCCGTAGATGAAGCGCGGGCCCAGGGAGGGGTCAAGGTTGTAGAAGGAGGGTGTTACTACGACAGTTGGGGGGATGTGCCCCTCCCGGATCAGGTTGTCCATGATGTGGCTCATGCGCCCCAGGTTCTCCCAGTCGGCGCCGTTGCCGCCTGCGCCGTGCGAGAGGTACAGGAGTGGGTACTTCTTTCCGGGGACTTTGCCGTACTCGGCTGGGAGGTAGATGGAGAAGTCGTGGATGTCCGGGGCCGGGTGGAGAGAGCCGGGTGAGGTGTAGTTGACGGTGAAGACACGGCCGCGGTGCTTTTTTGGTGCGTCCAGAGCGTAGTCAAAGTTGGTGTTCAGCTCAGGGGAGGCCTGGAATCTGGCGTCAAAGGGGACCTGGAAGCTGGATGCAACCTGGTCGCCGGGGACGTTCATGAACGGCGGCAGGTCGGGGTCGATGACGAGATGGCCGGTGTCGATAGTGCAGTTTGGCGCGTAGTTGCAGTCGACCAGGTACGCGAAGCTGTAGATGCCGCTGGGCAACGGGGCCGTGTAGGTCCACACGCCGTCATCTGAGACTTTCTTCATCTCGTACGGCCACTTGTAAGCCGGCTCGGCGGGCAGCTGTGGTGATGGGTTGCTGACGTAAAAGTCCCCGGGCTGGTACTCATGAGGGTCGTAGCGGCCATTGAAGCGGTACGACGTGCCCGTAGCATGGAACTGGTCCGTGAAGGGTTGGATGCCTCCGCCGATCAGAACTCGCTTCGCCGTAGCATTGACGTACCGGAAGTCTACTTCGTACCCGGTGGGCGGCCGGCCGGTTTTGCGGATTCTTACTGAAGCTGAAGCCTCCAGAACTAGTAACCCAGCCAGGGCGAACGTCGTTGAGAGCAACATGGTGATGAACGAGCATGTGCACGGTAAGTTGACCTGACCCTCTGGGGGTCATGCGGGTTTTGTTGATCGACGGACCCGACTACCCGGGCGGGGTCGCCTGGGTAAATTACCCCAAGTCACCGCCGAGGTGGTATCCGGCGCTCCTTCGCCTGGTCTGTCTTGGGTCAGGTGGATAATCGTGGATTCCTCACATACCTAGGTACGTAGCAGAGGGAGGGGCCGTCTCTCAATGTCATCAGTGTCAACATTACAACTGGACTTCAATGACATGTCAGTCTGGTGCAGGCGAGGCCAAGAATAATGACAACTATACTGGAACATGATGAAGCCCACAGGCTGGGCACCTCTATGGCACCTGTTTTATACTGGCGTAGAGTAGTAAGGCCGGGTTGGACTTTCCTCCATTTTTGGGGTTCAGGTCAGAGGACAGCAAGAGCGCACCTTCCCTGAGCTAAACTGCACTTCATGCGTCAGGGGCTGCACCTGCAATGTTGAGTGCAGTCGTGTTATCTCATTACTGTTAGCACTCGTGGTTTTACATGTACTAGCTAGGTACCTACCTTACTTATACCAACAAGTCCCTGGCAAAAGCCATCACAAGCACGAACAAGCCGCTCAAACCCGGTCCCCAGCCTTGCTTCCCTCCGACATAAGGGCTCGCCGCGTTACGTGTGACGGTGACTCTTTGCGTTACCGTCTGGGTCGCCTCAACTGTCACCGTCGGCGTTGAAACCGATGTTGTGACTAGAACATCGCTGCGTGTCAGTCCACCGGTTGGGTCGTTGCGTGATTATATAGAAAAAGAGAACAAGTACATACGAGGAAAGGTGTTCCGGTACAATGTCCTTGGATTGTCGTAGAACCCCTCGGCAGTAAAACACCCTATCATACTCCAAATGCCCGTGGCGGCGACCTCGCGCGAGTTGAATATGGTGTAGGTGTCGCATTGTTGGGTGCCGCTGGTTTGAATCTTGATATGAGCAATCTGCGCCGGAGGCACTAGGAGTGGTGGCAACATGGATGGATTATGGAACCAACCAGGATCCCGAGCCGGAGTTGAAGAGCACCTCATTCCCACGGCATGCCGTCGCGAAGTTGCACGCGGTGGCGCCATCACCACCACAGCATGCGGCCCAGGGACCACCCGAGCCAACGGCAAACGTCTGCCCAGGTTCACAGGTTTGCGAGTACCCTACGTGAGCGTCGTCAGTGGTTCGTTCTCTCTGCTTTGATAATGACGATAACATGTATGATGCTTTCGTGTTGCTAAACTTACAATATCCCGACATCGAGGCAAACCCTATAAAATTGGTGAATGTCCCCACTTGTCGCCCTTCGACGGGTGCGCTAGCATGCGCGTGACGAGCCTCGGGCGGGGGTGTAACCATCACCCGGGCCGCCGAGCTGGTATCACGTTGAATGGCATCGGCTATGGGCGGGGCGTTGTCTGCCCGCACGGGAGAAAGGGCGCCCAGAAGTATGAGGATAAGGGAGCAATGCATCTCGGCTCGTGTCAGACGCGTAGGTGAGTCTTGAGTCTCACTGTAGGACATGCATGCAGAGATGCAGAGGCGAGAAACTCTCAGAAAGAAAAAAGATTCGCACGTGCGGGTTACCAGGTACGCAGTCGGGGCAATTTCCCTTTCTCCTTTCAGGCTATCAGCTGCTTGGCGCCGTTGTTAAGGGGAACGAAGCATAAGACTTCCATGGCCCTATCATATGTCACTAGGCCTATATAAGTTATATACTCCGTACATGTACGCATGAACTGCCAATTAAATTCGCCCTGAAATCGAGGGAGAAGCCACCAAGACATCTAACCACCACCAGGAAAGGTTCTTGGTTGCGTTAACCAATAAGAAATCTTTCACCAGGATTCCCCGGATGCAGTTCCTTGGAAATGGTTTGTCTCCAGCGCCCCAGTGGCTTTGTGCAACCGTGTTGCTCTTGAGATGCATATAAGATGAGCACCTACATACATGTATGTAATGGATGGAAGTTGGGGTAGAACGGGACCTCCGAGGTCGAGGCTTGCCCAGTTGGCTCATTTCATCCATCTTGATTGGGTACATCGGATTTCTTGTCTTGGACAGCTCACCTTGTTTGCTTCACCAACATGATTACCATGCGTGGAATATCTTACTATCACGGCCCTGCCCAATCGCGCACAGTAAGCGGCTTGCAGCAGGCAGGCGTCATGCTGTGTGCCGTTCACATGAGCATCAACATTCTTAGTATGTGACTTGAAGAGGTTGTGTGAGTATCCGTCACCAACCAAGCTGCCGAGCCCAGCGCTCCTGCAATGGTGGGGATGAGTAGTACCTATAAACCCCCATCATGACGTGACCAGTTACTGTTCTGCCATGATAGTAATCCTCCGTTAGGCATCTCCGTTCTTCCAATTTGTGCTACGAGTCTGATTACTCTGGTAACTGATACTACTACTGATAATTTGGTACACTCCAGTTAAAGAGACTATCAATAAGCGTGATTTCGCCCATGGATTCTACCAAGGCTTCGGAAACCCTGCGTGTGTTAGTTATCGGGGGAGGTAGGAGGATGTCGTACCCCCTATTTTGATTCTAGTACTGACTGGTTAGGTAGGGTCCGCCGGGCTCTTGATGGGCCATGTTTTCAAAAGGGTGAGAAACTTGAACCGCACTGCTCTCACGAGTCATCGGGCTTAATCTTTGATCTTGATCCGTCAGGCCGGTATCGAAGCGGCCGTCTTCGAACAGGACCAATCTCCCACAGCACGTCAAAGGGACTGGAACTTCGGCATCTACTGGGCACAGTCGCGAATCGAAGAGTGTCTTGCTTCTGAGTTGTATGCTCAGATCAATCAGACTCAAACTGATCGAGCGTACCGCCACTTTGAGGGTTCCGTCTTGCCGGTATATAACGGGCAGACAGGAGAGTTGCTCAAGGACCTTCCCGCACCCCATGCCATTCGCCTACGAAGAAGAAGCTGGCTGGATCTCATCCGGACGGGTGTCGACATTCGTGTAAGTAGCTTATTTCCACGTGGAGCCCAGAGATTCCTCCGGGCTCCCTGCCCGGCCGCCAATCTGATGGTTGTGTAGTATGGAAAACGACTCGTGTCCATTGCAACGACTGAACAGGGCGTAACCGCAACCTTTGAAGATGGCACTACCGAAGAGGGCAGCTTGCTCATCGGTTGCGAGGGGGCACACAGCGTTGCGAGAAACTTTCTGTTCCAGATGACCCCCAATGAGGCCGAGTTGCTAGAGCTCCCTATTTCCGCATTTGTCACAATTACCAATTTCAGTCGCGACCTGGCCCTCGCCCTAAGAAAGGTGCATCCGACCTATGTCATCACCGTCGACCCCACCGGCTTGTTTTTCTTTTGCAGCGGTATGTCTGCCTCCCCCTTTCAGGTCATACCTCCCCCCGGCATCGCCAGGTACCTGACCACCTCTTTAGCCCACAACTGTGATTCAGAAGACTCGGCGGAATGGACCTTCATGTTTGTGATCACCTGGAAGACCAAAGACGGCGAAAACCGCACCGCCCTGAGCCAAGATAACAACCTTCTCCTGGACACAATGCTTTCTCATTCCCAACACTTGGCGTATCCATTCAAGGACGCGCTACACGCCATCCCGCGCAACACCAAGTGCTGGCACACCCGAATGTCCTACTGGCCCACCAAGCCCTGGGATAACAGGGGCGGCCGGGTCACGTTAGCAGGAGATGCAGCGCATCCCATGACCTTTCGTAAGGCAACTCCGTGTTTTATCTTGCTGCTTCGAGACGTGCTAACATGAAGCCAGACCGCGGTCAGGGCCTAGGAAATGCCATCACCGACGTTGCTGAGCTGCAAATTCACTTGCGTGCCATGAAAGCGCACACAAGGGAGGAGCTGGCAAAAGCGATAGGGAAGTATGAACAAGAGGTCTGGACTCGAGGTCTTGCAGCGGTGATGGAAAACGCGGAGAATACGGTAGCAGTACATGACTGGGAAAAGGTCACACAGAGTCCGCTCGTTGTCAAGGGGTTGAAGAAGGTGGCCGACAAGCCCAACGGGGATGAAGCTTAGGGGGTCTCGCTTGGAAATGCGTCTTGCCACCACCTGACAAAACTACCTGTGGATGGCACAAAAGTAGGTAGTTCTATTGTTACCGAGCACCAGCGTCGCAGAGTATAGTATATCCCGGATCCCCTTTCCCCTGTTCTGAACCCACACGCTCAGTTGAGTTCAACCCCGCTGAAAACAAACTCGTTCCGTTACCGACTTGAACCCATCAAGCACTCAGTTTCAGAAGAAACTCCCCTTCCAAGCATCGGCCACGGCTCGGGCAACCAACCTGTTGATTTCGATCCCAGGGTGGTAATCGTTAAACCACAGGCAGGACTTGCCGTCGGAGTTGAAGCAAGTAGCGTCAGGAGAGCCATACTGTGTTGGATTATCCAGCGCCGTGTTGAAGGGTACAGAGGTGTCTACGATCTTGGCGGTGACACCACGGTTCTGGGCCTTGAAGGCCTTCAACCTGGCGGCGATCGCATCATTGTACTTGGCGATAGCAGCCGCTTCGGCTTGCCGGGACTCGACAGGCTGTGCAAGATTCGCCGGAGCGCGGTGGATCGCTTTTTTGCACGATAGAACATCAGCCCAAATTCAACCCGATATCAAGTAGGAGTAATCAGCGGCAAGACTTACGCGGCACACCCAGCAAGACAAAATTCCTCGCTCCCGCATCGTACAAGACCTGGAGCCGGCCGAAGTAGCTGTCCATGATCTGGCCCAGCAAGGTATCATACTCCGCCTTCCACCAGGCATTCCCCACATCGTTGACGCCCATCCACACGCCAAACAACGCCGTCTCGGCCGTCCAGGGGGCGTACGACGGTTTGGACGCGATGCTGCCGCTGAACTGGGCCACCTGGTCAATGAAGCTCAGCACTGTAGGCGCGTACGGCTGCACCAGCGTGGCGTTGGTGGTGGCGCCTCCGTAGGCAAAGTTGTACGTCAGCAGCGTCGACGCGTTGAACTGCGACGCGAGGAACCCGACCCAGTTGAGCCCCCCGCTGGCCGTCCACCCGGGCAGTGGAGGGTTTCCGAGCGGGTTGCCTGCGGACGGCTTGGTCGAGTCGATGTTGAAGCCCGTTTGTGAGTACGAGTCGCCACTGGGGAAAGGGGGAGTGAGGTCAGTACTGGCCGGGGTACCTGGCATGAGATGAGCCTGGACAGGTTTGGGAGGCTTACAAGGTGATCAGGTACTCGACAGTAGCCTGCGAGCATGGGGCGGCGTCGACAAGCCCGCCGGCTGCGGCAAGGAGTGCCACGGCCGTCGCTGTCAGCAGAAATTGTCCCATCTTGGAGGAATTGGTGCTGAAAGGGTGGATAGTCGGTCCATGAACAAAAGCCACCTTACCTACCTTATATTGAACCCCAACTCCCCACTGCATGGAGCCCACTTGTGTTCCGGGTCACCGGGTTGAGGTTCGCTCCCCCTGGACCAAGGCGTGTAAGACGATTGGTGGATCTTGGTTCGGAGCAGACAAAGTGGAGATCCCGAATGCAGGAGAGCGGAAGGAGAGCTTGCGGAATACCACCTTGAACAACCGAAAGATTGAATTCGGTAGGCGATCTGAGAAGGCTCGGAAAGAGGCTTTTGGTTTTGGCGCAGGCTAAAGGAACCCGTTTCCTGTTAATGATCTTCTCATCTCGGTCCGGCCCATGCTTATTAACCCTTCAAGTCGCAATCGCCCAGCTAGAAGTTAGAACGAACGGGCCGGTCAGAAGGTTGGGCAGGTAACTGAAGTAAACTGGAGTGTAATGTTAACTAGGACTAGGTTTTTAACACCGGTATTCCAGTTCATGAATCTTGATCCTTAGATGGGGGTTTGCGCATCATCAAGAATTCAAGATTACGTGATCGAACACGGGTTCCAATCTGGACGTCAATATTCGGGTACCCACCTGTACGTAGCCTCGGCTGGAATTAGCAATATCAGTATCTTTCTTTTGACATAACCCGTCATGTTCAGGGGCTTGCTGAGTCTGTTTGGTGCTCCACGGTCAGAATACAGTTTTAAATACATAAATGGACGGCCGTAACAACGAGCTGAACCCACGTGTGCTTGTGCTGATTGCCGGCCCGAGTGTAGTGTATGGAGTCAGAATGATATGTTGGAGATGCTAAGGTACCAAGGAGGTAAGCTCGCTGAGTTTTCGGCCTGTGCTGTCGTGGTGCAGATTAATTTGTGTCGTACTCTCGATCCAACCGGAAAGCCACATGCGTTTCCTATATAAAGACACGACATCGTTCTCAGGCGAGTCTCGTCGGACATGGCAAGTGATGATGCGATGGCATCCATGATGGGCCTTGTTGAGGCTGCGAGCTCGCACTGAAGTTCTAAACCGAACGAATACGTAGCATGAGTCTGCTTTGGCGACACCAATTGTTAGGGCCCAACTTAGGGGTTATTCTTTTGCTCCAGGTAGCCGACAGCGATTTTGGGATCTTCCACACAACAGAGTGATTCCGCTGATCGCACTGTAAGCTTCAGGTCGACCATGCCTTCAAGTCTATGATTCTCAACATGGAAGCACGAAACCCTAGGCTTCTCAACGATGACATCTGCGGTCGCAGTGACCGGCTGCACCGGCAATTCCACCTGTTTACTTGCCTTCCCATCGAACTCCGACTACAGATCTGGGATGCGTTTCTTCAAGTGAACCGCATTCTCCACATCTACATCCAGGCCATTGACACGTTCGTCGAAGCGGATCATGATTCAGAACAAGATTCACAACGCCTCACTGGTTTCTACACCGAGAAGAACTATCTGGGCAATATCAAAAGCGGCATGAATTACGCCTTATCACTCGGCAACTACCATCGTGATAGCCCGTTGCTCCGGGTCAACTCTGAAGCTAGGGCGGCGGCCCTGGCCTTCTATCGCGTACATCTCCCTTGCAGCCCAGAAGTCGACAGTCTTATCCTTTACTACAACCCTGAATTCGACTTTCTTCACGTCATGCTCCCCAGGGGCGGACACCATGAGGCCCCACTAGAGTTTCTGGCTGATGTCTTTCACGACTGTATAGCCTATGACCCAAGGGGTCATGGGGTCCTCAATTTGAATATCGGAGATCGTAGTCCCACCATGCTCAGATTGCCCTTTGGTATGGCACCTTTTCATGACCATCGAGCTCCAGCTGACCTTATATAGAACCTCGCATCCTCGAACCACAGGCCTTGAACGCATTTTGATCCACTGTTGCAAACCTAAACGCGCTATATTTCTACCTCAGCTGCAGAACATCGGATGATTGGATGACTCTCAACCTGACACCGGATCCACTGGATCGCTTGCGCGTCAACCGTGGGGTACCGCTGGAGTCGCCTGTCGAAGGCTTCACTCTTATTGGGTCTGACCCACGTCCCATCAGTGACGCTTGACGTATCTTCCACGTTACATTTGACCCTCGGGTCAGTCTCTATGTGTGGCGAAGTATGGAGAGATGCTTCGAGATCGTCCGGCCCGAGGGAAAGGCACCAGATTCGCGATTCTTCATGGCTTCCCCCATTATAAAACCCCCATTTGGACCTGAAATTGTGAGCTGTTCAGGTGCCAAAAAATACCTCAGTCAGGAGGAGGACAATTGGAGCAAGACATTTAGCGACGAGATCTCTGACCCTGGTAACGCTCATCCCGTGTTTAGTTTCTGGCTACTCGACACGCAGGCGTTTGGAAAAACGGATGAGGATTTTGTTCGCACTTGGGAAGATGGGAAGTGGACTGGGTGGGATTTCGAAAAGGGAATGGAGCCGGATGTGAAGAAGCACTGGCCGCAGCTAGGGGTCTTCCATCTCACGCCGGAGTAGTTTGTGCCGGCTTCACGCAGTGGTGTGAGAGCAAGAACGGGTTCTAGTCGAGGATAGAATAGGTAGCAGGTTGCTAGAGTTGCTAGTATCCCCGTCGTTTGGTCATGCTATGTCGCCTAGCGTCTGCTTCCACCAAGGCACCAGCTTCCCGGTCGAGCATAAGGTACCTGAGGTAGACTAGCCCTTTTCTTTTTCCCTGCCCTCAATTCCTATACCTTACCGTTAGTGCGGTACCTCCAATCTTCTGTGTGCTGAAGACTTGCATGCTTTGGGCGAGTGCTTACCATAAACCATGTTTCAGCAGCTGCAAAGAAGAACGCTGGAAAATGATCTGACTTCGGCTGCACTGTCACAATGTCAATGTTAACGGTTTGCAGACCTGCGATGGCAGTTTGGGCAACAGGGGCGATCCAACCAACAGCTCAACTACGATAACTTGTTTCAAGTTATGGTCCTATACAAGGGCCGACAGCAATTTTATAAATCGCTCGATATGAGGTGTCCGCACAGGGATTCATTAAGAATTCCACTATTGCGCAGTCAAGATGTTGCGTGAGCTCATTGAGCTTCTGAAGCGTTCAACCAACAGGCGATCAGTCATCCCTGCAGTTGCCTAACGTCAGGTCACATTGAATGCATTACGCCGCGTAAGTACATTGGGGGGATTTGCTTTTAGGCTTCGATGTTGACTACCCCCGAGGATTTTGACGCTGCGTGAGGCCGGGTGTCGCTGCCTACCTACCTTCTTAATCTATTGTCGAGTTTTCAACCAAACCAGAAGCTCAACAAGCAAACCCTCTTTCTGCCTTCCGGCTGCCCGGCACAGGACCTCACATACTACCATTGGGCATTTCCGTCAAGGCCGAATGGCGGACCCATTTTCGATCATTGGCGTGATTGGCTTCGCAAGCAAGGTCATCCAAGGTAGTGGCCGACTTGGCCTGGACTGGAAGGATGCCCCAGCCGAAGCGAAGAGTTTCTTGCATGAGCTCCAAAGTCTCAAAACGGTCTTATCCGAGACAAACACGAACCTTATCCTAAGTCAGGATTTCGCCGATGCCTTCCGTGGGCGACATTCTGCGCTCCTTGCCGAAGTTTGGTCCCCTGGCCTCTGGCACAGACACCATGGCCATGATCTCAGCTTGTCAAGTTGAGCTGCAGAATCTGTGCGAGGAGCTAGAAAAGCGAGAGCAAGATCACCGACTCGGTTGGGAGAGACTAAAAGGGGCCTTCCAAGCGTCCAAAACACGAGACGCCGTGGTGGATCTTCGCCGCAGATGCCAGGATCTGAACCAGCTTCTCTCTATCGATACGGCCGCGCTCGCAGCAGCTACACTTCAGGAAGTCAGGGAAGGAAGAAAGCAGCAGCAGCAAATCCATCATGCTCAGTATCACGCACTGAATCACATACGCAACAATGTCGACGATGAAAATGCCCGTCGCGAGCGTGATCGCATCCTCAACTGGTGCAGCCGGGTCGATCATGCTTCCCAACAAAGTGATTTCTCCAGCAAAAGGCAACCCGGAACTGGAAAGTGGCTTCTGGACACTGACCACTTCAAGACTTGGGTGGCAACCAAGGGACAGATGCTGTTCTGCCCTGGTATTCCGGGCGCTGGTAAAACGATGCTCACGTCGATTGTCATCGACCATCTGACAACTCAGTTCCACGGGGATCCGAACGTGGGAATTGCCTATGTTTACTGCGACTACCGTCAGCAAGACGACCAGAAAGCCGACGACCTCGTCTCTGATCTACTCAAGCAACTGGTCCAGGGCCTCCCGTCTATACCACAGGAGGTGAGACCCTTCTACGAAAAACACGACAAACATCGAACTCGCCCCTCGATCCACGACCTATCAACGCTTCTTCAGTCAGTTGCTGCCATGCACTTGAGGGTGTTTATCATTATTGATGCTCTCGACGAGTGCCAGACTTTAGATGGATGCCATCACAACTTCCTGACAAAACTCTTTGACCTTCATACGAATAACCTTGCAAATATCTTTGTGACCTCCAGACGAATTCCAGACATTGTGAAGCGGTTTTCTGGCGTTCCCTCGTTGCAGATCTTTGCAAAAACGGAGGAGATACAGCAATATCTCCAAGGCCATATGGGCGAACTGGGTTTCTCTGTTGCGCACAATCATAGTCTGCAACAGGAGATCACTGTCAGGGTCTTGGATGCTGCCGATGGCATGTGAGTAATACCAACTTGGCCGAAGGATATCCTGTCTGTTCTGATGTTGACTGGATATCACAAAGGTTTCTCCTCGCCCACCTCTTTTCCAGACGCTCAAGGACAAAACTACGGCCAAGCAAATCCGGAAAGCTCTAGATCAATTGCAAAGACAAAGCAGCGGAACCGGCGAGGATCACAAGCTCAAGGTGCTGGCCCTAGCTTACGATCAAGCAATGGAAAGAATTAACGGGCAGATGCCGGGTTTACGCCAGCTTGCCATACAGGTCCTCTCTTGGATTGTCTGTGCGAAACGGCCGTTGACAACCACAGAAGTTCAGCATGCGATCGCTGTTGAGATCGGAGAGGAAGAGCTTGATATGGACAACATTACAGCAACAAACGAGGTGCATACAGCTAGTACAACCTTCTGGAAGTCACCAGGGCGCCCGAACCGTACAACGCGGAGCTATTTAATCGACAGTTGAGGATTTCGCCAAACCCGGCTCTATGTTGAACTGGGATGAAGACCACTGGGGAATCTAAAGCCGAGATTTATTTTTCCTTTTCTGAGGGCCCACATGACATAGGACCCTTCTTGCAGTGCTTTGGAACATGTAGTATAAAAAGGGCGACAGCCCAGTTCTAGAACAAGGGGAACAATAATAATGTACATTGGGAGCAATTGAAGCAGTGCTTTGCAGCCCTCCTTTTCGACGATTGAGTAGCCATAGGTAGGATCGTTCTGATCTGACTAGACGGAGGTTATATTCTGTTGACAAGAAGCAGGCGCAAGCTGCTGACGAGCCAACGTGTCCTCCCCTCTGTTACGACAATACGACCACGACCAGCTGTTGAGCAGTCTACACGGTGTTGTGGTGTGTGTGATTTCCGAACCAGTTCAATGCAACACCCAAAGTCCGTTTGACACTGGAGTCTCAGGAGGTGATCTCTACCTTGAGAACTCCAACGTGGTTGTCCAAGTCTGGCCGAGTCTCTTCGGCAGGTTTGGAGTTGGCATCTCGCCCCCTTTGCAGCCGTTGGAGACCTGTCTCGAAGCTCCAGCTGGTACTTGGCGCCATTCCCTGGGGATTTGCCGCGGTCAACGGGGCCCGGCTCTTTCGATCCTCGTAGTATCCCTGAAGCCCCCACTCCTTACTCACAAAGCTATGGCGAACTGACCGTCGACTTTGCAAGCCCAGGGGCGACGGTGTCTCTGGGAAGTAGGGAGACAAATTGATCGTGTGTTTACGCCCGTCCATTGAGCCTGGTGAGGTGAATTGTGAGATGTGAGTATGTAAGAAGCGACTGTCTGAGTACGGGCTTTTGACTTGTCGCCTTTGGTTGTTGCGGACAAAGGTCTCTATGGAACAATACCATACCGGACTTGGTAAGAGGCCGGATCGTGGCATGTATGCATCAAAGAGCGATATTGGCTCTTTGATGATCCTCGAATTAGGAAGATGCCGAAGCTGGAGCGGTTGAGTAGCGCATCAAATGGTTTCCATCCTAGCTGTAGATACATTTAACTAAAGGAGGAGGGCATCCCACCGTTCCCGCATTATCATCAGCAATACCGGGTCCATACCTGAACCTGCTTCGTCTCCCGAGTCCCTATCTACTTCTCTACCTCCCCCCCGACCTCCGCTTGGGATTTGAGCCCCAAGCTATAATTCTTCTTCTTCTCCTTGGTTTTGGGGAGCACCGTTGGTGAGACGCTTGCCACCATTTTGCTCGCTCGGTTTTTTCTGTAATGCAGAACACGCTGTTGCACCCGCCGGGTTTGGCGCCCCTCCCGATCGGGTATAGCGCTACGTCAGACTCGCGTGCTCGCACGGCCCGGCTGCGCCCGCAACATAAATACGAGCCGATCCTCTCTGACGTCGCTTTGTTGTACTCTCGACTTCTTCCTTCATTCCTCTCCCTTTTCCTTCACTCGACCCCTGCCTCTTGATAATGCGCTCATCGCCAATGCCTCTCTGATCGCTCATTTCGCCAAGGCGGCCGCGTTTCCCTACCTACCACCCTTTCCCTTCCCC